TAATATTTTCCCCCAGCAAGCATCTACTTTAAGGATTTCTCTCCAACTACACTTGTCAAGCCAGAGTAATGAATGAATCCTTTTGGTAACAGAAAACAAAGTCCCAGGTAAAAGTTGCACTCTAATGGCTATGGGGTCTCGCATTGTTTCAATCTGGGTGATGTCGCCACAGGCCCCCAGCCCGGTAATAATTAGCATTGACTCCATGATTCTCAGAAGACTGATCAATCACTTTATTATTCTATACTTATTAAGAAACCCACCGCCCTTACAGACAGTCATGATACAGGTGGACCCAGTTGGTCCTTCCATCCAAACACCATCATATTGGCCATTTAAGACTTCACCCTTTGGTAAAGAAATCTCCATAACACATTCCACATGTTCACAACAACAGGTACAGCAAGTGAAGATAAGAAAGAATTGTTTATCATTCTTTTCTCTGTTCTTCTCACAGTCTTCCCCAGGACAATGGCTGGAAAAGTTGTGCATTGCTCTCTGAGGCCCAGGAGCTGCTGCCACAGGGTGGGTCGGTTATGAATTTTCTATTTGGACTATTAGGAGAGAGACCTCTGCTCTGAGCATTGCTAATTTAAATCCATGTCACACATTGGGTTACTCACTCACGAAACCTGTCTTGTTCCTGACATAAATATATTCCTTTACTGGATAATGTCAGTCTAAATTGCCTCTGTGATTATCATAGGAGCTGACAAAAGCAGTATAATCACCTTTGGCTTGGCTTAGAGAACATATCCTAAATGCTGCCCATCAAAATGTTTTTGATTATGTAACGTTTATAATAGAAAATACAGATTAATCCAAACTGCAGCGTTTTGCCAGACTACAGGTCTGCCCTTCTGTGTTTGGAGGTGAAATTGCCTTTTTCCAGCCAGCTCTCTGGCATACTAGAATATTCAAGAGGATCTGAGGGCACAATTTGCTCTTCATTTCAGAATCAGTGAGAGAGTGGGTATTGTATTCTTACTGCTCTTGTGTAGTGCAGGATTCCCTTATTACAGTGGTCCTGCTGGAGGGCCTGGGAAGAGGGGAATTTCCTACAGCATGACTTCAACTTAGACACAGCCAAAACACAGAGAGTCAGACTGTGCCACACATCCTCTAGGATCCAGGAGAGGCAAAAAAGAAGGTGGGCTAGGGAAGGAGATGTCCTCAAGAAGCTCTGTAAGAGCTGTCACCTTGTCTCTTCCTCAAGGGTCTGCTTCTCTCTTTGTCTGAAGTAATGGGGAAGAATTAATTGTAATTAGAACTATAGCCTAGAAATTATGATGCATACCATCATCTGCTAGGCTATACATTTGCTCCTCCTCTCTATGGATTCCCATGCAATCCTACTAGTAGGTGGGAAATGGCTTTCAGAATCATGACAGGTCTCCAGCTTATTAGTGGAAGAGTGGATTTTTTCTAGCAAAAAACACCTTTTGAAAAGAAATCTACACTACAAGGAATACTACACTACTGTATTCTAATTACCATGCTACAAGTTGAATTTGCTTGCAAATGCTAGATGTCTGAGCACCAACTTTTGTGTTATTAAACAATGAATAAAAGGAAATTACATGATGGAAAGTAGAAATTTTTCTCTACTTGACAAGATTTTTCTGTGCTTCAAGGAAGCACTTTGCTCATCTTTCCTTTGGAATCAGAATTATTATGAACTCAGTTTCTCAGCAGAAAGAAAGTTTTAGGAAATATTCTCTGACAATTACAGAATGGAGCTACACAGTGGACTACAGTGGGATCAGCATTTTCAATGTCAATATTTTACATTTCTGATTGTATTGGTATTGTAAGGAAGCCAGAGATAAAAAACACTTTGGCAAGTGTTCTCCTTATTAGTTAAACAGTGCTCCACTCTTATTAAAGTGCTAGTGCAAACATTTATAACCTTCTGAAAATGCCCTCCTGAAAACAGTAATTATGCTTTAAAACTTTCTGAAGAAAAACCTGGGAAAGTAAAAATGTTCTTCTTGCCATGTTAAATGAAAAATGACTGGCTCCAGTGCATAAGTTCCCAACTCCTATGAAAACTGCAAGCCAGCAAAAACTGTTCCCCCAGTGCTTTGTATTGTGTTATTTATCGTTACAGAAAGAATTTCTTTTCATTAGCTTATGCCTGGCAAGAAGACATCTTAAACCACATCATGTGAGGGGAGGAGACAGTGAAGGGTGTGATTCATAATTTTTGAATGCAAAAGTCTGGCATAAAATATAAAGCTGTTGAACAGGCAGAGCTGGCTCATTGTTCTGCTGGTTTCATATGGCATTCCTTTCTTTCCCCCTCTTTTTCTTTGTGCTTTCACTCTGAAAAATCAGTTGATTTTTCTTCCCATAAGTTGCTGTAGAAATAGTTTTACTTATGTATTAAGAAAAATATAACTCCAACTGAAAATTGCATTGCTAAGAGCTGTACCCCCACCGCTATGCAGACAACAGGCCTCATTTTTATATCACATTTCCTGAAAAGGATTGACTTTCTTTGTCTCCTTAGAGTGATAAAAGGAGAAGATATATTTACTATCCACTGGTTCCTGGAAGGCAGACATAATTCCTTGACAAGATGAGAAAGTATTCTATTTATTTCTAGCAGGACCTTGATGAGTCTGGATCGAAATTATGAAGAAATTATTGGCTCTGTAAGGAAGTAAAGATATATTTACTATACACTGGTTCCTGGAAGGCAGACATAATTCCTTGACAAGATGAGAAACTAAGTGTTCTTTTTATTTCTAGCAGGACCTTGATGAGTCTGGATCGAAATTATGAAGAAATTATTTGCTCTGTAGGGAGCAAAAGGGAAGGACATTTGTCACATATACACTGCATTGATTTAAGCAGTTATAAACTCCTAGGAATTCTCCATTTCATTTTTCAGAGTACAATGTATAGAAATACATTTTACAAGAAATTTATTGCACAGATTAAGAATCAAGATTTTCCTCTTTTTAATAGTAATAATTAGCATATGTCAGTGTTATTTACACATCCTTAGGGACACTAACAGTGCAGCCACCCCTGTTCTGTCAGCCCCCAGACAGAGCATCATGTGCTGTGTCATTTGAAAGACACCAGCAATGGATGGAGCCACATTTGGAAATGGACCAAGGACAGATGGAGCTGCACCGTATAAATCTCACAGACCCACAAGTAAAGCAGAAAGCATGTTTAGATTGCAGCAATTCTGTATTATTTAAAGGGTTCAAATTGTACAAAACTTTTCTTCCTTTGGCATGGCAGGAGAAAGGACTTAATGGTAATTCTCTCTATTTTCTGCCAATGACTTTGAGCTCCATATTGGCTATTTTGTCTTCTGGTGTTTTCCTGCATTCCCTACTGCTTCATTAAAGGATTTTTTTTCTGTTGTTTACCAGTGATAGCTAAACCTAGTTTCTCTTGAAGGAAATAAAGCCTGCTCTTTCTTACCACTGAACAGGCTGGTTCATAGATTATGAATGAGTGACAAGTCCCACCTGGCAAGTCCTAATTTTCTGCCTGGTGTGTGAGCAAGTTCTGATGCTGGACCTCACACTGCTCCCAGCCATGTTTATTTGAGAATGGTGCAGAGATGTTTGTTTGCCAGAATGTCCAATCTTGACGATTTCTTCAGAAAAGTATTATTTGATATTGTGTTTTTAGATTCTGCTGCACGCTGATGCCATAGTGTTTGCAAATAAGACACTGGAAACAAAATTTTTAATGAGGGACAATTAGAAGAGTGTTGGTTTGTTTAGCAAGGCAAAACAAAGGCTGAAAGAAGAAAAGACTGCTGCCTATAAATAACTGAAGAGGCAAGAAGCACAGCACTAGTGAAGAAGGGCAGTCATGCAAGGTAATGAACACTATTTGCACAGGAGAAAAAAGGTCTAAAGGGGTGCCAGTATGTATGGGCAGACTGGAAATTTGACAAGACATTCATTTGGGCAGGCAAGCCTATAGCAGCCTCTCAGTGGGAATGGCAGATATGGAAAAAACCAAACTGTATTTATGACTATGCTGAAAACATGCATGTGAAGGGAATTTGGGATGGTGCATGGGTAGCAAGGGGTGAACCTCAGCAACCAGTGGGTCTCTGCTAATTCCACATTCACTGAGAAAGGTGTGCCAGTGGAACGGTGCAGGGGACAGCTGTAGGAAGTGGTGGGTGAGGTTTCATGAGACCCACAGGCTGCAGCATGAGGAGAAACTCAAGATTCACGAAATGAATCCACAAGTCTCATAGAGGCACTGGGGCAAGTATCCTCTGCATTTACTGTGTCACACATAAATTGTCTTTCTGCTGTCATGTCAATGCCTGGTGAAAAATTAATCTTCCAGTGAAAAAGGGTCAGGGCACACTCCTACTGAGCAACTGCAGCAAGATGTGTGACCGACCAGGCACTATGACTTGCCTGTAAAAGAGGTAAAAGGCTCTTAATTCGAAGAGGGGCATCAGTGAGGAGGAGCAGGAAGGTGAGGACAAGAGGACATAGCCTTTCAGCTGCGCCAGGGGAGCTTTAGGTTGGATATTGGGATGGATTTTTTTCACGGAAGGAGTGATGAGCCAGTGGAATGTGCAGTCCGGGGAGGTGGCGGAGTCACCATCCCCGGAGGTGTTAAAGACCAGACTCAGTGCCACGGCCTGGTTAGCAGTGCTGTGTTCTGCCATAGGCCGGGACTCCCTGATCTCAGAGGTCTTTTCCGAACAAATTCTGCGACAGAGCAGCCATGGCGAGATAGACTCCGGGCCCACAGCACAAGGAGGCGCTGGGCAGCAGAGCGGGTCAGACGCAGAACCCGCGGGGCAGCTCCCGGGGCCAGCCCTGACTCTCAGACCGGGACCGCGGGCTCTCCCTCCCGGGCCGCCGCCGCCGGGGCCCTCAGTTCCCCGCAGCAGGCCCGCGCGCGGCCGCCTGCTCCCCGATTGGGCGGCGCTCCTGTCAATCAGCGCCCGCGTGCGGGCGCCGCCCCCTCTTCCCGTGGTGCCTGCGCGCGGCGGGCGCTGAAATTCAAATCCCGGCAGCGGTTGGGGCGGAGGTTTGGCCGCTCGGGGCGGCCCTGGCGAGCGGATCCTGCGGGCACCGGCACAGCCATGGACCCCTTCACCGAGGTGAGGGCTCGGCCTCCCCCAGCCCGGCAGCCGGGGAGGTGGCGAGTTGTCAGTGTCGGGGGCGGCCAGGACACAGAGCAGGGAAGGGGCCGGTTGGGGGCCGCAGGGAAGGAGCTGCTCCTCTTGGGATGGGGTAGTTGCTCCTGGCTGAGCCCGGTCCGCCACCCTCGTGTCCGCTCGCGGGGGTTTGCGGGCTTGCAGCGACCCTCTTTCCGTGCAGAGGGGTGACCCTCGCTGCCCCGCCCCTGGATCCCGGCTCCTGCCGGTGGCTCCGCTCCTGGAGCCGCCCGGGCAGTGTCAGATCCTGCCGGGAGAGCGCAGAGCACGGGCGGTAGGCGCAAGGGTTTGCGGAGGAGAGAGAGGCCCTTTCCCGAGCCGGGAGATAAGATTTCCAGCGGGGACGGAAGGGACCCCGGCAGCAGACGGGAGCGCTGTTGACACTCTGTGCCTGCCATACCTAAAGGTCGGATCATAAAGCTGTCCAAAGAGGAGACCATCTGATAAAAAATGCATCCGATTCGGCACGATTACCAGCTGCGATTGGTCACTTTCTTTAGCAGGCACAGTTCCTCTTTTTTTTTTAAAAAAAAAAGGCTGTTCGTTGTTAGGGTGAATTGGCTATGTGCTTAAGTTTTACAGAAGCGAAATTGTAGTAAAATGAAGAATTGGCCACCTTGAATCTGTATGAAGGTTGAAGGTTTCTTAAAGATTCATTTCATATATTTCATGTATTCTCATTTCATGTCAGAGGTGTAGTTTTACAGCTGTCTTGTGACTGCTTTGAGAAGTGTCATAGTAAAAAGGGCCTTCAATCAAGCCTGTGTAAATAAAACCTGAACTACTTGGAAAAAATTCTAATCAGATACACTGATGAAATGCTCTCTCCTCCCCTTGTAGACAGTCTGTTTATCAGACTGGCATTGTTTAGATAATTTGAGTGCCCAGAACAGGTGACTGCACAGATCTGATTTTAAAAGAAAGGGACATAAGGTGTTAATCTGAACAGATTTAGTAAATGTGTTATGCCAAGGCAGTCCTACCCTATCCCCGTGCTAAGTGTAAACATCTAAAACTTCCTTCCTTAATTGGTAGTGAGTGACATGATCCAGCTTGTCTTAAATAAGCTTCAAGCCCGGACTACTAAATCAAATTTAAAATGGTTTTGCATGCTGGGAGTTATTCCAACCTGTACACGCCCTTCTTGTACATAGCTGACTTTGAAATGCTTTGAAAATGACCAACTGTGAGGCCACTCCCCAGAGTAAACTTCGTTCAAGTGTTAGCCAGTATTGCAGAATGCATAAAAAGTCACCTTATCAAGAATATTTCTGCTGTGGAGGACATTCCATTGTTGTGTAAAGTTCTTACCAATATTAGAGTCCTAGTATTGAAGTTTAGTAACTTTACCCCAAGTTCTGTGGAAAGAAATTTTACCACATACTTTTAAGTATTTATGTTCTGTGGTTTGTGTTGCTATTTTTTTTTTCTTTTAATATAACCTTCCTTTAAGTTAACTGTTTTCAAATACTCTTTGTCTCCACATTACTGTACTCTGTTACTTGCAGGGACCTGGTGAGGCACTGTAAGTGTTGATTGTGTAAAATGTAATAATTCGAGCCTTAATTGGACAAAGCATACTGTTAATTCAGTGTCTGCTGATCACTTTGCAGTGGCAAATTTTGTCTGTGTCTCATAGAATTTAAGCTCAAATAAATCTTGGTGTAAGATTCAATGGAATGCTTTCAAAATAGTTCTGAAATAATGTTTCTTTTGGTTAATCTTGTAAAAAAAAAGCTGATAACCTTCTGAATCTCAACCAAATTATTAATACAGATTGCACTGAGGAGATGGTACCGTGGGTACTTTCTCAGGATCACAGTGAACATACTATTTGTGACTCTCCATTCAGAGCTGATTTTATAACTCAACTTTCTTGCACAAAAGGGTTTATGTTAGTTACTATGGGATGTGAGAAACGGGTACTTTCTCAGGATCACAGTGAACATACTATTTGTGACTCTCCATTCACAGCTGATTTTATAACTCAACTGTCTTGCACAAAAGGGGTTTATGTTAGTTACTGTGGGATGTGAGAAATAGTCTAGGTTATTTTGTACTTTGAAGTAGTTTTTACCATTCATAGAAGCAAGGATGGTTTCCTAGAATGGAGGATGAGCAAAGACAAATAAACAATGCTTATTTGGGGAAGATTTGCAAATGTGAGGGTTGAAATTAACTGTTCCTTCAATTGCTCCCTTTGCTCTGTTCTGCTAGTAAAGCAGGGTAGTTGAACAAATTCTTGTTTAAGAACATAATAACATATGATTATATATGGGCCTAAGTATCTACTCTAATATGTACTTTAAAACATGCTTTTGGAACACCGAAGTTGCCCATTAACATTTGAAGTGGGAAGGTTTTTTCTGATTTTTAGCAAGTGCTTTTGTAACACAGTAATCCACTTTGACTTTGTAGTCCTCACATTGCTTGATGTAATAAAATAAGTAATGGTCTCACACACGTTGTGTCATTCTTGGGGCTGTTCTGTGCAGGGTCAGGGGCTGGACTTCCAGATGGTCACTTCCAATTCAGTATATTCTATGGTTTTGAGCTTCTATGATACTCTGAAACTTTGTCATCAGAACAATTGGAGAATGTACTTTTAGAAAATACCCTGTTGATGAACTTGGAAAGTAAGCCTCAAGTTGTGGAGTGTGGCTTAGTCATCGTGTGTAACAGCACCGTTGGAATTACGGCAGTTGAATGGAAAATTTGAGATGCAAGAAGCCAATAGGAGCTGGAGCTGAACAACAGAGGCGTGCATTCTTGGGAAGTGACATCTCATATGTAACAACTGAAACTGTTTTGCTCAACTAACAAAACAGAAAGGAACGTGCCTGTCTTTGAATAGAACTGTAGGAATACTGTTGTAAGACATATTCAAGTTTTGCAAGAAGAGCTGTTAAATTAAATTGCCTTTAGGATTTTTTTAATGTGGGTATTACATGCACTTTGTATCTCTGCATTTTGGGAATAAGCTAAGTTGACTTGTGGACACAACTAGCATGGAACTTGCGTTGAAGGCATTCATGGCATTTTATGCATTTTGGTTTTGGGACTTTTTTTTCCAAATTCCTCCTCTTTGGTGGAAGTTAGCAAAGCTGAGATTTGTTTTCACAAAAAAACTGTTGAGATTGACATTCTATTTGTCCTGTGTTGCCCTACAATAGAACATTGTTTAAGACTTCAGCCTTAGACAGTTAAAAATGTGAAATGTGTATTTAATTGCTGTGCAACAGGACAGATAATGGCTGGCACAGTTCTCATGATAATTTATGTACCACCAAACAAGTGCAGTTTATATGCTTCCCTTTAAAGGCCATTAGTTCAATTGCACAATTTTTTGTCTCAACATTAAAACCTAGATGAAAAGAGTCATTAAGTGTCCTTTAGATGTGATCAAACTGACTGATAATGACTTACAAATGATATATTTGAAACAAACAAACCATAACTTATTGTAAACCTGGGTACTGTAAGGAATCACTTTGTACTAGTGTGGAACATTTACTAAACCAGCTATTTTACATGGAATATAATCAGGGTACTCAAATTTCCAGTGGGTAGGAAGTGAGAAAGAATGTTATGTAGTTTAATTGGTACCTCTTTATATGTTTTTTCTGTATAGTGCTATCTTAAATAAACAGGCTATTTACCATTATATAGCTAGGTATAATATCAGTTTATTCTTAAAATTTAAGCTTGAAGCAAAGAAATTCACCTTTTGATTTAGAAGGTGTAATAACAATTTTTTAAATATTGACAGCCACGCTTTTATTTGTTGAACTTTTTTATGACCTCTTGACAATTGCTTCAATGTTGTTTATTTTGTTTGAAGGCTAGTGCCAGTCAGGTGACTTGACCAGATGCTTTAGCAATGTGTCAGAAAACCCTGCTAGCAAGACTTGACTGATCAAGACTGTCACATGATGATTCAGCATAAAAAAAAATTACTTTCAAACATTTCTGATGACTTTGGGTTCTGCAGGAGCCCCTCTTCTTTAATTTTGCCATCACTCGTGTCTCTTTAGCTTGATTTTCTTTCAGTGCCAGGCTAGTTGGAGACAATAGTTGATATAATGACTGAAATTTGGAACCTGCTGGCTATGTATGCTAAACAGAATTCCATCATCTTTTACTCTGAGCTGTTACTAGTTAACACACTGCAGTGTCTGGTAACACATTCTTATTCACCACTCAGAAACTCCTTGAAAGAACCCGTGCCAGGCGAGAGAACCTGCAGAGGAAAATGGCAGAGCGGCCGAAGATGGGGGCGAGACCCACGATGCAGACCAAGAGGACCAGGGAGCCTTTGGCAGAAACTGGTAACCAGGCATCTCTTCCTGGTGATGAAGGTATTTAGTGGCATGTTTAATAAAGATTATTTTGATACTAGTCTCATCTTTTTTTCCAAAGGGAAAGTGAAAACCCTGAGCATTTATCGTAAACTAAACAGTGATGGATGCAGTTACTTGGCCACTAGGCCTAGCTTGTGTTTAGCTGGACCTGAGAGCAGATGTGCCAAGTCATTAGTAAGCTGTTTAGAAATAATTGCATAATGCCAAAGAGAGTGCCTTGTGCCTGGTAGATTTGGGGAAGTGCATTTTTTGGGAAGTATATCAGGGTATTCAGAAATCATAGCTTTATTTGTACTACAATTATGTGTTGTTGGAAAATATTTTAGATTGTTTGAATACTAATTTGTTTGAATACTCTGATCTATCCAGCAAAACCAGATACAAAGCCATCGCCATCAAAAAGGCTCTGCCCTAATGATATAGAGGCTCAAGCTTCTAGTTCAGAGAATGTACAGCCGGTTCCTTCAAGTTCCAAAAGCCATGACTCTGCTCAGATGACTTCAGAATCACACGAAACTGCTTCTAACAGAGCTTCATTGGTTCAGCCTCTTGAGAAAGTAAAACAAAACACCAAGTCAGAAACTCCTGCGGCCCTTTCAGTCAAAACACGTATGCAGAAGTTGGCAGAACAGCGGCGCTGCTGGGATAGTGAGGGTATGTTTCACTTGCTGAGCACCATTGGTGTCTCTGTGTTTGCATTGATGATTATGTTGGCTAGAAGACGGTGATGTTGTGTGTGGGAAGATTGATGTTTTTTAAAGAATTCTAAGACAATACTAGGGCAGGCCTAAAATACTGAAGCTGTTATCTACAGCTTAATTTTAAACTTGTTTTTCTCTACTCTCATGCCTTGCTCCTCACAACACTGACATAAATTAGTAAACTGCTTGATTAAAAATTTTTAATTTGCTTAGTCTCAGTGCCTCTGGGGCTAGTAGTTTGATTCTGTTTATGGCAGGAACATCTAATTGTTGATAAACTCAATATATAGTATAATGCAAAAGATACAACCATATCTCAATGTAATTTTTAGCAAAATAAATGTGTTTTCTTTTTTTCCAGATCCTTCTGAATGTGTTCCTCTGTCTCCTCTACAGTCAAAAGATCTGTCTGTTTCTCCACCTAAGCAGACATCCAATGCCCTGGCAAGCGAAACCCCTATTGGGAGAAGAGGCCGTTTAGCTAACCTTGCTGCTACAATTGGTTCCTGGGAAGATGACCTAAGTCATCCATCTGCAAAGCAAAACAATGCACAAGAACAGCCTGGCACTACTTGTTTATCCAAATTGTCCACTACAAGTGGAGCATCTGCTAGAATCAATAGTAGCAGTGTAAAGCAGGAAGCTGCATCCTGTTCTCAAAGGCTTGTTGAGGCTTCTATTAATAAACCAGCAAATTCAAAGAGAGCGGTGAGTGCCTGATTTAGTTGCTGATTAAAAATTGATTTAAGTATTGTATTGGGGCAGACAAATGTTAGCATGTAACTCTTTAATCTGAATTTAAGGATTTGGTGGGAGCTGTCTTAGTCTGTTTACAACTTTTGCTTTATTGCAATCCTACATGCAATAATAGCAGATCTGAAACAGCTTAGAATTCCTTTTATTATGACTTAAAGAGTACTTATATCCTACATGCAATAATAGCAGATCTGAAACAGCTTAGAATTCCTTTTATTGTGACTTAAAGATAAGAGTACTTATGTGTTTTATTGATGTCAATGTACTTGATTGCTGCTCTTGACCATCAGAAGGGGGGCTTGTTACAGAGATACTGAATTTCACTCTGTAGCTTCATGTAGTTGGTTGACTGAAATTGTGAATGTTATTGCTGTATGAAGACTCAATCAGAATGATGAAATAACTAGTACCAGACACTTACTGATCAATTTCTGCAGTTTCTGCAATGACAATATCTGCCATGTGCATTCTGGTTTAGGGAAATATGGGATAATATTGAAAATAGTTGGCAAGAGCTTCTGGAATCAAATGCTGAAACAATTTGAAATACTGGATTAAAAAAAGTACTAAAATCCTAGCATTTGGTCTTGGTTTTTTCTTTTCTTGAAGGAACAGTTGTATTAGGTGATAGTATGCTATACAGAGTGCTTTCATTCTTTTTCCTCTTGAGAGAATAAGAATCCTCATCTCTTATTCTTTTTCTTTTTCCCTTGTTAAGGACCCAAACAAATTTTTAACGCAGTCTTCAGGAGTCACTGCTCCCTCTTCTAAAGAATCTGAAGTACAACAACGGCCAGCAGAGAATCCCTGCAGTCCTCGGAAAACTGAAGAGTCCACACAAACAGCAAAGTCAGCTTTGCCTCAACCAGTTCAGTCCAAAGCAGAGCCAGTCAAAGGAACACATGTGCAACTTGAACCCAAGGGTAAACCCACAACACCAGGTAGGCTGTTTGTTGGCTTTAATAAATATTCACTCAAATTAGGTCTATGTGTGCTGTGTTGAAAACAACATACCAGTTAAGAATTTAAGGTACCATACCAGATAATACCTATTTCTAGCTGTAACTTGAATAAAATGCTGATGAATTCTGTGATAATGATTTGAAGTTATACAGCTTCTGTTTTTTTGCAGGGGATGTTTTCTTGGACATGGTTTTAGTAATTCTTAAGAGCAAAAGCAGCCTAACATGTTAATTGAGATTATTCAAAATTTATTTGAGATTGTTTGGTACTATATGTATCCATTTGATATAATGTTAAGAGCCTACATATTTAGAAGAAATCAAAACTTGTTGCCACATATGTGCTCTAACTTTGCAGTGTCTTTATTTTCAGTGATACCATTGATGTCAAAACAAGTGAACATCCTCAGTTTTAAATTCAACAGCTTGTCGTGTCAGAAACCTGGACTAACAGCTGGAACTCTTAAAAATGATGGGTAGAAAAGCAAGTTTTAGATATGCTGACAGTAAAAGATAACCTCAATCAAGCAGGGTGGATGCCAAACAACATATCCTCCCCATGTACTAGAATACTTATTTCTGTGAAAGATATAAGTGGGGCTGGTTGTAGAGGAAATTTGGAAAAGGCAAACCAGTTTAAATAACTGATGTATTACATATGAACTGTAGTAAGAGAGAGAGACATCTACTTTGATTTACTGTTTTATTAACATCACTGTTACAATTTACATTTCAGCTTCAGTTTGTATAAAGTATAATGGAGTAAGAGCTGTAAAGGAGACAGTTTAATTGCTTCACTGGGAACCTTCATCAGGATACAAAATTGTGGTGATTTCTTTAATTTTGAGAGTTTCTTTCAAGGCAAAACAATTATTCTTGTAGGGGGATCTGGAATTAAGCCCTTCCTGGAACGCTTTGGGGAGCGCTGTCAAGAGCGTAGTGCACGCAGCCCTGCTGCGAATACTCCAGGGTGCAGAACACCCACTGTTACCCCAAATACAAGGACAATCCAGGAGAGGCTTCTCAAACAAAATGAAAATTCCTCTACTGCCAGTTTAGCACTTCAGCTTAAACAGGTACGACTTGTTATGTTCATAGCTAGCTTATAAGCTTGGGGAAGGTTATTACTGTTCTGCCCCTACCTGAGGAATCTGAAGTGTTGTGACATCTTAAGGCTGTCAGCTTTTCTCCCATTTCCCTTCGTTTGTTTAGGAACGTGAACGAGAACTTGCATGCCTTCGTGGCCGATTTGATAGGGGCAATCTGTGGAGTGCAGAGAAAAGTGACAGTTCAAAGAGGAAGCTTCCAGAAGCTAAAATGGTAATGTATTACCTCATCAATCAAAATATGATACTTTGAATTGCTTTAACATATTTGGAATACAGAGTTAAACGTGGAAATGTATATAAGGGATAAAAACCTATCCTTTGGGAGTGCCTGGGCTGGCAAGACCACTTGTCTAGTGATTTGTATGATGATTAAGAAATTATTAGTTTATTTACCTCTTGTAGAATCAACTAAGACAAGTGATACTGCTTTGAGCCAATTGACTTATTTACTTTTTGATGATAAATTGGGGGGGTTTTATGTTCTATAACTGCAAAAGTGAAAGAGCTCCTCATACAAACATTTAATATTTACTACTTCAGTTAAATATCTTGAATAAATAAATAGGGTACTGGATAGGCAACCTATTTTTCCTAGCAGCTGTTGAAATGTATTTTTTTCTGGTGGTTTTTTAGTCACTTTTAACATTACCTTCTGAATGCATTCTGTTTTTATTCTTTCCAGGAAAGCCAATCTCAAGCCAGTCCAAAACATCCTCCTAGTTCAGATGCCTCTGCTCTTGGATCATCGGAAGACACATCAGCAGGTGACAGGCCAGCAAAGTCTCCCAGCGTGGAGTCTTCAGGTGAGAACTGCCACAGTTTGCCTGTGACTAGTGCTGGACTGGAGCACTGCACTTGATATCCATGAGCAGAGAAAGAGGCCAGTAACACTGATGCGTGGAACTCGACCTCTCCTTTGATTACTGGTTATCCTATCTAAATCTTCTTGTATGATAGAAGTACTCTGCACTCCTATACCACCTGGAAGGACAGCGAGGCAAGACTGTCTTTTTGTTTTTCAATGGGTATACCTATATTTCAAACTTTAATGGAGATTGAGTGCAGGGAAGTGAATGGGAATTGTCAGTTACATATTTAGTCTATCCTGTACCTGAGTAACCAAATTTCCACAAGAAGCTAATGGGAGGGAACTCTTCCCTTGTCAGTATCCCTTTGTGATACTAATTCTTATGGTAGGACACCTGAAAAGAATTGTGAGGTGCTCCTGGCAGCCTTTCTGGTGCTCACTGAGCAGAAGAATCTTCAGCTCTCTTTAAAAAAAAGTGTGAACTTAGTTAATGCTCTTGGTAGACTGTTCACTTGAAAGATCTATCAAATGTCCTTCTAGAAAAATTTGGTTTGTGAGCAGGGGTTTGTGTAGTAGATTTTTTTGTCTTTTTAAAATTTTCACTTGCTCTTGGGTTGCTGCACTCTGCTATGGTTTCAGCCCTGTTTCTTGTGCTGTTCAGTTTTCTGATTATAAGATAGACGTCTAGATGTACAGGTTTTGGAGGGTATTCTAATGGGGTTTTTTTTGGCGAGTGGCTAACTGGAATGTTTAATCTAGTGGTCTTTTTGTTAGTAAGACTTCTAAAATTCAATGACCAAAATAAAGGCTAGACATAATACTTATTTTCTTTATAAACCCCTTAGATACTAAATGTGAAGAGACTGATAAACCCAGTCCTCTGAAGACTGCAGAGTCAAAGAGCCCTTTAAAAGTGATGTCTGTCTCAAAACTTGAACAGCTTGATGAAAAACTAAAAGGTTTGTATTGAGTAGACATATATTAATGACTTAGCTCTCTATGACCCCTTGTCTAGGACAGTGTTAATAGCCTTCAAGTCTGAACAATGAATTCAAATGAAAACATTTGCTGATCCCCATGTGTTTTGTAATGAGATTTATATAAAACAAATTAGGAAACTTCTATTATCATACATAGTCCTTCTCTCTTGACATTCAAGTCTTCAAGGAATATTAAAAGATGATGTTAAAAGCTCATTGGAAAAGGACAGAAATGACTGCCCTACTATGTGACTTTCAGATGTATTTGAACTAAAAGGTTGAAATTTGTCTAAAATGTGCATCTTTTCATTCCCTTTCTGCATTGATTATGCAGTATATGTAAAAATAATATATTAAAATAGCCATGGAAGTGTACCTTTAGGTTCTATACGCCCTACTGCAAGAAGTGCTTTTTAACCAAGCTTGCTTGAAAAGCAAAGCAAGTTTGCTTCTGTTTGTTTAATGAGAGCCTTGATGCTACTAATATATTTAAAAATGTCACCCTTCAGATGAAGTATACGAAGGCAAAACGCATGTGGATGATGAGATGAATGGCTCAAAAGTGATAAATGAGATTTTTGAAATTCTTCAAGAGGATGGTCCAGACATAGAAAAGCTGAAGAAAGAAATGAGCATGAGCCTGGAAGGTGAAAGTGATGAGGATGAGCAGGAAGAGTCACTGAACATTTCATCAATGTCTCTGTTAACCCCTCTAGTGGAATCTGTTGGTTCAGAGGTGAGAATTCGGGGAGGGTGGGGAAGAGCTTTTTAACACACAGAGATGTCCAATTGGCTTGTGAGCTGTGATATTTTGTAGTATTAGGATATCTGGGCAAATAAAGGAGTTACAAAGGGTGTTTTGCTAATGAAAGCCTAATGAGGCAAAGTTATTTTTCTCTGAAAATAGTGTAGCATATTGGATGCTCTGCTAAACAAGTGGTCTGTGAAATCAAACCTGTTACTAGTACTGGACTTGCAGTGGGTATACAAGCATTCAGTGGAGTGACTGCTGATGAAAAATCTGAAGAGAAGTAATTATGTAACTGCACTAATTTGGAAGCTAAAGGTGGCATCTCATTGAGTTCAGTAATTTGTTAGTATCCTTAAATAAATAAACTTGCTCTAGGTCCATATTTGTAAAAAATCATCTGTTAAATAGTATTAAACAAATTTACTGTTTATATGTAAAACATGTAAAGGAGAGAGAAAACAGATTATTATTATGTGAACAGATAGCTGTCATATGATTTCTTTTTCTCAGGCCTTTGGTAAATAGTATTAAACAAATTTACTGTTTATATGTAAAACATGTAAAGGAGAGAGAAAACAGATTATTATTATTATGTGAACAGATAGCTGTAATATGATGTTTTCTTTTTCTCAGGCCTTTGGGTCTCCTTCTAAGTCAACCGGGGAAGGTAGCAGTATCAGTGATGTCAGTCTGAAGTCTGAGAAGTTCCAAAGGACCAGAGTTCCCAGGGCAGAATCTGGAGACAGTATTGGCTCTGTGTCGGAAGATCGCAATCTTCCTTACAGGTAATAAACACAGCCCTGACTCTGTAAGTGTTCAAGTTAAAACACTGGTTTTTTTAACTCTAATGATGCATACTACTCAAACTACAAATTAAGCTTTTTTTGCAATATCTGAGCCTTTATCAAAGACTGTGTAGTCTTTTATGTTGCTTAAACTTAAAATCAGCTGTTAGAATGCCTTCTTTAAAGCCATTTAGGCAAGTTGGAAAACTTCAATGTATGATACATGCCTGTGTTTGTATTAAAAAGAGCTTGGCACACCTGTGAATAATTTTGTGGGATTTCCTTTTTTAAAAGTGTCGATGCGTACAGATCCCAAAGATTTAAGGAAACTGATCGTCCTTCAATAAAGCAAATAATTGTTCGCAAAGAAGATGTGGCTTCCAGACTAGAAATGAGAAGAAATGGCCCATCTGATCAAGTCAATATCAAAAAGAAAATGCAGGTACCTAATATGCTTCTTAAAATCCTTTTTCTAATCTACTGTTTCCAAATTTAATTTCCACTATGAATGTCCAGGACATTAACATACTGCTTAGAATTGCAAAATAAGGTTGTTAGCTTATTTCTATTTTGCATTAAAATCTAATGGTAGGGAATGATGATGCATAATTTGAACACCTAATGCTTCTCTTAAACGGATCATGTTATAGATTAAGTCTGGAGAGAACAAGCCATTATTTTGAGAAGGAGACAGAGAATCTGTGTCTTAGCACTGCCTTTGAATTAGGCAGAATTTGTAACTACCTACTTTCAGTAGGTAATATTCTGATCTTTACTAGTGCTTTCTTCATCTATATAGCTGAACTTCTGGTTAGTGCTGCTTCCCCTGGTGAAGGGGAGATTAGATGGGATATGGAACACACAATATTGGAGTCTTTCACACCCCACCATACCTCCGACATCAAAAAAAAGTTGTGCTGTTCTTTTGCTGAAGTAACAGTTAACTGCAAAGCTTTAGTAGTTTGCTATCTAAGGATCTGATTTTCTTTTGAAGCCTTGTCCCCCACAAAGGCTTACCTAGAGACATTTCCTTGTTTGAACGCAACACTAGATCTCTCTTCTTGGTAATTATTTTTACTGCTGGTTTACTCTAGGAACTGAACAATGAGATCAACATGCAACAGACAGTGATTTATCAAGCCAGTCAAGCTCTGAACTGCTGTTTTGATGAGGAGCATGGGAAAGGGTCACAAGAAGAAGCAGAAGCAGAGAGACTTCTTCTCTTTGCAAGTAGGTTTTTATACTCAAGTTCAATTCTTTGTAATGAACATTGAGACAAAGTTCATAATTTCTTTCTCATTTATTGTGTTACATTGTGGCCATTTATTAATAGTTCTTCACCTGGAAAAAAGAACAGGATAGTATCTATTTTGTCTCAGCTCATTTTATAGGGAAGACAACATTTTTAGTATCTTTCTTGACCCTTATAGTCATATTACACTGTAAAATGATAAATATTTAAGTTGCATTTTACATACTTAAGGCAGAAAAAAATTGTTCAGTACTTTTTCCTGTGTAGAACTGTAATTAATTTCTTTGTGCAGCTGAGAAGAGAACTGCTTTACTGGAAGAATTGAATAAACTGAAGAGTGAGGGACCAAATAATAAAAGAAATAAAGCTGCTTCTACATCCGCTGAATTTGCACCCTCCAGGGGATCTGTTTCCATTTCAGAAATGCGTCTACCTCTAAAAGCAGACTTTGTATGTGGTACAGCTCAAAAGCCAGGTAAAACTAGCAAACAAAAGCTTTATTTCTTTTTGCCTCCTTCCTCATTCTCCCAACATGTATTACTGGTTCATTCTCCTTGGGGTTGTTTTTTTTTTTTTTTTTGTCTTCTGCTTTGATGTTCTCAGAAATCTAGGGGTAATGAAAATTTAGCTATTGCATTCAGTTCATCTGCTTCCGACTAACTTTTCAATGTTTCAGTGAAAGCTGATGTGTGGTTAAGCTGGCAGACCTAAGGAGTACAAAGAACTAAGATTATTTCTGTTCTGACTGAAAGTTCTTCCTCTCCTCTTTCACACACTGGTTAGTGTAGGTCTGGCCTGAGATTCCCCAGGCAGTAAAGCAGTTGCTGTGAATCCTGTGGAGACAATTTCACTAGTAGACACAGCATAAAGAAAATAAAATTGTTTTAAGATTAAGTTTACAAACAATGTCTCAAAATGTCAAGTTTCAAATGTAACTGAATGTTTTTAAGTAGGGTGAAACAGAGATGTGCTTAACAGAAATGTAGTACTTGGGGCTTTTTTTTAGATACTTGGAGTCCTCTGGCTAACCAAACCATCTGATGTGTTCTTACAGAAGCAGGAAATTACTACTATGTAATAATACTGAGATCTGGAGCAGAAAACATGGTTGCAACTCCACTAGCAAGTACTGCCAGTTCCCTAAATGGAGATGCTCTTACTTTTACTACGACGTTCACTATGTAAGTATAAAGAAACTCTTGAATCAGTTTTAACTCTGGTGGAGCATGCAAAAAAAGATTTGAAGTCTTAGTTATAAGAATGTCATATTCTGTAACAAAGTATGGAGAGATTTTTTGGTATAGCTATTTCCTTCTTCAAAAAATAGCTGGAAGGCACTTCTCTCAAAAGAGCAACCTAGACTTATTCAACCATCCATCAGCTACTTTATCTCTTGAATTTTCTGCCTTTTGTTCTTTCCTGGAACACCTGCAATGACAGATGGATTGCTGTGCCCGAGATGTGTTTTTCTCTTTTGCAGCAACTAACATTTTATATAGCTATTTGCTTTTGGTATCTGGGAAAATAGCGCTCTTACAACTATAACTTCAACTCTCACATGCCAGCTAAAAAGGCATTGTGAGTTCAAATGGCTGTTTGCTAGTAAGTCTTCAAAATAAATAAACAAACTGTTTTTGAAGTTCAGTTGTACTGGAATTTTCACTTAAAACTATTTACTCAAAAAACCCAGTCTGTGACAGGGGAGGATGCAGTCTGAGAAATGGTGGATGCACATTATCTTCCCCTTGTCCTTCCCTCCCCTTTTCTGAGTTCTTGAAAGTATTTTTATATAGTAATACACTACAATCTTTTTGCTCCTTGGACAGTTATAAGGAGCAAAAGGAGGGAAGAAGTAAAGAGTAACTTAAAACCCAACAAAACCAACCAAAAGAAACAAAAAAAACCATCCCCAAAACCCTGCCACAAATCAAAATGAAAGCCTTTTTGCTTCAGTTTAACTTGTTTTTTTCTTCTTCCCTTTTAGGCACGATGTGTCAAATGACTTTGAAATAAATATAGAAGTTTATAGTTGGGTATGTATCAGTTCCTGTGAAGAGGAGGTGTAAGGGAGAATGATGTGCTGTACTTTCTCAATACCACCTTGTCTTACAGGTGCAGAGAAAAGAAGGTACAAGCACTGAAAAAAGGAAAAAGACAAATAAATCTAAGGTAAAGGAAACCTGAAAATCAGTATGTAATATTTCAGCAGAAGGTGCACTAGGAAAACTGACTGATAGTCTTAGACAATCTGTTGCTTGCTTTTACTCCCTTCTTGGAACATCTGCCATGACAGATGGATTATGGAGACCTACAGCAATTAGTAGATTGGACCTGCAGCACTTGGTTGAGTCTGAAATATATTGGTGGGGAAGGTCTTACTAGTTCTGCAAAATACTATGTTTTGCAGACCTTTATTTATTAGATGTGGGGTCTCCAATAGTGATTTATTGCCCTTTTTCTCCACTTCAGTTAAACTATGCCAGTCAATATGCTCTTCCCTGGAGTTTGATTTGTCTTAAAGGTTTTATTGATCAACTAAAAACTCCTCTTTCTCCCCAGTATTAAGTATAAGCGCTAGAAGCTTACTTTTTAAAGCACACATTGTTTTGAAAAGGGCATGCATATCAAGTGTTTGTGCTTTTTTAAGGGTATGTGAAGATATGTAACTCTAAACAAGCCTTTCCTGGAGGTGGTTTAGGGTTTTTTTTTTTGCAGTGGGTTTTTTTTTTTATTTTGGATTGATTTTGGGGGCATGTGTGTATTTTTCTTCTCTTCATTGTAATAGAGTACACAGTGAATTAATGGCTTCAGGAATGATTTCCTCCTTAACATGATATCTGTCACTTGGCAAAAGCAAGAAACTTGAGTGTCTTTCAAAACAGTTGGAATGAGTACTTAAGTCCTGTGTCTGCAAGCAGAAATAGGAAATTTCTTTATTCTTAGATTTGACACAGTGAAAGCTTCCACCTATTCTGTAATAAAAATTGCAAGTACCAGGGTTTACTTCTCTCCTGTGCTGTAGTTTAAAGGAATTTTTACTTCTAACTGAAGGATTTCATGCTACTGTAGGTAAGTTGCTGATAGGAATTTATAGATTTGACAATGGCATCCTATATCTGCTTTTTGACAAGCTCTTAGTCTTGTCTTTCAACCTCAATTAGAGTACATAACTCCAGTTGGTGTTTAATATACAGTCTCACTTAATCTTTGAGATTTTAATTTGAAAATAATGATCTATAACAGTATATTGAACATATACTTTCTTGTGTTAACTCTTACCATTAGTTAAGCAAATATAAGTTTGAAATCCCCTTACATAGGTAAAAAGGCCTACTAAGATTGGTTTTCTGCTTTAACTTTTCTGCAGTAATTACTTCTTTGCTATGTAGCATTTCTTCCACTGAGATATAGTATGTCCAGTCAAAACCCAAGACTTACTCATGGTAATGAGTACCCATTCAAAATTTGAGATAAGTCTTCAAAATTTGAGATAAGTAGTTTCACTGTCTAGTTTTCATGCAAATGTGCTGGACAAACTCAGTAGCAAATGCATTTATCTTCTTGTCTTATTTTGTAGGTTATTACTCCAAAGAGATTATTAACATCTATTACCTCGGTAAGTATGAATGTAATATTGTAACAAGACCTGACTATGACCCCTTACAAAGGGTATTTTCTCACAGATTAAGGCTGTGCCCATAATAAGTTCTTTCTGTTCCTTACATAAGGCTCTATAAATTGTCCAGTTTTCTGCCAAATTTTTCAGCCATCAGCTCAAGAAACAGCTCTGTTACATATGTGATGCTGGAAATATGCATTTATCTAGACTTTTCAATTTTATTCTATTTGATTGGGTTTTTAAAAGCACTTCAAATCTAATTTATTTTTACCTTGGCTTTGTCTTCAGTGGAAACTCTCAGAAGTACTTCCTCACTAAGCTTTTTTTTCTCTCTCTTTCTAGAAAAGCAACCTTCTTACTCCAGGTAAGTAAAGTCTAACCATCTTATGCCAGGATGAATAATCTACACTTGCTGTCAAAATTACTGTATCAATAAATAATACTTTAACAGATGACAATTTGTGAGTAATAAATACTAAATTTTCCAGCCCAGAAACTGGCCCTGTGCTTATTCTGTTACCATTACATTCAACAGAAGATATCTTTACAAAATCAGAATTAAAATCTGGTATCAGATACCCACAGTTTACTTTTTTTTTCCCTGAAAGTATGAATTCAAACAATTTTAATGATTTTAAAAGTAGAGAACAAGAATCTGCTGTCAACAAAGGAATACAGATTAATTTGAAAATATGAACAGATCCTGAAATATTGCTTGTGTGTAGTGTTTTGTGTATGTATATTTATATATAAAAACATATATAAACCTGTTTATATATTCCTGACTCTTGACAGAGAAAAACAGCACCTCTAAGGGTTTTTCTAAGTCTATAAAAACATTATACACTTATCTGACTAAAGTATGCGATACTTGATCTAGCTTTTGCAGAAATTGCAGCAATAGGAGCTCATAAACTAAATCTGGAATGTGTATCATGCTGCTGCAAACTAGTAAGATTCCTGAGCTACAGTGTGTGTTTCTCATGATGTAAGTGCAAAGGAAAGGTGTACAAATTCTGGAAGAAGTTAAGAGATAGAAAAGTCGCATTCCTACTGCAGGGCATGTGTGCTTTGTAGTGTGACCCAGCACACTCTCCATCCCCCTGAGACTTAAAATGCTTTGTTTTCTCATTTGTGGATGTTTTCAAACCTTGTTTCTGAAAGAAAAGGTCTGCTGAGGAAGAATGGTGTGTGTCAAGATTCTCTCTGAATGTGCTGCTGGGCTGGGCTGCACTGCCAAGAGCGCTTCTCCTTGAGTTCCGAGCAGGGCATGCATGCAGTAGTGCAAATAAAAATACTTTTTTTTAAGCCTTGCAGCATCCCGATTGTGTGTTTTGGTGTGACTTCACTTTAACTTTTCTCCACAGCCATGGCCAGTCCAGGTGGCCCAAATGCCATACGCAGTACGAATTTCATCCTTGTTGGGTCCCACAAGTTATCGCTGTCTTCTGTGGGAAATACCAAATTTGCACTGGACAAGGTAAGGGAAATTATTGGTTGCTAATCCAAAGGTAATGGTATGCTACAAAAAAATAAGAGTCTGGGTTTACTTTTCAGGTGGAAGTACCATCCTATATATGAAACACATAAAATGGTTTATAGATAGGTTAATTATATAGACATTAAAATTGTTGCATAGTTTTTACTTGCATATAATTTAATATTAATTAAATGTAGTTTTGAGATAAACAGGGAAACTTTCATTACTATGCCAGGTGCTCTTTCATTTCTGTAGCTCAGTAGCAAAGATAATGAAGGAATTTGATTACTGATTTGTTTTCACTGACAAAAAATTGATGTATGCAGTTGGCATTTTTATGTGTGGTCTTCATATTGCTGCTCCTAGTCTTGCAGTTATCACTAAAGAAGGCATTAAGTGTGTTTTAATGATAATGAAGTGTTTGAATTTTTCTGCACTTAATTGACCTAAAAAAATGCCATTTGAATATATTTAAGATCTTGAGTTTTTCCTTTCATATCCCAAGAAGCAATTATCTTAAGTTTTTTGGAGAGCTGTTACTGAGTTTTATGCCATTAGTTCCTTGTCTACACAGAATGTTTATTGGCTTTTGCTATGAGAAGTTTAAAAAATACCTTCTTCCATTCATTGTAATCTCTAACCTTGTAATATCTAATATCTAAAACCTATTTTAATCGGTGTTTATGCCAGCAGCTATCCTAAGCTAGTTTGAATTAATTCAAATGTTACTACAGTTTATGGTAGTACTAAATCATAGCTTGAGCTACCCAAACAACAGCATAAGAATAATCTTCTTTTTTTTTTTTGGCTAATCAAGTCTTATGGTGATAATAATATTATTGCAATTACAGCTTCTGATGAGAGATGAGAAAACAAGAACTAGTTGTCTTTGTGTATAAGCCTTAAAACAAAGTATCTCAATAATTCCACCCTGCATTTTAGAAGTTTTACTTTTTGTAGATAGAAGCAGATTCCTTCACTGAAACAGCTGGCAGAACAATGGTTAAATTGCACTGTTGTTACTGACTTGTGCATTTCAGAAGTAGCTGCTCTGGTTCTTCAGCATAAATGTTCCTCTGAACCAGAACTATATGTAGAAATCTTTGTGTGTAGCTTCCTTATTGGAAACCCCTTGTTCTTGGAGATAATGGAATCAGCTTTTGCATTATATTCAGCAGTCTAGGTTTGGACTTTCTGGTTTACATTGTATGACAGGACACTAGACTGGACTAGTGAAATACAGCCAAAGTACGATATATAAAGAGAATTCTGGGGAAACTATCATTTGGTTAATTTTTTGCAGATGCAGTCTTACAGTTATGTGGCAAAAAGGGGAATTCTTATTCATTATTTGTTTGGGTTTTTTAATTAAATTACTACCTCAGTAAAATTTCAGTTTTGACCTGGCCTATGGCTGTACCAAACAGCTGCTTGCTTCACTTATTTCGAATATGGAACAAACTGATGCCACAGTGGTTTTTTGAGTGTCATTCCTTTCTTTTACCCATGTACTGTTAAAATGTAGGGTACAAAGGACCAAAATATATTAATGTATATCTGTCCTTTTTCTTCTAGACCATAACTTTACACTAATTGCATTGAGCATGTTTCTTTTTTCCCTAGATAAATTTTGAAGGGGAGGAAAAAGAACTGTTGGGCTATTTGTTCCAGGACAAGGTTGCTATGATCCTTTAGTTTCTAACTTAAAATAGGAAAATGCTTTCTAGTGCATGTTGCTTATTTCTGTCTGGCTTTTTGCAGCTTTTTTTTTTATTCTTCTGAGAAAATGCTTACAAAGATTTGCTAACTAAAACCAAGATATTAAAAGCCTTTAAGACTTGCAGAATTCTACCCCTTGTCTTTCACAATAATAAGCATGCTGCTGGAACTCAGTTATTTAGGTTGCCTAGGGTTTTTCCTTAACTATCATGTTTATCTTGTTTTCCTGGATCATTAGAGGAGGGTGTTTCTTGCTTCAGAACAAATGGATGTATTTCTTAAAGAGTTCTAGTCAGGAAATTTGAGCCAGCTTCTTGATGAAGTACACAGAATATAGAATCAGCTGCTGTGCTGATCAGAGAACCGGAGAAAAATGTCTTTAAGCCTAAATGTTGGTTTAATTCATTGCTGCTTAAGAAAATGAAAATCTCTCAGAACCTAAATAATCTTTCTTCTTATTACAACGTTGTGATTATCAAGACATTTGGTTTTTTAAGCAAAAAGTTTTGAAAATACTAAACATGACAAATAAATTGAGGTCCTTATTTGTACACAAATGTGCACTTAAAATATTTTGCTTAATGTATATATTTTGGCTTTAGAAATTATGTGAATTGATATCCTTAACAGAAATAATTTGTCTTTAACCTATGAAAATTGTTTTATCTAGTTAACAGTTTACTTGAGTCCTGCATAAGAAAGTGTTTTAGATGAATTTTCATATTTTCTCTCAAAATTAGGCAAGTGATACTTTTAGTGCCTATCCTCTCCTATTTTTAATCAAAAGTCTCCTAAGAAACCAGTTTTTCAAATGCTTGAGTTTTTTTGAGACCCTTTACAGATAATCTTCTGTGACAGTAAGCTGTGTCCCTATGGCAAATACTTGAGTGACCACATCAGAATGCAAGATAGCATCGTCATGGGCTTTAGTTTTCTTTTAATCTAGCTGGATATTTTTCAAACTGCTTTCTTTCCATCACCTTTAACTCTATGAAAGAGATATATTGTAACTAGAACTCAATATTTTCTCATTACGTCTACAAGAGTGTTTCGAGACCTGCTTTAGTAATTAGTAATGGGGTTGTAGGCTCTACAAAACTGTGTTTGGCTTGTTATACAACCTCTTTGCTTTGCCTGTCACAGAGTTCTTCACTGGTAAACTTCATAAAATGGGTTCTTCTGGCATAAAGCTTAAAGGAGATGCAAAACCCATGAACCTGAAGTGGGAAATGGCCAAATATTCTTGAGGCCCTCATTCAGAAATAGGTTTACTGGGCTTTATTAGGGTTATATGCCATTATTCCTTGGTGTAGCATGTAGGGTTATAGTTGTCTTTGCTGATAAATTGCATTAGTTCAGGATTTTTTATCATTGTTACATGGAAGTGTTTTACTATTTTTTGCTTCTCAAGTGGTCATGGAGACTCCTCCCTAATGCTTAGATTTTTTCTGTGCTATACTATTCTTGTTGAGTACAGGAACAAGCCATTAATGCTGTGTTAGTTGAGTAGATCTGACATATGAAGATGATTTGATCACCTGCTTGTGCATGTGTGTCTTATGTCTGGGAGGAAGCTGCAGGATGTCTGCAATTCCAAGGTGATCAATTTGTAACCACAACACCTATTTTGGTGTTCTGCAGGACTCACGGAGGCCCACAGATGAGCACTTTTTACTACTGAGGGTTACTCCTGTTCATCTTAACTAACAGCAAAATTTAGTTCCATTTGAATGGTTGCATAGTTCTGAAAGCTACTTTGTTACTGTGTAAATATGCCTGTGCCTATTCCCTGGCAAACAGTTCTTTACTGGTATTTGAGTAGCAATATTGACTTTCCTGGTTTTTCTAGTAATAGAAAAGATGTATGTTTCTGATTTTTTGTCAATTTCTTTTCAAGATTCTTAGCAGTGTTGTTTATTCAAATTAGCAATAAAATACAGTATGTAAAATGCCATGCAGGTCATCATTTGCTTGAATTAGCGGTTTGCCTCAATTTCCATGTGAGGGAGGAGAAAAGAAGGGATGTGATTTCATAGGAGTAGTCAAGGTAATGAGGCATTATTTGTAGAGGGATTGGGGAAAGCTCAAAGGCCGCCCTTTGCATGCTCTTCCTCAAAACTCTTTACTGTCAAATGACTGTTTACCTGACCTCTGGGACAGTAATGAAGCTACTATTTTTTTTTCCAGTGACAAAAATAGGACTAGGAACCTTTTCTGTTAGAAATTACTTAACATTACTTAACTTTAATGCTTTGAGTGTTAGTTGAGAACTGTTTTCATTACTTTTCCCCTTTCTAGGCTTTCTTTTATATAAATTTTTTTCTGAGCAGGCACTACTGCATCAGTATCTGCCAAAAATGCTTGTGGTATCCAAGTACCATTCCTATTTAAACTCACTTTGGTATTTTCCAAACAACTTGGTGTCAAACTGAGGCAGAAGCTTGAAAGGTGTGGACTGGTGCATTCTGTTGTTTCTAACCATGCTGAGGAGCCTGTTTTCATAGCTAGAGTGCATGTTTATATATATATATCCTGATGAGCAAACTAATAAATAATTATTGGAAAGCTTCTAAATGAACTTGAAGCCAAAAGTGATTATTACTGTTTTGCTTGAGTCTGACTGACTGCTTCTTTCTGGCTGAAGGTCCTAAGAACAAGACAGTGCTAACATCTTGGTGCAGGTGGCTTGCTTGAACTGGTAAGACTTAGATGAGAGGTGTCAAAATTAAATTCTTGTTTTACATTTTGCAGGTTCCCTTTTTGTCTCCTTTGGAAGGTCACATATATCTGAAGTTGAAATGCCAAGTGGACTCTTTGGTGGAGGAGAAAGGGTTCTTGGTAAGGTATTTACTGTATTCACTTCAAACTCCTGCCTTGGAAATTACAGGTCCTATTAAATATAGTAATTTTTTAATGTCACACCTGTGTTTGAAGCTTAAAACTAGCTTGATTTTTTTTAATCTCTGAAACAGACCACAAATGGTTTTTAATTTCTCTTCTAAACCTATCTAAGTTACACAAACTCTTAAAAGGTGGTTTTATCTCTCTTCTAAACACCTGATTGATTATTTGTTATTTTGAACTTCAGTTAACCTTCTCTTGCTAAAATCTGTGATGTTAGATGAGATTTTAATTTCAATGGCAGAAACTTTACAGGACTCTTTTGTGTGTGTCTAAAAAAACAAAAGATTGGGTCTTTTTCTACTGTGATCACAGCTTTTCTAAGTGACAAAGAAACAACAGTATTTTTTTGGAGAAAAATCTTGTGGCATTCTCTCTAAAACTGGACCTAGAAAATACAGCTGATACTTGGACCTAGGAGCTGGAACTGTTGAAATGTCCACAAGATGGCAGTAAATGTGCTATGAAAATGAAACATTAACATTTACTGTTATTTTGGTGTTTCCAGAAATCACGATTTCTTTAGACTCTTTTCGAACACTGCTTTCTGTCTCCTTTCCCTTTACTTAATTGAAGTCGAACAGATTTCATTAGATGCAAACATTTCACATGCTTATGGTATTTGCTGTCCCATGTTTCTGTGTACTAATTTGAGGAAGTCCATATTTTCTTCTATGATACAATATGTAAAACCTGAAGAACGATGTACATGCATACTGGGTTTGGAAACTCCCTGCACCATTAAAAATTATAATCTGAATTGTGAAGAGTGAGAATCACAATGCATACTTTAATTGGGAAAAAAGTTCTGTTATAAGTTCAAGAGGTATCAGGAATAGAAGTCTGATACTAAACTCTCCATTCCAATTCTAAGGAAATGGGACTTGAAATTGATGAAATCCAGCATCCAATAAAAGAACTGCCAACACAAACATTTAAAAATCAATTTCTAATTTCCTTTGAACTGACTAAACTTTCTTGAGTGTGGCCTCTTGAATAGCTGCATGTTCTTTAATCCTGTTTTGTAAGTAAAAAATTACTCAAATATCTAATAATAATAAATTTTTTGAATACATTTTGTGAAGGATTTATACTCTATTTACTATAAATAACTGTTCTTTACCTTAAAATAATGGCAATGCTTATCACCATCAACATGAAAATCTTGTAATTTTAAACAGCAATGATAGGTGCCTTTTAGCAAAAGGCTGCAAACCTGAGAATGATAGTATGAGTTAATTTTCTCTGCCATCTGGAAAATAAATACACTGTCTGAGTAGAACCCTCTCTCAGTATAATTTTTTTCCTTCTCTTTCATTTAGTCCTATGAAGGATTGAACTTACAGAACCATTCTGGTAGAAAAATAGTCAAAACAGACCAAGCTCAAAGTACAAAGTTGCCTCATTTAATTTTTTGTTTTTAAGACTATGTTTGAAGATGTCAGTGGATTTGGAGCGTGGCATAGGCGCTGGTGTGTGCTGTCTGGAAATTGTATCTCCTATTGGACATACCCAGATGATGAGAAACGAAAGGTAATGCTGTTTTGTAAAGCTTAAGTTCTGTAGTACCCTACACAAATAGTTGTTCCTTTTTAAGGACAGTAATGTTTAGCTTTAGACTGGTAACGCGTGGGATTCAAGTTCCTAAAGCTTCCTTGGGGAATGGAGGGGACTTGTCTTCATAAAGCTGACCTAAATCATGGCAAACTTAGAAATTGACTTCCCTGTCTAGTAGGAAAGGGAGAAAAGAGATGGAAGATCTATATTTAATTTCCCCTTTAGTCTTTAAGGCCTTCCATTGTGCTCATCAAATCACTAATTATTTAATTGAAATTAATTGGATTTTTACAGCTTAATAAGCAGACTGTATCTAGTTACCTTAAGTTTTAGACAAAATGATGACTAACACTTAATATGGTAAAAAATTAGAGTGGGCAATCCTTGTATATTGCAGAAGCATAGCTCTAGTTGTGGACTATCTCATTTGAAGTCTTGTCGTCTTGCAGCTCCACACAGTAGCTGGAACTCATGCTTTTTAAATGGTTCTCACAGAAAACTAAGTTCTTGTTGGGCTAATGAGACAAATCAGAGACAAATCTGTCACTAAAGTGAACCTTCTTGTCTCCTAAGTGTGTTCCTGCAGTGTACTAAATTGTTTCCAGGTTCTTTTAAAGACTGCTTTCAAGAGCGTTTTTCTGATTCACTGAAGTTATTTACCATTAAACGCTTTCTTGTTTAGTGGCAGAGCATTTTCTTTCCCAAATTCCATGGCAAACTCTGGTCCTTTTGGGACTTCTATGCCAATCCAGATGCCTGAGTTTAGTTTCTTCCCTGCTGACAGAGGAACACCATATGCTGATAGTTGACATTGCCAAAATATATCAATGTACTTTCTTTCCTTGCCAGGAGAGAGGGAAAAATCTCTGCCTACTGTAAGACAAGATAGTAAAAAAAAAAATAAAAGTTAAGCAAGAAGAAGGTTCCTAGTTTGCTTTTGTCTGCAAGCGAGAAGCTTTGATTTGTTTTGCAGATTCTCTTCTGGAAAATCTTCTAGACTTGCTTCACTGTTTTTCAGAGAGAGAGAGTCAGCTGTGTTTTGGTGATCTGGTCTACAAAAAATTAAACTTACTAAATGCATCCCCTCGCCCCTACTATTGTACAGAGATAGATGTCACCTAGAAATATCAGTATTAGGCCATAATTACTTTAAATCATGGGATGTTTTTTAAAATAAATTTCTTACAGCTGCACATATATCCCTTTTTGTATGGAGTAACTCACTGAGAGAAGGTGTTTTCAATTAACATCATCAAAGTTGTCAAAGCATATGTTGTTCAGAATTACTCTTGATTGCAGTGCTCTTGACTGGTGAACTGATTTCACTTTCAGCATCCTTTGGGCCGGATAAACTTGGCTAACTGCACTAATCATCAGATTGAACCTGCCAACAGGGAGTTCTGTGCCCGTCCCAACACTTTTGAACTAATAACTGTCCGACCTCAGAGAGAAGATGACCGAGAGACTCTTGTCAGCCAATGCAGAGACACACTCTGTGTTACAAAGTGAGTGCATGAAATCATGGAGGTTGTGGGAGGATATTTTACCTCATGTGATAGTTCTAGTAATGTAGGAGCTTTACAACTTTGTCATAATGATGCAAAGGTCACTTAAATGCTGAGGTTTTGGGTGGCATTTGAACTATTTTGTTCTCTTTTAGTCCTAACTGCTTTCTAGAAGTTGAAATGCCAGGTGGCTTGGTAGCAGGACGGTGGAATGTTTGGCTTAATTTTTAACCCTACTATTTCTTTTGGGCTTCTGTGGTTATCAGCTTGACATTTGTCATAATAAATAATTGGATGTGGAGAATAATCCATAGGGTTCCTTGCCTTCTAGGAACTGGCTGTCTGCTGATACTAAAGAAGAGCGTAACCTTTGGATGCAAAAGCTCAACCAAGTCCTCGTTGACCTTCGCATGTGGCAGCCTGATGCCTGCTACAAACCTGCTGGAAAGCTTTAAACCTGGGAAAGGAACTACACAAGAAAAGAATTTAAATGAAATTGTGGAAAGTCCTCTGAGTCACTTATGCTTTAAGTTTGAGAGAGTATTTAACATTATACAGGACTATGTTATGCAGTATTTTTATTTCACTTAAAAATTTTTAAAACCTTCTTACTTCCTAATTTTGAATCTAGTAGGAAGCAATTAGCTGTTTCTCAATGTGCTAAATATTTATATAACTCCTTTTTTTGGAAGTCTTCTAGCCAGGTGCATTCTCTTTTTTTAAACAACTAAATTATTGCAGGAAATCACACTTCATGGCAGGAAGGGGGGCACTAGCTAGTGAAAGACAAGCTTAACTTGTCTGATCCAGATAACTCAGCTCCCTGAAAGAAACAATAGTTCAAAATACTCTTAACAAGAATGCTGCTGAATCACAAGATTCAATGTTGTAGCATTTGTTGGGGTTCTTTTGTAATGATCAGGCATAGAAGCAACTAGTCAATTTTATTCTACAACATGCAGTATAGATAATTCTGCTTGTCCAGTGTCCTTGTGGTCAGAACAAGACATGTACAACATATTCATACTACTTTTGCAATTTCCTATACAAACTAGTGTGGATAAGTGCGTGGCATGTACACTATGTGATTTGCAGGTGTGGAATTAAGTATGCAGTATATTGCACTTTGATAGAAATGGAAGGTCTTGAATATTTTTGTTAGGACTGTTATATAAAAAAATCAGACAGAAAAAATTAGGTTTATGGCTGTATATGTCAGTATTTCTTGGTTTTTACAAGCTATAATTCTCCATGTGAGAACCAGGAATAGGTTAATAGGTAGTAAAAGTGTCCTTTTTTTGTTTTGTTTAATAATAAGACTTTACAAAGCTGCTGTATACCAACTAATACTCCTCTGGCTGAAAGAATGGGTCTTCTTCCCCTTGACAGACATGCCCACAAATGCATATAAAAGCAGTACTTCAGACTCATCATGAAAATGGCAACATTCCTCAGTTAAAACTTGCAGTGTTCATGGCTTTTCACTGAGCGTATTGAAATACCAGCTCATCACTTCACTAGGAATGCAGTAGTGGAAAACTTAAGATTGCTATTGCTGTTATATATTCACACTTGAAACACTAAATTCTATTACCTTATACTGTTTCATCCTTCCCCTTTTGTACTTGCTTTTAAATCTTTTAAATGTTCTTTTCTGATGTCTTTAAATATTTCCAAACTATGTATTGAGATTTATTTTATTCATTTAAAATAAAAAGTAAAACCCTTCCTGTTTTTTTTCATTAAGTCATCTATGCAATTTGAAATACTAAGTTGTAGGCTGAAGAAAAGCTGGACTCCACCCAGTGTTTAAGGAAGGATTCTATTCTGTACATGTATCCCAGAATTCCACTTGATGATGTGAAGCCTTGGACACAGCTTGCTGAATTTTGTAGTAGGAGGCCAGATTGTCCGTGTGCAGCAGCTCATCAAACATGAAGAGGAGAGGCAGGTTTTTTTGTGACAGACATGGCAGCAGAATAGCACAACATGGACAGTGCAAGAGGAAATTTCAGCAGTGGATGTGTGGTAGGCTGTCTTAAACTCCCCAAGTGAGTGTTAAAAACCATTAATTTTTGAATTATGAAATAAGTCCACGGAAAGGTGTTAAGAACAGAACTGGATGATATTCAAGGGACCACTTTTATTTAGGCTAATTGGACTATTATCCCTTGTAGAAACCAATCTGTGTTTGTTCATTGGCCAAGTAGAAGCTCTCTTCATAAAGCAAAAGGTAAGAAGTGCAACGGGTGGCATTAAGTTAGAAAAGCTGACCTGTGTGGTGACTTCTGGGTACATGAGTGGTGAGCACATGGGCTCCTGCAGCCAGCAGAAACATGGGACACAAGCTCAGCAGGAAGCCTGTGCTTATGGATTTCCTGACTGGCACTGCTGGGTGCTGCCTCCCCCTCCCATGTTCCTCTGCCCTTTTAGGGTTTTGTGGTGAAAGTTTGCAACAACGGTTACGTAGTTTTTCCATGTATGGAGCAGATTCTTTGTGAAGAGGCCAGTCTGTGAATTCAATTCCCATGTTCCTCTGCCCTTTTAGGGTTTTGTGGTGAAAGTTTGCAACAATGGTTACGTAGTTTTTCCATGTGTGAAGAGGCCAGTCTGTGAATTCAAATAACTTCAGGTAGGTTTAGATGTTCTATACCTCAAAAAGAGTTCTGACTCTCTGATTTCAAGCCAAGCTTAAAATTTTGTAAAAAATGTTTGCAGAGTAACATCAAGAGAACCTTCCCATGTGCAGTGTGCTGGACCCAGCCAGTGACATAATTCCTTCTCTTCATTCACATGCTCTGACTCTCCCCAAGAAAGACCTTGACAGACTATTTTTGCTAGAACTTCATACTGCTAATAAACTTTGAATTGCTTGGAATTATAATAAGCTTTCCAAGAGAAACTTTTTTTCCCCTGTTTCTCTTCCCTGTGCATTTTTCACCTTCAACAAATCTAAGCACCAGGAGACATTTACCTAATGGAATAGCTTAGAATTCATAGTTTGTCGCTGCTTTAGCATAAGTAAGCTTTTTCAGCAGTGTTTTTTAAATATAGGATATGTATTTTTAGAGTGGTATGGGTAAGTGATTGATGTTTGAGGGTGCAGATCTTCAGCTGTTTTTTGCATTTGAAATAATTGAGACATAGTGGTTGTAAAAGCTGATGGCTTAATAGTCCCAAAATTCATCTTTCTTTGATAAAGATAGATAATGCATTAGCTACATATCAGGATTCTGCATGCAGCTGGGTTTGGAGGTGCAGAACTCACGTTGAGGCACAAGGGCATGTGCTCTGGGTCGTGTGCCCTCAGCCAGGGGCAAGCCCATTCCTTGGTGTCCTTCAGAGACCCTGTGTCCAGCAAGGAGCAGTTGTACTGGGCAAACCTTTGAGAGGGCTTTGCTCTGCGTTTCAGCTATAGAGGTTTCAGGTTGTCTTTGAAAAGATGTTCTAATTTTATAAGAAACCTTTTTCTCCCCATTGTTCAGAAATTCAGTAAGTGAGCAAGTAAAAAATTCTGTAAGAGAAAAATGCTTTCCTCTGGGCAATGTAGCTTATTTTAGTTGAGGAAATTTCAGTTTTACTACTTAGTAAAACTCCTAATTGGTGTTATTAAATCCCAACCTCAAATGAAATACAATAATTTGCAAAGAAATTGCCTTGAAAATTAGGCTTCCAAACATGACTCCCTTCCCCCTTTTAATTGCTACACTTCTGTGTGTTGATGTAGAGAAAATAATCTGATATTCTGTAATTATTGCCTGTGCTGTACTTGAGCTGTAGTAAAAACGTGTGGATGCACTTGCTTCTGTCCTTGTGTTGTATTTAATAAAAGATAAGAGTCCTGAAGAAATAGTACAAAAATAGGAGGTGCTTTACCTGGTCAGGGTACATGGAATGTTATGTTGTTTGAAGAGAATTTCTATGGGAAGCAAGGGGATTTCCTTGTAATGCTAAATAGTCTTCCCCAGGTCTGCCTCTTGAGTTGAAACTATTCCTTGGGAGACTGGATATTTTGGTAACATCTAAATGCCTTGAATGAATTGGGGCCTTATTAACAAGTATCATTCAATTAAGGAATGTATTCCCTTCTGGTTTCCTAAAGTGGTGACTTGAATATTTACTTAAGTGTTAGCAGTCATCCCAAAGGAATTTCTATCTTAATTTCTATCTTAATATCTTAATAAAAGACCCAGCATTGACTGTACCCTATAAAAAGGATCAGGATCTAGGAAAGCAGTAATACATGCTTCAATCAAAATAGTATTAGCCAAGTCATTCCCTGCCTGTTCAAAATGCTGAGTGGGTGCACATCCTACAGCCAGGCCCTATCCTTGGGTTTGGACCGCAGCCCAAGAGCTGCCCCACGTGTGACAGCCTTGTGCAAGGGCGGTGCTCAGAACAAGTAGCAGAGCAATTCCACCTGAGCTTTGGGCTGTTGGGGTGTGTTTTAGTCATGTCATGTTAATGCTTGCTGTTTACTGGATCTTTTCCACCCATAATTAATGCCACTTAATGCTCTCTGATCCCTCCACCATCAGTAAGGTTGCAAGTAGGGTAGAGCTGTCTCTGATTTTTAAATATTTCTTTATTTTGCTAAGAGCACTGCATAAGCTGGTGAAAAAAATACAGTAATTCTCATCTTCAAGTCTGTCTGTGAAGTAAGGGCTACCCAGTATTTTCAGTGATTCCCTTGGCCATGCCTGTAAAAGACATAGGACTTGGCATATTATTTTTCTTAGGAAGCAAAAAAAGCAGAAATACATTACAGGTTGAAAAAACAACCCGCTTTTTAAATACATGAAGTGTTGTCAACCTAATATCTTATTAATGGAGGAAGAGAACCTGTGCTCAGTCAGCCTGTGCTGATGCTGCCAGGCACATCAAAATTGTAGTGTCTTGTTATTCCTGGCACACTTTAATAAGCAAATACCAGCTAAATAATGTATTGACAGTCAAGGCAATTACATACACACAATTTATAGCAACATAATGAGTTTGGGGTCCCCCCCCTCCTTTTGGGATCAGATTAACTGTTGAAACACTACAAACAGAAAAACTAGAAATGTTCTGCAGAAGGAAAAAAGATTAGGTAGGGGTAGGAGTTTCCTGTATGTGGAAAAAAGAAGTGCAGATTTTCAAACTGCTACAATAAATGGTCTAGCTGGCAGCTATCCTTTGATTTTTATTTTTGTAGCTCCACAGAAAAAGCATAGCCTACTTGTGCAGGTAAGATACAAACTGAAAAGAATGCTCTTGTGTTATGTCCAGTGCTACTGGCTCTGATAACTTCCTCTCCCCGATTTTTTTGGTGTGTCTTTAATCATCTTGACCCGTGGAAGTGCCATCATCAATTGCGTGAGGGTTCCAGCAGTTTGGAAGTCAGTGTCCACCTTGATCTTTGAATATGGCTTCAATCTGATCGTTGAATGGATTCTCCTTGCCAAGCACTTGAGGCCACTCGTGTAGTGCCTTCTGCCAGGTAATGCCTGTTCCAAGGGCTGCAGCAATCTGCAAACCACAGATGCTATCAATTTCTTGTGCTTCTATAATGCCAGAGCTTAGAAGACCCCCACCATAAGGCAGACTGCCCAGTTATAACCATGTGATGGACTGCAACCTCTAACCAAGGGAAATACCTCATTCCAGCTGCTTGAGCAGGGCTAAATCCTTCTGAACAGTAAAAATAGGGTGAGGGCCATATATATGCAACTTCCTGACCTGTCATTTGTCTAATAATGATAGTCTGTCTCCAGCCATTTCCAGATGCCTATGGTGTCTAGTCCATAAACTGCTATTTAAAAGCCCTGAAGTCTGATTTTTATTTTTTTTTTTCTCCAGAACATTTTGAAAGTATGTCAAAAGCACCACCTGGGTAAAATGCGTAAAACTCTTGCAAGTCCAAAGGAATTCATGCTCCCAAATGCCTTTGGTACTTCTAATAAATGTTCTCTGTGCTCTCCTGGGAGGAAACCACAGGTGTTGAGGAAAAAGAGGCCCAATTATTTCTAGTTTCATAACTAACTGTGTCTGATGCTCTAAGTTTGCACCTGCTACTGGGTTGTCTTTAGAGTTCTTTTCCCATGAGACCCGCAGAAATGATAGGATAGCTTTTCTCCTCAATATCAGTCCCTCCAGCTTTCACAGAGGTTTTTGCCCTAGAAGTTATATACCGATGAGAAATGTTATCTGCTGTATTGCCAGGGTGAAAAACATGAGTGGTAGCAGAAAGGGACAGAGAGAAAAGCCTGAGTCTCCCTTGTCCAAGTTTTTGCAGCCTTCTAAGGCATTTTGATTGTACTCTTGACCTGCAGTAATATTTGGCCTATATGGGAACTTTATTTTCAACCCAAGCTTGTCAACACACTGATCTTGATTGCAGTTATGAGGTTTAAGTAAGGCTAACAAAGCCTTCTTTTTTTTAAAGGCCAAGGTGGTTTTATGAAATCAAACTATTTGAGTACTGTTGTTTTGGAGTTTGGGAAGGTACTGGAGCCTGTGGGGAATTTTTATGTGCTACTTTTTAAATCTGTGCTTTAAAATAAGCTCTAATGATGGGCTGGAAGACAAAAATCTTTATTTAAGGGCTCACGTAAAAAGAGTAACATTTGTGGGGTGGAGGCTCTTAGCCTCTGGTCTCTCAAAGTCTTGTTAATCTAATGAAGGAATTGGGGCAGGGAAGAGGGATAGTGGAGATTTATTACAGTTCATTACAGGGTTTTCTCCTGGTTGCAGTTTCTATTGTGACTAAATGTTACTCTGGGACACTCTATGGCAGCCAGGGGACTGAGATCAGTCCCTGTCAGAGTGGTCCATTCTGGCATGGTGGTCTCCAAACCTCCTTTACAAACCTCCCTAGGCCTCCCATGTGTTTCTTTAGCAGGAAAGGTGGGGTTGCCTAATTGGTTGGGTGAGTGAGTGGTTTAAAAACCCTTACTGTCTTTGCATGGTACTTCCTTTGTAGAAGTATCACTGGAGGTATGCTCTACAGTGTTCAGACAAATGCTGACTCTAATTTAAGGTATGTGTGCTTAGACTGCCCAAAATCAAATTAAGTTCTGTGCATACATAATTTCTTGACGTCCTGATGATTTCAATAATTAATTCTGGATGAGTAATTTAGCACAGAGAAGGGTTTGTGACTCGCTTTCTTCCAGGGCTTTTTTAAATTCCAGAGTTCTTGTACTTTGAGACGTGGTATAATTTTTATAAGCTTTGCAATTTTTTGTTGTTGTTGTTGTGAAGATTACATCCCCTAAGCAAGTTTTTAAAAGGAAGTATTACCCATTCCTCACAGAGCTCTGGGTTGACTGCAACTGGGAGGCAGCTGTGGTTTTTTAGCAGCTTCTGGCTATCTGTTTTCCCCCTTCTGCACCAAACAGGTGATAGGCATGATTCTCAGCCAAGTGTAAATACCCAACTCATCTGATATGCGTCACTTCAGCTTTTCCACTTTATTTCTGCCTGGAACGTGCTTTGCTATGACTTAAGGAAGAAAAAGGGAGAAGCTAATCACACTCAAGCTGTGCTTTCCTGCCTGTACATAAACATTAAGAATCTTCCAAGCGTCTCTGGTTCCAGTTTGTGATGCTCAGGGCTTTTGCTTTCTCCCTGGAAACATCATAAAAGCAAGAAATGAAGCTGTTTATGCAGGATCCTGTTGAAATGCATGGCCCTGCCATCCAAACAAAGCAATCGACTGTTCTAGAGGGAAGTGGTGTCCTTGAAGCCATCTGGCATTCAGAAGGATTTGCAGTGAAATTTTGTAGTAAGGAGTATATGCTGGAGAAAATCCCTGGGCTCCCTCTATAGTCACTGAGAAGAGAAAGTCAGATTTTTTTCAAGGAAAATCAAGCCGGACATTGGGGAATGGTGTCTCAAAAACAGCTCTAGAGGGATCTCAGGAGGGCTGAGTGAATAATTTTGCTTTTAGGTGTTAAAAGCAAATAGTGTGAATTTCCTCCATCTCCATCCTGAGCTGTGTGTTTTCGAAAAAAACTTTATGGAGGTAAATTTTAGCTTTGAAACTTTACTGAAATATAGTTATGCCAATTATGAGTGTTTTGTTTGCTCCCTCCTGTTTTGCAACTTAAAAAAAAACATGCAGGAAAGCCCTTTTCCCACAAGAAATTTACAGGAAGAGAATGTGGCTCAACAAATCAGTACTTAGTGTTCATCCCATATTTCATGATTTTTTCATATAAAATATTGCCTGGAGAGGGGACCATGGGGGCTAGTTTATTCCTGAGTGCCTAACCTAGCCTTTCTCCAATGCATGGAAAACTGTGCTGGCTCTTACGGGACAGGGCAAGTGTGGCCTTTTTTCTTATTTTCTTTTCCTTCTCCTTGCAAGGTATGCAAGCTTAGAAAGGTTTAGTCCCCTCCCACACCGCTCCAGAATGTTTGGAGGACCTCTGGACTCCTGGATATATGTGCTGACACCTGCTTTTACCATGTTTATACAAGTAGACAACTATTTTTTTTTTTAATTAAAGACACAGTGGATAAACAGCAGGTGAAATTCAGGGGCTGACAACAGACACCAGCTTATCCTGCCCATTGCTGTACCACAGTGATTAGGGATCACCTAGTGATCACAACTTGCCAGCTCAGCCTTGGGTTGAAAGGGGCACAGAGAGTGGTTCCTTCATCCCAAACTTCAAAATTTCTTTGCATTGAAGGCAAGAGCTAAGGTGTTTATGCTTTCCTTGGAGTGCTTCTCAGACTAAAAATTGGGAAATATTTGTCATGCTTCGATATCTACAGAGGGAAAATTCAGCAGAAATGTGCTGGCTTGGTATCTTATCTGTTGTATTTATCAAGCTGCCTGTGAGGCGTGGGGAATAGCTGCAGGGATGGAAGCAAGAGCCTCTGTTCACTTGAAAAGCTGCATGGAATCAATCCTCTCCCGCTAGGCAGCTCTGTGTGCTACAAAAACCATACCTGGCCAGAGGCATTCGTGTCAGGAGAAAGTAAAACTTTAAATAAAACTTGTATGAGGAGTGAGTGAATTGTTTATCATCTTCCTTAAGCATACTCTAAAATAGCAGTCTCTGCTCACACTTCCCCTTCTATTTATGAATAGAGTTACTCTTTTGGAGCAGAGTGCTATGTCTCAGTCCAAATAGTGGTATGTTGATAACAGACTTCTCTAACAGGAAAAGAAAAATGGATTTACAATGGTGGATGTTTGGATAAGGCTAATTAATAAAACCTAGGAGGGCAATAACTCACTTGAAGTGAGGCATATCTACAGCTGGCACCTTGACTGTAAGGGAAAATGTACCTATAAAAGCATTAACATCATGCTGGCAGCAGGAGGGAGAGATCATAACCACTGCAGGATGCCAGATCCAGAGGGATTGAAATATGGCAGTGCTTGACTGCATCCTGTAGCTCAGCACTCTGGGGGCTGCAAGCAGGTTTGCAGCTGCCCTTCAATGTCCTTTTGTAATTTTCTTGTGGCTTAGGAAGGATCCTGTTAGATAGTTGCTGCCTTCAACTCTGTGCTACCTTGCAGCTGCTGGTGGGATAGAGGATGTGGGCAGGAGGCTGGATGAAAAGCTGTGATATGACAAGCCTGGCTCCCACTGTGGGCTGGTGCTGGGGGTTATAAGAAACCTCAGGCCAGCCTTAGGCCAGGGAAAGACAGGAAAATGCAAAGAAAATAATGGAAAAGTTTCCATTGCACTCCAGACTTTGTATTGCAGTTTCCCCAGATGGCAGGGTTGGGTATGGGGTTTGTTTCATCGCTGTTTTTACTCTCATTTAATTTGCCAGGTTTTCTCTAATTGCTTCCTTGCAAAAGGCCTGCAGCAAAAATCAAGGCACACTTTCTCCACATCCCCAGGCTGTGAGTTCATACTTTCATGCAGCTGTCTCCTGGTACTTGTAAAGTAGACAGGCAGGAATTTCTGCTATGTAGGAGTCCCTCCTTGAACAGGAGGATCTTGTAATTTGGCAAGGCTAAGCAAGGCACTGTATGGCCCCGAGTGACCAACATGAGTGTAAAAGATAGCACCTAAAGCATCTATTTTCCCTTTGGACTTCCCCCTGCTGGTGTCCCCTAGCTTAACTGACAGAACCGTCAATGGAGAAGTGCTGAAATGCTGGAATCTGTCAGTGCTTGCAACTGACTCCCGTGGAAGTGCTTCTCCACTGACTGCTCTTTCCCAGTGTGGAAGGCAGCATCACACTGGGTCATATGGAGATGGGGTTGTTGGAGTCAACACATGCAGGGCATTATCCCACCACATAAAACTGGCTCATAAAATCCCCCCATGATTCTGAGCAGGGGCAGTTTCCAAGTGGCTGGGCAGTGTGGTGGGGTTTGCTTGCAAAAGAGACTGCTGCTTTGCTCTGCACATGTGTTTGACGTCTCAGGTAGTGTATAGAAAACCAACTGGGTTTGTTTGCAGCTGACTGCAGAACACGATTTCTCCATGTGTTTTTGTTGGAAAAAAAAATTATTTGAAGTGAGCATGGTGGGAACCAGGCAACCTCGTGCTAGATTATCAAACCCAAGCAAGGACTTACAGTGGAGCAGCTGCTTCTCCTTCCCTTTTGTTTATTTCTGTAAAAAACAGACTGTAAACCTTCTCCTTCAACCTGTCCTCAGAGGCCAAGCAAGCAAGTGAAAAAGTAATAAGATGTAGCTGCTGAGCAGAAGCAATTTAAATACATAACTTCAAAAAGAATCTTTGTTCCAGGCTGTGACAGGCAAACCTTCAGCCTCACACCTGTAGGGCAGCAGCAGGGCCTGTCTGGTTTCTGCAGTGCTGCCTTACTCTCCTGATCCTGCAAAACTCCCACAGGTGTTTGGGCAGGCAGCTGGCCAGCCTAAGTGGCAAGGATCAGTTTTTGTTCATGTTTGGCCATGATACTGGTAAGTGAGGGAAAGAGGCAGAAGACCTTGCAGGAGTCAGAGCAGAGTGCAGCAATCAGAAATATCAGAGATATCAACTCTGGGGCTACAGCCAGCATTTGGATTGGCCAAAGAAGGCACCCTGGCCTGTATCAGCAATAGTGTGGCCAGCAGGACCAGGGCAGTGATTGTCCTCCTGTACTGAGCACTTGTGGGGCTGCACCTCAAATCCAGTGGTCAGTTTTGGGCCTCTCTCAATAAGAAAGACATTGAGGTGCTGGAGTTTGTCCAGAGAAGAGCAACAGAGCTGGGGAAGGGTTGGAGAACAAGAGTTATTGAGGAGCAGCTGAGGGAACAGAAGTTTTTTAGCCTGGAGAAAAGGAGGCTGAGGGGAGTGCTCTTAGAGCTCTGTACAACCTAAAAAGATGTTGTGATGAGCTGGGGGTTGGTTTCTTCTCCCATGAAACAATTAATAGGACATAAGAAAATGGCCTCAAACTGCACTGGAGAGGGGTGTTAGATTGGATATCAGGAAAAGTTATTTCAGGGAAAGGGTTGCCGAGCATTGGAACAGACTGCCAAGGGAAGTGTGTGCACTACTATCCCTGGAGGTATTCAACATGTGCTGCTTTGGGACAGGGTTTACTGGTGGACCTGGCAGTGTTAGGTTAATGGCTGATCTCCATGATCTTAGAGGTCTTTCCAACCCAAATGATTCTATGACTTTCTCTCCTTTAAAGTAGACAGATTCCCCACATCTGCATCCCTGTCACATGCCAGCTGGATGCCTGGGGCAGCAACAGGCACCAGAATCCCACATGCTCCCACATCCCACATGCTCCTACATCCCACCTGCTCCCACCCATCTCCTGGGGCCGGGTTTTTTACCTGGCTGGGATGGAAGCCATCGACTGGTTCGATCAGCTGCCAGGGCTCACCTCCCATCTTGCGCCATTCCTCGGCCGCTGCAAAGAGCACAAGCAGAGGGGTTTGTCACCCGTGAGCTCAGAGACCCCCGCCCAGAGACACACCCTGCTCCTCCTCAAGGCATCGCTGGTATTTTTAGGCACACGACAGCTCTACGTGAAGATTATGATAATTCACATAGAGTTGTCAGAGCCTATAGTGTGTATAATCCCCTCTCCTTGGGGCAGTATTTAAGCCTTTATTGTTATTTTTTTCCTCTGCGATATTTATGCAAGGAAGTGCTTTGAACATAAATGATTGTAAAACAATTCACTTTGTCTCCCAACTAAGATGGATGCTGTAGCAAGTAAAGCTGTAAATTATTTAATAGTGATTTAATACTTTTGCATTTCCCATGTTAGTTTCATCTTCAGCAGTGCAAAAGAAAAAGTAGAGATAAAGAAAACAGCGCTTTTTAGAGAAAGAGATGGTAACAGAATATTCACATGGGCTGAAGTCTGCATGAACAGGCTGTCATTTTTGGTTACTTATCTTCCAAGTGGTCTTTTTCAACTCCAACAAAATAACCTTTTGAATTACATAAGCGTGACATTCAATGCAAATGATGCTGTGCTGTAAGCCCTGGAGCCATTAGAGAAGTAAAAAGCTTTCTCTCTTCAAAAGGGCTGCGGAGTGATCAAACATGGGACTAGAGGATATGGCATTAACAGACTGTAAATTCAATAATTCCTTTCATAATGACAGATTAAGAATTCTTAATAGCATTATGCAAGCATCCTGTTAGGAGGAAAATGTTCTCCATTCAAGCACCACAGTTTGATCTGGGCTCACCGCTGGTTTTTGGACCCTGGCTATTGTATCAAAAAGTGATGTCTGGGTCCCCATGCTAACTCAAATTCACAGAAAGGTGATATTCCTGCTTTGACTGTAGAAATCCACTTGTGATGCTTCAGGCAGTGCCCAAAGTAACCTGTTTGAAGACATGGGGCTTGTAGGTTTGTTTCAAATTTGCAGTTTGTTGGGCAGAACACATATCTACCTTAGATTCCACCATGCAGTGCACATACAGATGCACAGTGAGCTTACCCAACCCCTTCTATATGATATTGTACATGGAGTACAAGGCTGTGTACTGTGTTTTAGTACATTTGTAGTTCATCTGTAGAGAGACTACTGTTCCAGTGCCAGAAACAGCAGAGGAGGAAGTAAGATATGTATCAAGATAGGTCAATTTATACAATTATACCTGACCTCCAAAAATCCAAGAACAGTCGAGCAAATACCCACCAGCTGAGTATGTCCAGAGCTTGTCTTAGAAATGCCTGTTGCCTTGTCTGGACTAGACTACAGCTTGCTCCCATCCACATCAAGGAAAAGGCATAACAAGCAACACCTATCCCCCTCTTTATCACACTGCTTCATAAGGAACCACTAATTTCTTTAGTCAAGTTCAACATGTGAGCTTGAGTGTCCACCTAAGTCTAGAATAAATGCAAATATACTCAAATTTTACTTGGAGAAAACTGAGAGCTGCTATGTACACATATATGCCCAAGCCAGCCTGAAATCTATGTATTCAGTGTGTAACCACTGCTAAATATTTGATGTCTGGAGAGTTTAGGGGAGGATTTGCTGCTTCCTTCAGAAAGAGACCAGAAAAGTAGGTCAGCAGCCTTAGCTGGCTTGTGAGCACACTCGCGATCTGACAGCTTTCCTGATGGCAAGCTCGAATCCTTGGCTCCAGGGCTGCAGGAAATTTTGCAAAGTGTCTTTCAAAGCTGATGTTTGTATATGCATGTGTGATTTTGTTTACTTCATTTATTTGACGCGATGTAATCAAGAACAGCAAATTATATTAAGATGTTTCCTTTTGTGAAAGCAAATAAATTAACTAAAGTTAGTAATTTAACTTATTAAAGTAATTTGCCTACCCAGCAGGTAGTTCATTCCAAATCCTAATGACTTGTTAAATATTAAGTAGCTGAGGCAAAAGCCACCAGGAGACTTGGACACCCTTGAAACTCTGTGCTACGAGAATGAACTTGACAGTGGAGCCCACCTCTCTGACAGAAACTTTTGGACAGAAAGACTGCCTCTTCCATCCTCACTTCTTTACCTCCTCCTCCTCCATATGGTCTTCATGAGACCCAGAACCAGCTTTCTGAATTGGGTCATGTAGGATAAGATAAGTTTGTGAATTTTGATGGGATTTGGCTGAAAAAGGAGATTTTTTTTTTTTAATAATCTTAGGTGCTGTGGCAGCCTTGTGCTTTCAAGGACAGCTAAGCACTAATGGGGAGAAGCATTAGAGAAGCGTACTTTAAAGCATTGACAGGGTGCTTCTGTCCCTTTGTGGCTTTGGATTTACATGTCTGCATGCTGGGACTTAAAATATAGTCCCCAGACAAAATTTTTCAATAAGGACTACATGGAACTACCTTTCTACGTGAACATTAAAAAAGGGAAATGCAGATCAAGCTTTTTTCCTAATTATTATATACTCTTTTTTGAATGTAAACATTCAGGCTATCTGGGAGAGACCCCAATGTGGTGAGGGCTGGAGCTCCTGCCCCATGAACAGAGGCTGAGGAACAGGGATGGTCCATTCCAGGGAAGAGCCTGTGGGAAGACAATGTGGACAGGGCCAGTCTCTTCACAGCAGTGCACACTGGGAGAGGGAGAGACAAGTTGTAACATGGGAGATTCAGGCTGGATATAGAAATAAAAAGCAGTTTTCCTACTTCCCCTTCACTGTCTAACTACTTGTAATTTGTTGCCCAACTTATTCACTCATCTCATGCTGATCCTCACTTTTAGAAAGAAGGAGTGCATTTCTCCTTGTGATGAATCTGTGCTGATGCTGGGTGTTGCCTCAAGCTGGGCCCTGTGCATCTTGCAAGGCAAGCAGAGCTGATTCAGGGATTCAGGGACAGGTGTTGGTCCCCAGCCCCACAGGGACACTGTCTGCTCATGCGTAATGACAAAAATTTCCTGGGTGTTTTAATTTATTTTTAAATGTCAGTTTCAGAAGAAAGTGATTTAGGTAATGCGCTTACCTAATGTCACTAAAGATCACAGAAGGACAAGTTTTGTAAGCTCTTCAAGTCAAGTTACAGTAGTATGTAGGTGTTTAAAGAAACATAGAGAAAGATGCGAGTTATTCCTGGGACAGGTGCTTCTACTTTTGGGAACAGTGAGAGGGTGGCTGTGTTATTGAGGCTGATGAAAGGTCCCATTCCCAAGGCACTGCTCAGCCCAGAGGAGGCAGCATGAAGCCCAGTCAGTGATGAAGTAAACTACATCTCATGAAGACCACTTTGACCACTGCAGGTATACACCTCCAGCCTAGATGACCTGCTGTAAGAGCAATGTTCAGAAATAAAACCCAATCTTATGGACCAATATGGTCATCTGTTGTCCTTGTCACTTTGGTACCCATGAGGAAGTGGCCAGTGTGCTGCACATCACTGGGGTGGTGGGTGCTGGCAGCTGGGACCAGCAGGAGGCTGTAGGTCACAAGGTAGTGGTGGGATTTTGTCTCAGGAAAAGTGCCTGGCATTAGGGATACCTCCTTGGCCACAGCCCTGACAGCAGGGTCACCTAGGCTCACTGACTGTACTTCCCTTCTCATGGTACAGAGTGAAAATATGAGGAGTGTGTCAACCGGCCAGGACTTGAATAAATGCTTTGTGAGAAAGTCAGGGTAAAAAACAACTTACTTTGTCTCAGTGGGAAATCCATGTAGAAAATATCAAAGTTGGAAAATTTCTCAGATCTTGCTATTTCTTTCAGGACATTGGAAAGTTGTAATGCTCTCTGCAAAAATCAAATGATTTAATGACTGTTCATTGCTATTCATATTGCTTTGCATGGATTCAGCTTTTGTCACTGATGTGCAGGCAGGAATTTGAAAGCTAATGTTGCCCTTTTTTCTGGGAGACCAGAGGTGAAATGAAGCTCTTCATCAGAACATGGACTTGCATGAGCACTACCAGCCTTTGGACTACCGAGTTCATCCTCAGACTGCACTGAGGCCTCAGCTGATTTTGTAAGTTTTTTACAGCATATGCTTATTTCTCTGGAGACCTCTTTTAGTAGTGCCCCTACACTTATATAAATATTCTAAGTATCTCACTTTTGGAGCTCCTTTCTAAAGAAATGCAAAACTTTTCTACAAGAGAAATGTCCTCTATTCCTATTATCCTTGCCACTACTAAGTTGGGGATGATAATGCTTATCTATGCAGACCAAATTCCACCTTCACTTTCAGAAGAGTAAATTACCACCATGGAGTGTCTGCCTGATACATCCAGTGTAATTTCTGCAGCCATAACAGAGATCAGGATCTCCTAAATATTTAAATTGTGCAGTTTGGATAATAACATAGACAATTAGTTTCAGACAGGGGCTCAGAATGATTAATTCATACCCTGCAGACATATGCATTGTTCATGGACAGAAGTTACATGTACTCTATGTTCTGTATTGTTGGTATGAATTATAAACTGCAATCCTGCAAAGGTTTAGGAATGTGCATAATGGCCTCCTCTGAAGTCAAGAGAGACGGGGCATAAAATGAAATACATATGTAAGTTTTGGTGAAATTAAGGTCATATTTTGTTGTTTAGTGAATGTAAACATTAATACAACCATACATAGAGATGACACCTTTGATAATATTTGGTTACTGACTCCTTTTTCATGGCTGCAGGGGATTGCTGGGATTAAAAATCAGCTTGTACCATAAGAAAATAAGTGGCTGTTTTTCATATCATTCACTTCTGCAGCCAGATTTTTAGGGTGAGTTTTAAGACATCTCTGTTCTGTCCATTCCCATTCCTGCACTTAGCTGGATGCTCCCTGGTCACACCATCTGGTGACTAAGTCCACAGAAATGTGTCTGAGGAAGATTAGCACAAATCCCAAATGAAAACAGGGTAAGGCTCTTGCTCTCAGGACCTGATCCTACAGCCAGAAAAATCTATGCAGCTGGCTTGTCATACCAACAGCTCACTTGATTCAAAAGCCTTTCCTTTCTTATCAGGCACATTTTCTTCTTAAAGAACATGAACCTGAACAGTTCTGTCTCAGAGAGATCACATCCCCTGAGCATAAATTTGGGTAGCTGAGAGGTTGTAACAGCAATACCTTTACAAATCCCTTAACTTGAGCATGCTGCCTCCCAGGGCCTGAGAGGCATTTGAAAGTCTAAGTGTGGATGTTTCCACAACTTCTCCTCACCTTTGGAAGAAAAGAACTGCTGACATCTTGTCTTTGAGGCAATTGGGCTTCTCTCCTCAGACACAGGGCAGAGTGTCTGAGCACAGGGGTGATCCCATTGCAGCCCCATTGAGACTTACCTCCGAGGTCAGATTCCTGAGGGTCTCGTTGGGGGTCAGCCAGCCGCTGCAGGGGCTCACCTGGGCAGGCACGAGGAGAGGGGCTTTAGCAGCAGACCAGGATGAAAGGGGTCTCCTAAGGTACATCAGCAGACCTTACCTGGAGGCAGTCGAGGAAAGAGTAGAGTTGACTGTACGTGACATCCTTGTTCAGTTGTCCTGCAAAGCACAGAGAGACAAACATCATGGCCAAATGCGACTTCGTTCTGTACATCTGTGCATTCCCATGCCTTACAGCCCCCGGTGGGAAGAGGCACTCCCAGAACCTCACCACACCCGCTACCCCCAGGGAACCCTCCTACCACCAGAGCTGGGGTGCAATAGAGGTGGCAGCATCAAGACATCCTTCCTGCTAAGGTGCCCATGTCCCCACAGTGTACAGAGCCCCACACCTGCTTTTCCTGCATCCCTCTCCTGCCTTTCATAGGTGGTTTGTCTCACGTGTGGGGTTAGTCATCACAGCCTGTGCCAGCCTCCGAAGTGCACGACTGATATTTTCCCGTTAACCTGTCTCACCCGCAAAAGAAATGCAGGGTTTGCAAAGCTGAAAGGTGCCTGTATACACTCTGAGTTTTGCATTTACTTCGTAGAGGTTAGCCTTAAAAGGGAGAAACAATTTTGCTGTCATGGAGGGAAGTGGATATGCTTGTGTGGGTGAGGAAATTCAAGCATCAAGTCAAGCACCCAGCTAACATTCCATAAAATTCACTGTGCTATGCAATAGCCTGGCTTGCTGGAGAAAATGATCCGTTTTCTCAATCTTTTTGCTTCTTTGGTAACTACAACTAAGATGAGAATTAAATGGCCACATTTTTTTGTATTAGTTGTATTATTGTTTTTAGTACACTGATCATCCCATCAGGCTTTGATACTTTTGCAGTACTGAAATAGGCATTTCTTATTGTTGTTTTTAGGAACTGCGAAGTATAATCTCTCCCAAGTGAAATGGGCTTCTCAGGTTGCTTTGCAGTGGCTCCCTGATACAGATGTGTTTCCTGCCTTTCACACAGCTGCCCATCACCCAGCAGCACTTCCAGCTGCCCAGAAAGCAAAAGGTGAGGAGTTCAAAGATCTAGGAACACTTCTGGATACTTGAATGTTCCAGATTCCTGTAGCTTGAAGCATCAGGCCCTGGGATGAGCTGTTGTGGGGACCAGGAATTTGGCAGAAGAGCAGACTGATGTCTGGTCACAGCTGACTGGCAGCCAAATGGGGAAAACTGCTCACAACCTGTTGGAGGATGTGCCAGAAGGGATCCCTTGCTGCAAAACGTGTTGCTTAGGATTAATTGGGTCCCTCCAAGGCAAATCAGCCCCTCTGAAAATTTTCCAACTGATCCTATAGTTAATCACTCCTGATTTGGCTACGTGTTGTCTGTGATAATTAGATACCTAGTCAGAAGAACTGTCGCTGTGATAAACATGCACTCAAGGGAAGAAATAGCTTTATGTGACCAAAAATTAATTATGACAGGTTTCCCCTGCCTTGAAAGGGGTAAGATTTTTCTCCTTTTTTTTTTTTCTTAAATTTTTTTTTAAAATTGGTACTAGTATAGTTGTTATGAGAGAAAAATATAGGAATAGAAATGGGAAAGATGTGAGCCCATTGGTAATTACTAGGGGATCTTGGGGAAACCACAACACAGCTGCAAGCTGTGTTACCCACTGGTTGCCAAAATCATCTGAAGTTGTAATCTACCATTTTAATGATGTGATTTAGCTTCTCTCTCTCTTTGCTGGTGAGAACTATTATGACAACAACTTCCTGCTTGTCAGATGCAAAAAAGATTATTTTACTCCAATACAAGTAAGTTCATGCTTTTGGTCTAGAAAGCCAAGGAGTGAGTGGTCTGTTAATGGTGAGAGGTACTGTGCCATTCACACTCTGAGATGACAGGATCCTAAAGGTAACCTCCAAATCTCTGAAAAAAAATGCCCCAAAGCACTTTACACTCTGAGGGAATGTCCCAAAACATGCCTGCACGCAGTATGAGGTTTCAATCAACACATATAGCTAGTGTAGGAGGTGTCAGGCACCCAGTGCTGGCAGAAAATTTATTTCTTTAATATAAAAAAAGTCTTTTGGAGCCCTCTGACTTATTCTTTTGCCTTGGTCCACATACAGTTTTACCACAACACCCACCAGTCAGTGAGTGTAAACCAAATGCCCGTGTCCACCTGTAACAACAATCAGGATGAAGTGCAGGCAGGCTGGTCACAGTTTTGGGCCAAGACTGCAGTAGAACAGCTTGTTCAGACCACCACAACCTGTGTTGAGCCTGGTTTGGAGCTGGGTGGGTATGGCTTGTGAGGGAGCCAGGCAGAATAGGGGTCTAACCTGTCCTGCACTGGGAATGGTAAGAATGTTCCTACTTCCACAGCACAGCCAATATCTGCCTCATATTTCTCAGATCTCCTCCACTCTGTCAGATTTGCTTGAAGTCATCAATAGATTCATAGATTTTTTTAGGGAGAGAAGCTAACATGAATGGGCAGATGATCAGGAGAAACCCCACAACACCTCAAATTTACCTAGAGGATGATATCTGTCGTGCAGGTTATCCCAGAGGAAGCGACCATCCACCAAGCCTGTCAAAATCACATGGCTGCCATTTGGAAGGAGGGAGTCCAGGTATCGCAGAGCTTGCACCACATTGGAGAGCATTTCTTTGGGTGTGGTCATGTGGGCCAGTGTGTCACGTTCACTGCAGGAGAGGATGCCAATAGGACATTGTGTCAGGAATACTGTGTCCCCAGAAGGGCACCTGAAACTGTCATTTTCTCTGTCTGCTGCTCTTCCACATTAAGTCAGCTGAATAAAACATTAGAAAAATGCTGTGGTGTCTCTCACTTGTCATTGCCAAAATCAGACGTGATATAAAAACCTCCCTCCCTCAGTGTACCCCATCTCTCTGCTAAAAACAGACAAATCAATCCCTTTTTTATAGAGTGGACTCCTGTTGTGGGTTAACCTCAGTGGGCAGCTAAGTATCACACAGCTGCTCACCTGCTTTCCTTCCTCCACTTCCTCCCCAGTAAGACAGCGGAAGAAGAGAGATTAAAAGCAAGAAAACTTGGAGGTTGATGTAAAAAGCCAAACCAAAGCAGTTTATTGTTCAGAGAGAAAGTGGGCAAAGAAGTAATGCAAAACCAATCCCTCATCACAGCTGGGTGAATATAGGACTTCTTTCCCCATAGGTTCCTGTACATACCTTACTATCAACATGCTCTTTGATTATGCAAGTTAGGAATATCTAAGGTAGCTTTGTTTCTCACATGTCATACGCTTCTTACTACAGCTCTCCAGGAGGGCAGGAGAGAGGTCTGGACAAAGGTGTGAGCCTGGAGAGAGGTGATACCTAAGATTAAAATAATCCATTGGGGTACAGGTGCTGTGTCTGTGTACCACATGGACTGAATGCCCACATTTTGTGACTCATTGTCAGGCGTGAACCTCTTCAATTCAGATTCTCCAGCTCAGGCTTATCCTTCCTCTCTTGTATTTAGCTGTAAATGCTGCAGGAGTGTGAGGGGAAATTAAATCCTAAAGTTGAAATACATTTCAATTTATATAAGAAAAACAAACAAGCAGAACCACCCCAGGCTGCCTGGAGAACACTGCTCTAGTTATGTTATTATAGCAACCACTTTATTACAGAAGAAGCATTCACGCACTCTCCCACCCGAGAGCTATTGCTGTGCTCTCATGGTGCACGTGTCCATAGCAGGGGCTGACAGCAAGGGGGGAACACAGCCCTGAGAAGGCTGTCCCATCCCATCAGGAGAGGATCCTGCCACCTTGGGAAGCAGGGCCTTGTGACAGTTTTCATTCTGTCTTGGTGGTGTGGCCCAGCTGAATAAGGTGTTCAGAAAGTAAGGTCAAGAAAGACAGGGGATGTCCTTCCAAGGGAGAAGGTTGCACTGATGACCACCTGTCACATTCGCATTTTCTGGAAAATCCCCTCACCCAGGATTTTTCTCCTGGGAAGCTGAGAAACCTCAGAGAAAAAGGAAATCAATATTATCTCATTTGCTTCTCCTGTGTTTTGCTCCTTTGGAATGTGTTTGGAGATGGCTTACCAACAGGTGATTGTTTCATTGGTTTCCGCTGTGAACTATTTTGACTCATTGGCCAATCAGTGCCAAGTTGTGTCAGGACTCTGGAAAGAGTCATGAGTTTTCATTATTATCTTTTTAGCCTTCTGTAAGTATCCTTTCTGTATTCTTTAGTTTAGTATTCCTTAATATAATATAGTATCTTAAAATAATAAATTAGCCTTCTGAGAACATGGAACCAGATTTATCATGCCTTCCTTTGTCTGGGAACTCCACAAATACAATAACCACCCTCATTGTTTTAATGGTTCCCAGATTTTGTCCTCTTACTTGTGCTCTTTGTTTGTAGAAAAGCAATCACCTTAGCATTATCATGCCTTCCTTTGTCTGGGAACTCCACAAATACAATAACCACCCTCGTTGTTTTAATGGTTCCCAGGTTTTGTCCTCTTACTTGTGCTCTTTTTTGTAGAAAAGCAATCACCTTAGCGGCCAGAAGGCTCCATCCAGGTCCTTTCCTTAAGAAAGTCCTTTCATCTCTTTCTTGGCTTCCCAGGGGTAAGAGAAGGGCAAACTTGATGCTTGCAGTGCTGAGCAAGCTGAATTGGGTCAGATTCCTTGTCAGCGAACACCACAGAAGCAGGAGCTTTCCAAAGCATTGTTGCTCTGTCTTGAGGTGTTCAAAATGTTAGATTCAGAGGGGGTAAATGGATGTTGAATCCTGTGTTGGAGAACCACATTCCCTTAGAAGGATTTGAGATTCTTCACTGAGCAGCATTTTGCACACAAAATAATAATTGGGTGAGTTTCCTGGACCCAGAAATTTATCTTAATGCAGTATGTGTTGCTGAAGTGTTTGAGACTTTCTAGCAGGGAGAACTGAAAAACAGCATTAGGATTCAGGTTTATCCTTGTGACAGCCACCAAATCAAGCTACTTTTGAGATAAGACTGTGGATTTGCTCTGAAATTACTTCATTTCGCCTACAGGTGTTGCAGCACTTGATTTCAAAATACTGGTCTGATGTAAGGCCTGTACCACAAGTAAACATGTCAGCACAAGCCAAAATTATTTTGACATTCATAATTCCACTTTCTCTTGCCATACAGTGTTGAATTAATGCAGATATGTCTTCACATTTCGTTTCTGTGCCAGGCTAAGAAATTAAATCCGAATAAGAAGAAAGCACCTTGTAGGCATGTTCAATTTTGTCTCTGCCATAAGGACTCCAAGGTGCCTGGGTGAGCCCCAGGGCCTGTTGTGGTACCCTCACCCCATTCCCCTGGGCTTGCTGCACAGGGCTGGTATGCCCAGGGCATGAGGGCTAGAGGAGCTGCCTGCACACATGTTATTTTTATGGCAGGAGGGGTGCAGCAGCTCTTTGGTGCTGATAGCTGTACAATGAAGGGACACTATGCTCTTGCTGGCACTGGTGTCACTTTGTACAAGGTCCTTTCACGGTGGCTTGCTGCTCACCCTGCTTTGCTGCTGCCACCTTGCTGTTTGTTGCAGATGCTATAAGTGCAGATGTGTGAAGGAGAGGCTGGAGAAATGGTGCCATACCTGAAATGTGACTAGTATTTACATTAACTGTACAGCATTTGAGACTTCTGGTGCTCATTATTTTCTTGTCTGCTTTTTTTTTTGGTTTGGGTTTTTTTTTTTTTTTTTTTTTTTTTTTTTTTTTTTTTTTGTTCTAGGTCTCTGTATCCCATATTTACACCTCAGTGGGCTGTGAGATACCATTGCCATCTGTCTTTATTTTTCTAACCCCCCTGTTTGGACACCACGGTGTGGAGACTACAGGGAATGTGTAATACAGACTGCCAATTTCATTATCCTTTCCCTCTACAAACATCCACATTACTCATTGCCTCGCTCTTCGGATGGGATGAAAGACCAGCATTTTAACAGTGCTTTGGGAAGAGCTGTGTTTCCAGTGTGCTCAGCACACCACCCTCGTTTAAGACAAAATACAGGATAAGGCCAGGAAGGTTGTATTTCTGCAGTTTAGAGCTGTCCTTGAGGAGGTTTTTATTTGCCAAGCCCTAAGTTTAAAGTCAAGCCCATCGGATGCTCTGCATCCTCTGTAACCTCTGTAGGTAAATCAGAGCCAGGGCAACTACACGGTAACTGGACACTGAAACAAATCTCTCTCCACTGTCCATCCCCCTCAACGGAAACAGCACGATGCTACAGAAGCCGTGGCATCTTTCCTTGCAGGAGTCACTGGGATCACTACAGCCTGATAGCCTCTTTTGATGCTGGGAATGTTTTGGAAGAAAACAGACAGAAAATAGCAGTGAGAGTTTGAGCAGACAAAAGTGTCTCTGCCAGATAGTGAATTCTGGGATAAAAACCCATCAGAGTTTCAAGCAAGCATTAAATACTGCTCTGGAGGGTTTTGGAATATACAAATGGGAGAGGCAAGGTCACAAGGGTTTAAATTTCTGGAAAATTTCTTTTTACTTGAGATGAGTAGAAAGCAGTGTTAGAGAGAGGCTAAGCAAAAGCCTGCAGAATAAGGAATAAAAAAAAGGAAAAAGAGGTGCTTTTAGCAAAGGCAGTGACACAGCAGAATTGAAATATGTGCACAACAGATCCTGGGCCAAGCCTGTGAGAAGACGCCTTGAAAGTCTCCATGGCGGGAGCCATGGACTTCAGCAAAGGTGGAATTTTTATTTTTTGTGGAGGGGGAAGTAGGGGCTTTATCATCCTAGCAATGGATGCAATGATCTCTCCATAAGTTTCCCACTAAACAGACCCCCAGGACAGTCTTGTCAGCAAGTACCAGGAAGCCTGTGACTGCTTTTCCCTTTCAGTCAGAGCACAGTAGCATTGCTTTTGAGGATTTGTACACCTTTTCCCTAACAGGAGCAGGGTGCTGAGGGCAGATTTGGCAGTTCTGGGCAGGGGTGCAGAGAGAGCACCAGAGGACGAAGGTTTCGTGGCAGGTGATTTCTGTTTGCTGCCTGCATGTGGCTAGGGTGAGGGAAAGGACCTAAAAGGTGCCCCTGTGGCCCCACTTCTGCCACAGCTGAGGGCTCCCAGTTTCTGCAGTGCCAAGGAAAGCCCTGCCTGGCTTTGGACATCTTCATCTGGAACACAACACCTGGCAAACACAGTTTCAACCCATGAACTGCCTGTTAAGCAGTTTTAGGACACCAAACCTTGGCCATTTTTGTGGCCACATCTGACAGCCTGCATATAGCTCCTACTTTGTTATACAATCTACAGGTGAGAATTTTCAAAACCTTTGGCAGGAAACTTAGCTGAGTGTGCAGCATTTATTAAAGTGAGTGTTTTGAAAGTCTCTGTGTAAGTAAGATCGATTTCTTCCATGTATAAGAAATGATGAAGATTGACCATGGTGAAAATAATGTTGCACTACCAACAGCACTCAGACCTGCAAAACCAAAACTGCAGTATGGATGTGCTGTGCACTGGCCTGGTTGCAAGGTGTTTTCTGCCTTCCCACTTCCAGGAGGAAGGGAAGCATCGAGCTAGTGACCTCTTGGTGTCCCTGTGAGCACTGCAAATGGGTAATACCAGAACTATTCGTTTTGAAAGCTTCCGTTCATTTTCCCGCAGAGTTTATGATGTGAATAAAGCCAGAAAGACAAAACACCTCATCAGGAGAGCACAGCAAAGAGTGCAGGAAGCAGAGGCAAGGTGAAAATGGACCTCAGTAGGGGACTATGTTGTCATTCCTCAGAAATGATGAACCAGTCATGCTCTCCCTCCCGCGAGAAGGTGGCACAATGGGTAAGATGGATATACATGCTTTTAAACACTTCCCCCCAACCCCCTCCTGTTGTTATTATTCATTTCCTCTGCTAAGTTAGAAATAATTACTTCAGACATACCATTAGTCATTTTATGACTGGCTTATAAAAGAAACTAAGAAATGCAAGCTCTAAATGAGGACAGGTAGGTGCCTATGACAAATACAGGTGAGGAAAAAACAAGTATTTTCAACAGAAAATTAAGAAAGAAGGACCAATAGCAAAGAAAAATGCCATCATGGAGAAGGACAAAGCAGTGAGATGCAAATGTCCAGGCAGTCAGCAGTACTCTAAAGAAGTCAAATTTATGCTACTATAAGTGTTCATTTAGTTTACACCTTACCCATTGCAGACATCATTCCCAATTGTAGCGTAGATAACTATGGCTGGATTGTCCAACAGCTGGTTCCTGGCCAAACTAAAAGATAAATATGGAGCTATGTTAATGGGGAAATACACTCTCAGTGTCTGAATCACACCCCATGCTTGTGTGAGATCACATTTGGAAATATTCTGCTTGGATCTGGCCAATACCCAAATGACTGCTCCTATGTGTTTGAGAGGGTTTTTTAAATTTTGTTTTGTTTTTTTTTTCTTTTTTTTTTTTTTTTTTTGGCAGGTTTTCTTTTTCACTCTAGTTTTATATTTTACTACAGTGACTTAAATGAAGTTATTTTCCCTTTTCCCTTTCACTGCTCATGGACTTGTCTTTTTCACTGTTTTTCCTGCTGGCTTTCCATTTTCTTTGTGTTATTCAGAAGCCAAATCAAATAGTTTCACTTTGGGGCAAAGACATGAATCAAGATGGGAATTTTTTAATCGTAGATGGGAGAGGAAGACTAGGTTTGGCTGACAACTACATCTATGTGTAGAATTGAACTCAAGTTTAAATCAGGATGTGGTTTGAATCTCCATGCTAGAGGGCAAGAATTCATTACTTCTTTTTCAGGACGAGAGAAAAATAAATCCTTTAGGACACAAACTATATCAGTGTCAAGCAAATGAAATCAAACCCAGCTGACCCACAACCCACCCAAATTCATCTGAAAAGGAGAGTTGCAGCCTCTCACTACTCAGTAGCTACTCAGCTGCATCCATATGGAAGTGACAGTGGGCCTGCCCTTGTCTATCTACATTGCTACACGCAGTTAAGGGGACACAACACACAAATTTATGGAAAGGCTTAGTCCCTCCCCTAAAATCCCTGGAAATGCTCCACTGGCTTAACAGAGCCAAGTTCAAGGTCCTGGAGATGATGATATCCACACTTAAACCCAGTTTTCTTCTGTTTATTAATGTTTATACTATAGAAGAAAGAGCCAGCACTTCAGAGCACACTGGTCAAGGGAAGCAGTGCTTTTTAACACTCATGGATAATATAATCCTCACAGTGATTTGCTTGTTTCTACCAAAGAGGTAGAACTCCATCAGTGCCCAGAACTCCTCCAGTACCTCAAATTAGCTCTTGAATCCTGTTAAGCACTCACCTTTTTATTAAAGAGAGGAGGTTTCCTGAAGAACCACCTGATCACACAAAAGGGGAACAAGAGAAATAGTACAACATTGTTATAGGGAATGCAAAACCAAACTACATTGCATATTTCCAAGAATGTAGAAGCAGTAAAAGTAAAAATGGAGCAACAAGTCATCTCTGTAACCTTTTTAGTTGTTGGCACTAAGAAGTAAAGTTATATCCAGGGACCTGCTGCTTTCTTATCTGAATTGCACACTTCAGCCTGTAGAAAATCAAATACTTTTAACTGCAGGGTTGTTTGGATCTGGCTTTTAATCCAGATCTGGCAGCTCCTTCCCATCTGTTGAACATAGTAGTCTCCTGTAAACCAGCCAACCTGACTTGTCAACAGTCAATCTATTTTAATGTTCCCTATAAATTGCAAAGGGAACTGTTCTCACTCTGAGAGAGTAAGAGTCTCACAGCTATACCACATTGGGACTGATTCAGGTCCTAAACATAGGCACCAAGTGCCATTTTTGACATCCCAGAGTATCCAAGACACCTGCAGCAGGGCTGGCAGATACATCACAAGATGCATGAGAGACTGTGCACTTCTGGAGAGGCAGCTGGAGGTGGGAAAGATACCATAAAGCACCTTAAATAGCTGTAGACACCAGTGTTTGGGCTCCTGCAAGGCTCTCCCCACAAGTGTCAGACTTTTTCTAAGTAGTATTAGGCCAGCTGCACTCCTCCCAAGAGGCTCTGCATTTCAGTAGCAATTCACCCAAAGGGTTGGATGAAAATCTTTCCTCCTTGAGGAAAGGAACTGGCTACACCTAAACATCTGTGAGCATCTGTAATATTTCATTTATGTTTTGAATGAGAAAAACATTCCCATTTAGTAAAGCTTTTGTGCATTAAACTTATTAGCAAGTCTTTAAAGGCCATGCATATTCATCCCAACTACCTCCCTCACACAAATCAAACTCCATCACCTGGAGTACAGGAGGGATAGCAAATAAGGAGCCAAAAAAGAATTTATGCTTTGGTCAAGATGAGGCTAGGTCTGTGATTGCAAGAAGCTCACCTCACAGCAAGGTACAGAAACATAAACTTCAGAGAAGCAGATCCTACAGGTCGTACTTGGTCTTATTTTTCAGTATTTTCACTCTCTCCTCTTTTTTCATTCCATCTTCTCTTTTATTATCCTCCTCCTATTCTCAGCTCAACGCTTCCCTGATCTCTCTCCTCTCTTTTCTGCATTGTGCTTCTGAAGCTTGCTTTGAGGAGTAAATCCTGCCCTCCCTGCAGCTCTTGAGGGGAAACTTGTGGACAGAACATCATTAAATCCCTGCTGGATTGGTATGGGGGAAGAGATCTAAGATATAAACCCCTAAGGTAGCAATAATACATTTTGCATTTTAATAGTGATGCCTTTGTTATTATCACTCACAGTGATGCCAACTGCATATATCAAGGAACCTTTTATGTTTTAAATAATCCAGTTCTTCCAAGCTGAAAATGAATGTATCAATCTGCTGCTTCTCTCCTGGGGGTTGCTGATCCATTCAAAAATCCAGCCTTTCTATTGAGAAGCTCTTTTCAGCAGGGTAAGAGCTCCACAAAAACCTCAGAAACTATGGCTTGGAACATAACTACGAAAAGTTGTTTTTTTTCTGTTTAATAGACATTCTTTCAGTTAGAGCTCAACACCCTCTGTTTAAGCCATTTTGTCACAAGGCTCCCTGGACTGTGGCTGTGGTTTCAGCATAAATAAACTAGTGGGACCTCTAGAAATTAAAATGTATTTACAAAAAAGCAAGAAGCTGTTCTTGGGTATGTATTACCTCCACAAGCATAGGTAGTTATAAGCAGCTCAGTGGAAAGCATTAGCACAGTTACAAATCAAAACATCAAGAAAATGAACATGTATTTTAGAAAGGAGTTTTTATGGGTAAATTGAGTCTTCAAGGAAGCTTTTGTGATACAGGATGAAATCTGTGATGAAAACATTCAAGAGACAAAAGGAGATGTAGCAGAACTGTTACCCTTACACTGTTCAATGTCCTGGAATCTACTCCTGGATCTTTCCTGCCTCTCTCTTTCTCTCTGTTGCTTTCCAAATATTCTCAGACCAGTGAGGTTTTTTTAGTTTTGGTTGAGAAATCAAGGTTAGGTTTGCTTCCAGTTGTGAGGGAAGGGTCCACCACCTCCAGAGGATAATGGGATTTTTTAAGAAAGGGAAGGCAGAAATCCTGTTAGCATTCCTGGGGAAGCCTTTCTCTGTGGTGAAGATGCATGTCCTGAGAAGAGCAGTGGGGGAATGTCCCTTTGTGCTGAGTCTGACACAGTGCTGGTGCTTTTGTAGGGGAGCTGGACAGGAACATTGTTCTTGGTGCCTGGCTTGGCTTGCCATCCCTGGGCTCTAGCTCTTGGCTGCATATCTCCTCCACCAGATCAGCATCCTTTCCTTGCACACATGTGGGGCTGTGAAGCATCATTTTCAGAGGAAGGTTTAGTTGTCCCGTGTGGGGTTAGGTCAGGCTGTTCAGCTGTTTGCTTTATTGACACTGAGGGTAGCTTTTTAAATCCTCCCATTCTGGGAAACTATTACACCAAATGAGGCAATAAAACCGAACCTTTACAATATAGTGTCAGTGTGATGATTTAGAGAAGATATTCTGAGATTTTTCTCTTACTGGTAATTTTTTCCTTTTTAAATTCACTTCCTAATTTTCTGCAGAGTCTTTTGCTGTGACACAGGCTGACCTCTTTTTATATCCTGCAGGTGTCTGTAGTGTAAGTGGAAAAGGGTAATGTGGAGAGAAAAACGAATGATGAACACAGTAAGAGATTATAAAAAAATCTACAAGGGAATTGGGAAAAGGAAGCACATGAAAAACTACTCCCATTAATGTAAAAAGAGCAGAACAACATAATTAGGGTATCAGGTACTGAGGTGAATTGGGTGTAAATGAGAAGAACTGTTGGCCTAGTCATCCTTGACCATCTGGTTTGGCCCTTTTTTAAATTCTGTCTCACCAGAAAGCCCACCTGGATGACTGCAATGATGGGAGCCACTAACTCTAATGCCCTGCAACTTACAGGCAAGAAAGTCAGAAGCACCTGACTGATGACACCAATGACGTTGTAAAACACTTTCACAGAAGACTCAAAGCCTCAGGAGCACCATGTGTGCCACAGGAAGGAGCAAGGCATATGAGAGGCATTGCCAGTGTCATTGATGCTGGCATCAGAACGCAATTTTTAAGGTGGAAATGCCCACCCGAGCCTGGAAGTGATCCCTGCATCATGATACCTGTCTGTGCAACCTCTTCTGCCTGGAAAGATCACAGACTCACAGAATCACAGAAATTTTAGGGTTGAAAGCAACTTCTGGAGATCGTCTGGTCCCACCTCCCTGCCAAGGAAGGGTCACCTCGAGCAGGTGACACAGGGACACATCCAGGTGGGTTTGGAATCTCTCCAGAGAGAGACTCCACACCTTCCCTGGGCAGCTGTTCAGTGCTCTGCCACCCTCAATGTAAAGAAGTTCCTCCTTGTCTTGAGGTGAAACTTCTTGAATTTTATAGCCATTGCTCCTCATCCTGTTGCTGAGCACCACTAAAGACTCCAGCACTGTCATCTTGGCATCTGCCTTAGAGATATTTATGTGTATCTGTTTGTTGGAGGTGGAGGGCTCGGGCATATCCTTTCTGATCCAAGTTTTTTTCAGGAAATTCCAATCATTTAATAAGTTTCTAAGTAGTTCTAGAGACAGCAGGGCTCCTCATTTGTAACCAGCATGAATCATCTGCTGGAAAGGAAGAACATCCCATATAGCCAAATTATCTATACAAGGAAAATAAATTTTCCCAAGCTTCTCCAGCCAGTTTTCTGAAGCATGAAAATTAATTAAATACAATAGAAACAAAAAGGCATAATCACAGCATAATCAAGTGTCTTTTAAGCCTGCTGTTAGGGACATCAGCTAATCCAAGACACAAAAGCTAACATCATAAACCTCAATTTATAAGGAAGACTACTGTCATCCCTTCATACAACCCCTCCGACAGCTCAGGATTTCTTGTTTGCCTTCATTCCTCTTGTTTAATATTTTCTCTTCTTGATAGCTTTTTTTTTTTTTAAAAATTCCCTCCAAACAGAGGTAAGTTTAATGAAAACCCATGTTCTTGTACCAGAACTATCCTTCAGTTTAAACCATTCTTCCCCCCTGTGATGTTTATGCCTCAAAGGAATTCAAAATGGTAATACCTTTTAATTAATGCTTTGCTCTAATGTCAATGTGTTATATCATCCCTTCAGAAGTCTCCATTGCCCTAATCCTCCCCAAAACCTTTCCCTCTGTCTCCATCAAGGTCAGTCCTCCTTAGATAAATGGGACCAAAATCTGAGGTTTTATCAGGACTTGTATGAAGAAGGACTGTCTCCCTGTCTCTAGACAAAATGCCACACCTGATGCACCTTGCAACCTTCTTATTCTCTTTCCTCTTTTACCCTGCAGTCTTGATGGCTTCTTGGAGTTTCTCTTTTCACCCCAATGGCCCTGCCCCTCCACCACCTCTGGCTGATGGCTCACTGGTTTACAGAGAAGTCTCATCATTGCTTCTGTCATGCATGTTTTGTACAATTTTTCATCATGTATTTGCTGCAATTCCTGCCCCTGCTGTTCCCAAGCTCATATAAATTATTCCTGTGTAAGGATATGCCCTACTCCAGGATGGTTAATTTAGCATCATTCACAGAAGCCATCAAGCATGGACCTTGGTCTTTGCTCTAAGGTGACCACTCCAAATGTTAAGGAGCATCAGCCTCAGGAGAGATGCAGGAGGGACACGGCTTCACTCTCAAGCCCACTGCTTTTCCCTGCTTAGCTGCTTCTCTACCCACTTCTTATTTCTTGTGTTAATCTTCGTCTTCTTCACTGCACACTGGGGTACCGTGCAAGACAATTTCCCTTAATTCTAGGTAGATCAGGCCTGCTGCATATTTATATGCATATTTTATATATATATATATATATATATATATAAAAAGATGATGTTCCCCAGTCCCACAAAATAAATTAATCAAAACCCAACAGTGTTAAGTTTTGTTTATGTCTTTGATTACTTATTAAAAATCTGTTCTGAGAGTACATTAAGATGCCAGCACCACTGGGTTAAGTGAGTGCTGAGTTAAGTAGGTGCTGTTCTTTATTTTTCCGTAAAAAATGCATGCAACTAAGAAAGGGCTTCTCTTTGTTCCTGACAGATGTTCATTAATGCAGCATCAATTATCACCACTAGTAATGTCAAAAATAATAATAATAATAAAAGTTTAAAGAAGTCAACATACCATTTTGGGAAATGTTCTGCAAGTCCCTGTGATTACAGCGATTTCTCTTGCGTAAACGTAGATACAAAGAGTCTGTCCACCCTCTGAAATAAATTGAGAAAATGCAAACTGCTGAAGTCATATGATAATGATGAAAACACAACTGATATTAAAAATGAAGTATGTTCTTGCGTCTGAAAAATTCAATACCCCAGTTATGTATGTGCTTCTATTTCACCATCTCTCTCTTTTTGTGGCCATAAATCTTTTTAATCTTGAACAGAGTGGCCTAAAATAAAGCAAAGATAGCTGCTCAGAAACTATAAACTGATGAACAGTTTCTCTGACATTGTTCCATCCAAGAACAATGCTTTTATCCTGGTCTTTCAGATAAGGCATTTAAAAACCTTTTTGTTATACATCATTTATCAAAACAATTCTGTTGGTTGTTCACAAATTGACTTTTCAATTGGTTGTTATGGAACAGTAAGTAAAAGAGAAGAAATATTGGCAGGGCAATCATTTCCCAACATCATAAATCTTAGACAGATTAATCTGAAAACAGGTTACACTTGACTGTCATAGGTTCTCTCCTTTATTTTGCACTGTTGAGAAAAATGAAAAAAAAAAAAAAGCCCAACAAAAACAAATGAAAAGGATAACAGCCCAGAGGGTGATGAAAAGATCAAGCTCCCAGCCATCAGTACGTGCTCATTTCTATCTGGGCTGCAGCTGTTTGTTTGTTGTTTTTATTTCTTTTTCTTTCAGGAGTGAAAGAGATTAAAAACTGAACACTGGACCAAGGTTTATCACTGACAACTTCAGGGGCAGTTCTAAGCTCTGATCACTTGTGAGCTTTAGATTCTTTGGAGCCCAGAGAAGTAGTGTGTGCTGAGAGACTGGGCACTGTAACAGATTTTTAAATGTCAGTTTTGCTGTGGCTCTGATAGAGAAGGCTGCATGGATTTTTCCTGTTGGCTTGTCAAGTGCCAAACTGCCTTAAATCAGATACTGTGGGAATGTAGCTGAGGCTGAAAGCCTGGATTTTGCACAGGGAGAAAAAAAAGGAAACAAAAAGCCCAAAGTATATGGTGCAACAGATATTTTTCCTGGGAAAAAAATGTTATTCTGCCAACTTTTAAATTCTGCTGCTAGAAAGCCTCTTCAGGCTTGACCCATGCTTGGTTTGGTATTCAGCTGTATTCCTGACTTATCCTAGACATAAAAACCAAAAATTATCTGAAACTTAGGTCAGACCAGGCACTGGTTGATTATTGTATCCTACAGCTCTTGCAGGGTTCAAAGGCCTTTTAATGCGGGCCAGAGAGATGATTAATAAAAAGTTTGGTCGGTTTTTATTTATTTATTTATTTTTTCTTAAATTTCCCAGTTACAACTGCAGGCATTTCAAGGTGTTTTGGAATTTATTTTCCTTCCCTTCTGGCAGGGAGTTTATTTTTTTCCATCTATGCCTGCAACCTTCCCCATCCACATAAGCCAAACTAACACAGCAAATTAGGTCACAGACTTTCAAATTCTCCTTTTGCTATTTCCCTCTAAATGTGTTGAAAAATCCCAGAAAAACAACATGTGGGAGGAGGAGAAGAAAGATTTCCCCCCGGTAGGGAACACTATGAAATAACCATGGGGATACCCTTTATTCCACTGTTTTCATCAGCAAAAGGAAACATGAGGAAGAGAGGAAGATTAAAAAAAAAAAAAAACATAAAAAAGAGAAAGGCTGATTTTTGTTACTTTCAGCAATGATTTCTTTCCCCTGAATTTTGTAAAAAAAATTGTAAAAAAATAATAGTTTATCTTTTAGTTCTTTGGGGTTTTTCTCCTTCTAAATTACAGTTTGACTGGTTCTAAAACCTACCCTGAATTTCAGGATGACTTGCTTATATATTTAAAATATCGTTTAAAACCCAAGATCCAGGGTTGATCTTGGTTTTAGAAAGAGCAGATGCAGATCCAAATTGTATTTTTCTCTTTCCTTTCAAGCAGATTTGGGTTTTTTTCCTTGCTGTGCTCTGAGATACCTAGAGACTTGCTATGGCTTGGCCACCCTGTCTGCTGGCTTACCCGATGGTGGAATTGAGAAATCCAGTGATCTCTGAGAACTGGGGCCAGTCAAACTCATCACTGAAAGCCATGGGGAGATTAGCAAATGATTTCTGAAAGAGAAATTTTAAAATCAACCCGGTTTCACCCTCTCAGACATAAAATCCCCTTAGTGAATTTGAGCACTTCTTAGCCAGAGCATTAGCCAGACAACAGCAATTGTTACTACCACTAGTAGTGGTACTTATGTATGCATATACTTAAAAAGTTGGCTTTTATAAGACAGGCATATGAAGAGATGGAGGAAGGAAAAGCAGGGGAGATATCTGAATTGCAGCTCTTGGCACACTTTTTCCTGAAAGAGTCCCAAACTCCTCCTTGAGTGAGCAGGTACTGCAGATGCAGACCCCCAAGGCAGCAGCTGATTGCTCCAGCACCTGTCCTGCCCAAAAGTGTATCAGCCTTGGGCACAGGAAGAGATGACAGCGTGATGTCCCCAGAGAATGTGGCAAAGGCATAATGTCACATTCTCTCAAAGCTCCCCTGCCCGCTACAGCAGGATGAGCTGAGAACAGCCAATTCCCTGAAAACCTCTGCCTGGTCCTCATTAAATTTTGGGGAGGGCACCAAAGCAACAGGGTCAGAAAGACCTCTGAGCATGGCAGGGACAAGGGAGAAAAACACATAATCTGACATAACCGTCCTGTGCAAATTCATACATCCTTTACCCCACTCTGTTTTGCTGATGTTGGTCCCTAATGCTTTTTTACAGCAACCCTGTGAAAGCCTCTCTACAGATGCAAGCCATGATGCACATTCAAAACACAGTGCCCTGTTCTTTCCCACTTTGTTTTCTGAAAGTCCCAAAAATCATGAAAGGTTAGGAAAATAGCCTTGATAAATTGTGCCACCTCAGAAGGACAGAACATGGAGTAAATTTCCAGCTTCTCCTAGTCTGGGGTACACTTGCAAAGACAAATGTATAAATCCAGTGTGCTCATAAAGAGGAAAACTGCTGATGAAAAAGGTAATAACCAAAAGAAGGTCAAAACATAAAATCAGAGAACCTACAGGCTGTTTTATTCCATATAATTTATTAGCTTCATTTTCTCTTGAAGCAATTGTGGGGTTTCCTTCAGACCTCACTGCTATAAACAACAAGCAGGTGGGTAATTCTTTATCCAGGAGGGTGAGAGTAGCAGAGGAGCTACAGTACAGCTAAATCTTGTGCTGCCTAACAAGTTCTAATTCAAAAAAATTATTGTTTAGGTGAATGGGAGCTATACTTGAGGATATGGGCTAAGTTTATGTCTAAGGATTTTGACTGTAAGAGGATGGAGGGAGATGCAGGGAAAAGGGAAGAAAGGCAAGTAAATGGGGGGTTGTGGGGCACAGGAAATCATGAAGCTATGCTCTGAGCAGTCTAATGCACAGCAGATGCCAGTTTAAAGCATGTAACAGCACATTTGACCCACTTACAGTACATCTGCATTAGTTACCAAGGTGAAAAGAGGCCTGTTTTAATTATCTTTCAGTTTGTTTTCTCTTTCTCACATACATATATGTGTCCTTGTGTGTATGTGTACATACATATAAAAATAAAAACCATTCATTTTTTAGGGCTGCAGGGAAACTTCAAATTTGCCTTCAAATCTGTTAGTTTTGTGTGCAAACAAGCACTTAATCCAAGGGCATAGCTGTGAGCAGAAGTGGAGGGACACAGCACAGTTTGGCCATTTACAATATTTTCCTCCTTGCAGGTTTGCATTAGAGGTGAGAGAAACAGTCACCTAGGACAGAAAAAACCCTGCAGATATGATCTCTTATAAGTGACACATATATTAGAGTATAAAAGAAATAAGAATTATTTAATACTTTTTAAACAAATCGTTTTATGTACAATTCTCTCATTATTTACCATTGGCACTCCAAAACAATATCTTTATTGGACAAGTCCCAATAATTTTTAACTGTTTTAATTTTTTTTTCCCTGCAAACTTGGCTTAAATATTAATTTTCCAGAACCTAATTGAGTTGCAAATTGATTTGAAGAGGAACGTTTGAGCCGAAAATTATAGTTGCATTTGAAAACTGGATATGCATTTAGCATTGACACTGTTCCAACAAAGCACTTAAGGGCCAGACTTTTTGCAGATATTTCAGGTCCAAAGGGTGAAGATGAGTAGTTAATGGAAAATTCAGAAGAATGCTGAACCTTAAACTCTGCATTGATGTAGTTTGGAAAGTACAGCCTAACAGACTGTGTTGCTTAGTCTCAGATGCAAATGTGTCCCACTCTAGAGGTGCAACTGTGCTGACTTTTAGCATAAAACTCTCTTGAGCACAGCCTTGTTTAAATACCATTCTCTAGACTATTCTGGCTGAGAAACCTACTTCAGCCCACGTGCCAGATTTTAGCAGAGAATCAGTAGAAAATTGTTCCAGCCTAGCTTCAAATGCCATATTTTAGCATCAAATGCTTTAGATAGGTCTCATTCCAGTGAACATCCTCCTCTCCTAGATGTGTCCTGCCTTGAAGCATGGGGCAGCCAAAGCCATGGCTGATGCTAAACACACACGTGCCAATCTGTGCTTAAATGGAAGAAGGCTCAGGCAAGACATTTTCAAAATTAGAATACAAAAGGGCACTGGAAACCTAACACTCATACAAGCCTTTCCATCCTGGAAATCTTGAAATCATTGAGGTATACCTTAATTTGAAGGAAAATTGGGTGTTTCTTTTTTATAATTATTTTAATGCCATTCAAATCCTGGTGACAGCATTAAGTACTACAGACAACTTTGTTATTCTAAGTATACAAATAAGCAAACCTTAAACTCTTGAGAAAAGCACAGCCTATCTTTTTAAAAGCAAAAATTGCATTTTGGCTCTGTAAAGCTGCAAAGGACAGAGGTTTGAAATTGGCAAAACTGTTACCTTATTTCCCACAAAATTGAATGTCTAAGTCATGACAATACAAGTTTGGAGAAACCTGCCTGCATTTCACTGGATCTAGAGGAATGATAGATAATGTTTTAGGAACAATTGCACACATCAAACTCCTGGGTTTTTTTCCCAGTGGTACAGAAAAAAAAAGAAGTCAGTGGGATAAGTGTTTGGGACGTCGTGAATCTACATTTAGAGAAATGATGAATTCTGCTATTAGGAAAAAATAACATGAAACTGTTACTTTAATGATATCTGAGAACCCCCCGAGTTTGTGGGCAACTAGGTATCTACTGGACTATGGATAAATGTAGGCTTTATTTTTCTCTTTATTCAGAAACAAAATAGAGATGCAACAGTTTTAAATTGCACCTTTCCAGAAAGGGTATTATTTCCATCACATTTATAAATATACTGCTTATACCTCAAAATAAAAATCTCTCTAAAATGAGACATGAAAGTTGCTTCTATTCCAGACATACAACAGAAAAAATGCTGTAATTAGTAGCTATTTGGAAGTCAATAGTAAGCAGATGGACAGAGCAGCAGGAGAACAATATCCATCACTAGACATACTAGTGTTTTCAACATTAGCTCTCTGCAAAAAAAATCTACCTCAAAAAACTCTCACCTCAAAAAACCCCCCAGTACTTTTTCTGCTTTGCTAAACCTCATAGAGTGCATGTCTACTGCCTTACACTTCATTTTTAGCGTCCAGATTTTCAGGTTAAAGGGATGAACATTCAGCTCAATTCTTGCCAAAACTCTTAAAAGAAAAGTTTGGCAAACCCAAGAGCTGTTGATAACCAGAAAGCCAAAATAAAGTTGACTTGACCCCTTCTTAGAGATGGATCATTCTCTTTGTGGAAGGTACCCATGACTTCCCCTATATAGGAAAGAATAATGGTTTTTTAGTTGTTTTGTTTGTTTGTTTCAACAGGAGAAATAGCTGCAGTTTTCAAAGATGTTTCCATCTCATGATGGGTGTTTCCCACAATGGGTAATGCCTCTATGTGTTCTTTCTGGGAAGAATATACTCTGAGAGGGATGGTAACTGTATATGTGACTGGCTCCTAGGGAAAAGCTTTGGAAATAGCACTGGAAAACAAGAGTGCCCCCTCTGATATTTAGCATGCCAGACGACTTGATATGGGGAAAGTGAATGATGCAACTTGATGCATCCCATACAACATGAGACATGTAACAGAAGCACCAGATTACACTGGGGGTTATGACCCCTACAGGGCAAAGCTGAGAGGGCAGTGTGTTCCTAATTAGACCAGGAAATCCAAAACCCAATGTACAGCATCTTCCCAATAATGCTCTTCAAGTCAATGGCATGGACATACGAATTTCAAAGCTGTTCAGCCCAAATAGTTATCCTGTCACCCCTGTGCTGAATATCCAGCTACTCAGACAACATGCTGAGTGAATTTTTCATTCACATTCTCTTTTCTTTCCATCCTCATCATAGCCTCTCCTTTGCAAGGTAGACTACATGCAGCAAAATCAGGGAAAACAACCATTCTGCAGAGCCTCTTAATGAAATACTCAGCATCTCTCCTAAAAATTATTTCCTCACCTAATTAGCTTTAAAACTGGAATTAACAGCTGCCACTGATGTGGTACTGATTAACAGATGGGCCCAAAGCATTGTAACCAAGTGTAAATTTTACTTTACACCTGTATATATAAACACATAAAAGGATAAATATAAATAAGAAATTTGTGAAATATAGAGATATAGACTATAGAAAGCATATAAAATGAATATGTAAAAATATAGAAAAATATTAAAGTAGTAAAATAATAGACAGAATACATCTAAATTAACAGGCACACAAGTTTTTCCTGTACACATGATAAAAGTCTGGACAGGGCAGGGACAAGGAAGCACTATTGGAAATTCCATGTAGAGGTCTGAGATTCTATTGAAATGAAAATTAAAGCTTTGAGCTTACTCTAGTATTGACTGTGGAGAAAACTATTTGACAAACTAATGTCTTTGCATGTCTTATTGAAGAAATTTTGGCAAAATCAAATCCAGGTGTCTTGAGTTAGACAGGACAAGGGAACAGCAGGTACACAAAGATGATGCCTTTTCCTCTCTTCTCCAAGGCCTAACTTCAAATTTTCCAGATTAAATATGTTTCCTGTAAGATTAGGACATAGACTCTCTGCACTCTCTCTGGTCACAAAACCATCTCTGAATGTGCTTCAAAATTCTCCTTGAGGGAAGCCTTGCACTGAAAAATCATTGAATCCATTTAATTTATTAACTAAGCCTAGAGATGAAGAATATTTTCCAGTGGCTTTTAATACAACACAAGAGACAGCAATATTGCACCTTCACAACCCCAAGGCAGTTAAATTGCTGCTGTTGACATCCTCCACAGAGAAGGCAAGACACAAAGGACAAGGAAAAGGAAGAGGCAGTGATAAAGTCTGAAGTAGTTCAGAAATGGTATTGCTTTTGTGCTCGGGTGACAGCTTTCACACTCATGGTGAGCTCCAAATTAAATAACCTTTTACTTTTGCTGGAGTTTAATCACAGATAATAGTTTTTATACAGCTGAGATCTCTGTATTTCTGCATTCATATTTAAATGATGTATTTTTGCCAGGTTGGTAGAAAAGCTTGGAAATAGTCCTAGAAATAAACATGTTGTTTCCTATCCCAAACCTCACATATATTTTTTGGACCTTACACAGAGTGCACCAATTCTGCCCCCTCCCCCGCCGTGGAAGCTGCTCTGCACTCATCAGACAGTAACAAAGAGCCTCCAAAATTCACTTTTGTAATCTGCACTCCAGCTCCCAACATTGAAGCTTGTGCCTTGGCATGCTATTAGCAGACCTTGACCCAACCAGCTGGTGGATCAGCAAGCTTCAAACAAGAGAAATTCTTTCTAAATCTTCATTACAATGATAATAAAATGCTGACATAGTCTAAAACTGGTCTTGCCTACATGGCTTCACTACAGCCTTACTGTCAGAATCATCCTTGCCATCAGTATTATGATCATCTCTATTAGATGAAATAATCTCAATTATCATTAGTGCTAATTTATTATGTTCCTCATCAGCTCTGTCATCAGTGTCATTCATCTAATTGTTGCTCATAAGCATTTAACAAAGAAAAACAACGGCTAATCTGCAACATTTAAATCAGCTCTGGGAGCAAAAGTGGAAAAAATCCCATGAAACTCTCAGACCTCCCACAGCATTGCAACTACTAACAGTCTGGAAAAAGAATTGTTCTCCAGAAAATGTCTGTAACCTTATTCTACACCAGTGGATGTGTAGAAGATTTTCACTGGGAAGGGTGGGCAATGATGATCTATCTGCTCACCCCTGTGCAACAGACTTTTGTGCAGAGAAGGACAAGGTACAGTCGTCCCTGGCTAGAGACTGATAGGATAGAAAACAACAGTGAAGGTCAGGAACATACCTGTGCATTTATCTCTACCCCATAATTGCAGTTTGCTGGAATGATCTTTTCCTCTCAATTATTTCATTACATGCCAGTGAACTGCAACAGGCTCAGTAGAGTTCACAGTCAGGTGCATTTTGCTGTTTTTTGAATATAGGAAATGCTGGGATACCACCCAAGGATAGATATCAGTGTGGCAGTGATATTTTATGGTACAGGAACTCTTCCCTTAAGGACAAATCTATTATAAATAATTGGATGACCCTCAAACACCTGTGAATGCATTTGTTCAACAGTCCTCAGAAACAGAACACTGGAGTTATGAGACCTATTTCACATATGCCACAGGATGAGGGAAAACAATCCAGGGCACATCATTTCAAAGCCAGATTCCTAAAGCAGAAATTCTCTGACTGTTAGCAGGGTCACTTCTGCAAGCACTCTCCCAGCAAGGAGCCATCCCAACCAGGCTCTAATGGCAGCTCTGATCCCACAGACAGCACGGGTCTCCTTGAGCCGCAGGCACGTGCGTGGAAAGCCAGATGTCCTGGTTTGTGTCTCTGGCACAGCACCGGGACACTGCAGCCAAACTCTTCCCTGACCCAATTGCACAGATGCCGGAGGAGCGGCAGTAGCACAGGGCTGCGCTTTTTTATCTTCATGGGAGCAGATGCGGGAGGGGACTGGTACACATGAGATCATAACTACAAATTCCAGTGCAGTGAAGCATTTTGCACTTGTTTCCCCTTGGCAACCTGCAGCACAGCAGAGGAAGCAAATGGCAATCAGTGGTTTTGGCAAGTTGAACGTGATTCCTCACCGCTGACATCTGTGTGACGGTCATCCACTCGGGAGGGATGTGGAAGTGAGCGCCGGCCGAGTCTCCCAGGAGCACGACCCCTCTGGAGTCTGCACCTGATGGATGCATTTTGTCAGTCACATGGGCAGAAAGAGCAAACTGAAACCCAGCTTGGAGAGTGCTTAAAGAGGAACAGCAGTAGCAGCTGATGGAGTCACAGGGTGATTGACTACACCACCCTTCATGTGGCTTAAATGTTCAGACACTGCAATAGGATTTTCACTCCATCTGCAGCAGAAACCATCTAACAGGCATTTGCCAACAACCCTAGAGAAGCAACTGGGGACTGGGCATGAAAAACAGGGGGAGGTCTTGCTAATCAGAAAAGAGTCCTGGTTGTATTCAAATTGTGTGTTATTTCAGCAGAGGTTCTGCTGTGCAGACAGTGTTTATTTTTACTATCCATAGATTATGCATTAAAAAGTACTTAAACATTTAGGGAAATCGGATTACTCAGAAAATTGCTCAAAGCTCCTTATAACAGAACTGGGTGGCGGATGTGCTACTCATATGAGTATTTCTGCTAGAACAATCTGTCTGGTTTATAATTAATGTCACTTAACATTTGTAGATTAGCCTTTCATCTAAAAATGCTGAGGAGTCTTGCCAGGCAATGGTTCATCCCCAGGATACTGATTTCAATGTGAGGTGAGGTGAGTGGCAACTGCAGTCACTGCTGGTTTGTGAGGCTTTTATTTGTGCAGCGTGGGCACACAGGCACCCACCCACATCATAGTCAGGGAGATCAGCTGATGCCATCATTTCACCCCTTTAAGGCCTTATCTGGAAAAATATGTATGTATTTATGGCAAGAGGTAAGACTGGACAAATGCAAATGTTAAGCTGCTTCCCTAAATCTCAAAGCTATTACACTGGGTTAGTCTTCAGGCACCAGAGAAGATGCAGAGCTGACATCTCAGTTTGCTGCTGTCCCCAGTCTATGTATTCAACTTCATTACTGAGCTGACTTTTAATGGGAAATTACCAGCATCCTGTGTTTTACAAGTTTCATCTTTATCCATCCTCAAGATTAAAAAACTCAATAATTTTGCTTTTCTCATGATGTCTCGTGTTTTCTCATGTTTCCCTTGTCTTGTGAACATGCAAGTATTGAAATATTTATCAAATTAATACATAAGATACATGGTTTATTGTATTGATTCTAATTATTTACCTTTGCAGAACTTCTCTTCATAGGGAATTCCATCTTTTGGATCCACACCCTGTTGGAGAAGAGAAAGGGTAGAAAACAGTGCCTATCAAGCACCTGAAGAATGGCAGTGCAAAACAGAGGCTGAGAATTTAGTTATTCTTGAATGTTTGCCTACAGGAGACACTGCATCATAATAATGATGCAGTGAGATTATCTTAATAAGTATATGTACATTTTAATTAATGATATAAGCTATAATTTAAATAATCATAAGCATCAATAAACAAACTTAAATATCAGCTAATAAAACCAGAATAAATAAAAAAGGAACACTTCTAAACTAAATCAAAGACTACAGAGGACAAAAGAGAAGCAGCAATCAGGAAGATGCAACTTCATTTACTTACCCATATGCCATTGCAGTTAGAGTCACCTTTTGCATCCCAATTATCAGGACTAAAACAGAGACAAAAAAGGATAAGAAATGTCACAAAAAAGAATCGGAAAATCAGATCCCCAGTGCCATTTCCCACCAAAATGAAAAAGGAATTAGAAATTCCTTTCTGCTTGGAAGGGTGGGGTTTTTCTTCTTTGGATCTAGGAGAGGCAATTTTTCCTAGCAAAATGCAAGCGCAAATTGCAACATTAATTTAAAGTTAATACTGGAAGTTGCTGAATTAAACTTATCCTTTTAGTCAGTGGCATGGTTTCCCTCCCCATCACTGGTCTGTCTGACCAATTGTAGCTGCAGATGCTTTAGAGAAAGGAAAGAAATGTGTGCATCACCCCTGCAAAGGAGTCCCATCCCTGGTCTTGATCATCCCCTCTTCTGTCCCTCAAAGCAAAGTCAAACAACAAGCAGTGATGTGCTGTCTAAGAATATGGTCAAAACAAAATCTGGAGCTCATTCTTCTCGAAGCCACAGTTAATAAGAAGCCTGTAAAATAATTAAAATCTTTACCGTCTGCCAGGGTACACGGTTGTGTTTTTGTCGTTGCAGTCTCTGCCTCGCCAGTGATAGCCCCTCAGCGTCTAAAGGCCAGGAGAAACACGCAGATAGGACAGCCATTATTACTCTTGCACTTTTAATTTAAAATATCTAAAATGAGAATCTAACTCAAGGTGTAGGAATAAAACCCAGTAAACAGGTTGCATTCCAAACTCCTTTTGCTAAGCTTTAATAAGTGACACCTAGCATGCTTTGGTGCAGAAATAAGACAAGTTGGCAATTTATTTTTTTGTTTAATATGACTTCACCTCTTATTAATTCAGTAAACAACCACTCAGCAGCAGAGCAATTTGCTTCTGCAGGGAGCACAGCTTTATGTGTGCATTTCCCCAGGTGGCACACATGAATGATTGCTTTTTCATCCAGGAAAAAACTCAACATTTTATGACAAAAAAACCTTCCATTCATTTTATTCCTATTCCTCTTTTCACATGAATGGATAAGGCTTTGCAGAAAGTAGGAGGAATATCCCAGAGACATTGTCATTATCAAGGGATTACTGTACCAAAGGAAAGGCTTTGCTTACTGGGAAGGTACTAAATTTATCTCCATCAAAATCTTCAAAAGGCAGTTTATTTCTTAGAACACTGTAAAAAACAAAAACCAAAACCCATAGTGTTAACATATGGAAAGGAATCTATTAACAAAGTAAAAAACACAGTGAAGTGTACAGAACAGATAATAACTGGCATGATATTCACTGCTCTATATTCAGTTGTGCCTCTGTGCTTGTACTTCAGCAAAGTGATCCTGCCCAAAAGAGCAAATTCGGTATTTCAATATCCTCTGACTGAGCTCTGGAGGTGATGCTGATGGACTCCTGTATGGCTTCTCAACGTCAAAACTGCCGTCTCTAAAACAAACTAAGACAACAAATCTGTGATAAAAGTTGGTTGGTGGTTTTTTTTGTTTGTTTGGGTTTTTTTTGTTTTTTTTTTTTTTGTTTTGTCCTACAGAAAGAGGAAAGTAAAAACCCAAAAATGGTGAGGGAGAGATCAGAAAATCTGAGTTGAATACATGCAATCCAATATATGGTATACAATTTCATTCCTTTCCACTGTCTGAACTCACAGGGCTCAAACTCAGCACACTTGCAAGATTTTTCATGTCAATCAACCCATTCCAAATGAACTCCTGATATTTGCAGTTTCAGTTAAATGAGCAGAAATAGGTGAGCAAGTTAGTCTTGGCAGTTGAATCAGTCAAATACACAGCTAATAATCCTGATTTATTCTTAGACCTGCTTGAGTATTCCTCCAAGTCATTGGAGTACATCAACAAATACACTTTATGAATAATCGCCCAGCTCATATCCCTGGCCTTTCTTACAAACTGACTCAAAGTCAGCACTGTAATGAGTTGTTTTTCCTGGATGCCATCCACCTGACTTTCTTAAACACCTTGGGATTGTTCTATGCTTCACAACTGACATTAAATTTGGGTTCCGCACAGCTGCTGGTAGCCTTCCTGCAATGAGACATGGACACCACAACTGGGTGAAAAAATGAAGTGAAGAAGTTTCTTGGGCTCAGAAAATCTCAGAAGAAAGGTGGCTTCCTCTTGGAGATGTCACCACTGTGAGAATGTCACATATTTGAGCTCTGGGACGTGCTAAAATTGAGCAAATGGTTTAAGCACTAAAACAACCACAAGGATCCCTGTGAAGAATATTGCTTACCTGAACTATGTGCAGACTCCTTCCGTACTACCTAGACAGTGGTTTTATAAAGGAAACCAACACAAGCAAATATGGGAAGCTTTGTTAGCTAAGGATGACTTTCAAAATAAGCAAATTTACCATGTTCTGTTTCTGGTTAAGGACTGAAAATGTATACATACTATTTAATCTTCTCACACAGGTTAGCCAGAAGAGGAAATGCACATACACTTGAGAATCCCATGAAGCTTTTCTGGAGAGGAAGAAAAATAAAAGTAGAGGAATGCATTAGTTCACAGAGGTGGTGTAGCTTGGGATATTCAGTGTCAGTAAATTACAGAGCTAAACCATGTATTTTCTGCCTAGAAACATCAAAAAAATCCAATGATGCCAATAAGGATGCTACATGCCAGAGGATTTAGATCTGACACAGCAGTCAAGGATTAAGGCTGAGCATTTTAGAAACCAAATATTCTTGCTTTGAAAGACCTGTAAAACTTAAAAAGGAAATAAAAAGTTCCAGTCTTCTCTCTGTCTTCTCTCATGTAACCAATTTTTTCTTCATTCTTTGTAGAAACTACTGCTCTCATGTTTGGTAAACATGGTGGCACCTGACACAGTGCAAAACTAGTGAAAGCCACACACTTGGAGCCATGAGTCTGGTTTCCACATGCCAAAGGCCAGGGACAACTCTAAGAACAGGAGAAATGAGAGGATCCAGACTGTGCATAGAATACCCTTGATTTTTTTAAAATGAGATTTTTACCTGGAAATCTAGATTTTATCTTGGCCAAACCTGTAAGATGTAAAAGACAGCTGCTGCTAGAAAAAACTCCTTCAACATTAGTAGCCCATAGTCTTAGGCCAATCCAGTTGCTGTTCCAGGTAGCCAGGAAGCTTCAGAAGCTGAAAGAGACCTTCCTAATGAATTGTGTTGCATGGGCAATTAATCCCACAGACACGCTGCTCGTGTGGCTTCACTGTAAATCCAGTTGGTCTTGAGACACTGAGGGTACTCACGTGGTCTCTAAATGTAGAGGGATAATTGGTGCACAGCCCAGCTCTCTGCATTCACTGAGGCTACATTTACCATGTAAATATGGAGCAGATGAGCAGATGGGCATACTCATAACTTTATGCAAAGAAGGGTAATTGTTTATACAGACACAGCACTTGAAAGCTCTGTCCTTGGACCAACTGCCTTCTGTTGCACACTTTATATGCACAGAAAAAAAGAGTAAGGTAGTCCTCAACCAAATGATATTACAACCTGTGCCCATCATGAAACAGAAGGTAAAGCTTGGATACAGCTCAGTAGAGGCCAGTTGAAGGTTATTACACATCATGTGGGTCTATAACCCCAGTGTACACAGCTCTGAGTGACAAAGGAGAACTTTGAGGCAGCACAGCAAGGCAGTGAGGTCAAGGAGCCCAGGGCATTGCCTTGTAGCTCCAGGGAAGGTGTTTTCTTGGACAGGTAACAAGGGGCAATGGAAACAAGGGTCTCATGCTGCCCAGAGCAGGAGGTCAGGCACAGAAATACACACAGCCAGGATCTCAGGGTGGAGAGGAGAACTGGGCTAGTGGAGAGGGGACAGAGCCTGTAGTACAAAGATTGCAGCTAACTTTGTGCTGGTGGCTGAAGTGCCCATGCAGCAAGGTGAAGATGAAAAAGAGGGGTAACTTTTTCAGGTACCACTGAAAAGGAGGAGGAGGAGGAGGAGGAGAGATCTGCAGTAGAGTAGGAGCTGTAACAGTGCACTTTCTGAAGAAGGCAAAAGTGAAATCAAGGAGAAAAGAAAAAGGAAGGTCAAGGAGACAAGAAACGTTAAAAAAACCACCAATTAACTTTAGCTCTGTCCAACACATTCAAATGACAAAGCTTTAGTCACACTAGCTTGGAGGGGGAGGAGGTACTGGGAGAGTGAAAGGAGAAACCAGAACACAACCACAGAAGAAGTGGGGAGAAAAAGCCGAAAGCAGCCAAGGAAGTGGGGCTTTTCCTTAGGCTGAAAGACCAATCTGGTCCCACTGCTGCACCTCCAGTTGCCCTGTGCATGTCCCCATCCCTCTGCACCTCCATATGCAAGCTATTGATTGCCTTAGGGCTGTGTCCTGCAGCATGGCTGGGACACAGGCCTCCTTTTTGCTCAGTGTGTATGGTCAGGTGGGCAGAGAGAATGAGAGGTGCACAGACAGGATGCCAGCTTTTCTCAAAGAGATTTACAAACCTATGTACGCTTCCTGGAAAGAGGAAAGAAATCACTTCCCCCTCTTCTTCATGCAGGACTAATCCTGCCAACAGAAGCACCAGAGACTCTTTAAGCCTTCCATCAGGCTAAGATTTGCAGGGTCTTCATCTGAGCTGTCAGCTTTTCACTTCAGCCTAAGCCACAGTATGCTAAGCCTTTGAAGTTAAGGCACCTGGAGTCAAAACTGCACCAGAAAGACAAACTACAGGGCTTACAAAAAATAAGTACATAAGCAAAACCTCCTTTTATTCTGCTCACAGGCTGTGCTAAAAGTTTACCCTTTGCTGTAAACAGAATAAAATATTTCCTATCTTTTTCTTAGCTAGTCTTTTGAAAATTCTTGCTGACTGGCTCATCGTTGATTTCAAAGGAAGGTTATCCTGCATTCCCAAAGACTGCCCAACTTTGGTGAGAGTGGATGCATGATGATAACTTGGCAATGCTGTTGCTGAGGACCAGCTGCAGCAGCATTCCGAAGCCCAGCAGCCTCTGGCTTCACAGCCCTTGTATTCCCACACCAGGTGGGGCAGTGAGATCTGGAGGTAATGCTTTTGCTCTGCTTGGCATTGTGCAGCAGAGTGGCTCATCTGATCTTTGAGGCTGCCTTGGGCTACTCTCAAAAGGCAAGGAATACAGGTATAAAAAAGGAGGGAATTTTTGTGTGAACAGGCACTATGGGGTCCTTCCCAGCAGAGACAGGCTATAATTGCAGCATGAGTTGTTGACAGAAGATGGGCTACTTGCCCCTGTGTAACATTGGTGAGTGGGCAGGGGATCAGCTTATGGATGCTCGCTCCATGGCTTCCCACTTGCCCCACTGCCAGGCTGTGACTTGCAGGGACCTTGTTGTCATGACAGGATTGTACAAATGGTGCCTGCTCTCATTACATAGCAGAGCTCTAATCACCATTCTTTCATTGCTATTGCTCAAAGATGCCCCTTAGTATCTTCTCCACCCACAAGAAGAGTTAATGCTAGAGGTGCTCCCAGTGATTGATAACACTAATATCCTATTCATTGCCTGTTACCATTCCCTAATGACATTTCTGTAATTATTTTAATTGGTTTTACTAAAAAGAATAACAATGAGCCCCTAATGCTTGTTGGTGTTTGGTTTAAGCCACTGCCTTACAGATGGCTCACTCCTTTTAACGAACAGAGACATCTATTTGAATTTTTTGGAGTTGTAGCTGCTTTCACTGCATCTCTACATCTGCTGAATACCTTTTCTTTTTTCCAAACTCATAAGGATCCTAAGAAATTCCAAGGAAATGTGAAATCCTGGGCTCCAGATGGATCTCCCATTCTCATTACAACACCCATCATAACATCTCTTTTTTTATGCACAATCACACACAGCTGCCATGCCAAGATGGGGACAGTTAACTTGCAAGGACCTCTTCAGAAGGCTTTCCCCAAACATACAATGCAGCAAAAGTAACCAAAAGAGCAGATATGGGAAGAATTGACAGATCTAATTTGACTTTTTGGACTAGCATGAGCCAGAGCATGAAAGAGTCCAGATGAATGTTTTTCTTTCTTCACAGATATTTATGCAGGGATGTCCTACCACAGCTGGGGTGTTTCTGGTTCCTCACCCACACACTCAGACAAGTAATCTTCTCCCCAGGCAGTGAGAGCAATTCAGCTCTCACTGAGGTCTATCTGCCTGTGCAGGTAGCATCATGATTTGGGAGCCTTGAGACTGTGCAGGTGATTTCCTTACTCTTTCATCACACGCTGCTGTTTCTGGGAGACATGGCTTATGCAAGCATGATTCACACTGTGCGCCCTCCTAGAGATTCTCTTTTGTGTTTCTCACTGCATTGTTTTTCTGGATCTGAAAATAACTTCAGTCTGGGTGAATGGGAAATTGCAAGATGAAGTAATGCCTCTAGAAATGTTGTTTTCTATCTTCCAGGTTGAAAATAAGTTTCAGCCAGGGTCATTACAGGAAGCACACTAGGAATAACTGCAGGAGAGGCTGAGCAAGCATATGATACATGTTTTAATTTGAGCTGACCTTGCATTATGCAGAAGGTTTGGAAATACTTTGAAACACAACTGACCTTTCTGCTTCCAGCCTGTTTGTCCTTCCTGCTGGCAAATAGGCAGCTAGGAGCAGGAAGGGGCTGAGGGCCAATGGAGTTTGAGAGAGGTATTGGGGCATTGAGCAGTTTTGAGGATACACGAGAGGAAAGGCAAAATAGGAGAGCCAAAGATTGCACCCAAAGATTGATGCCAACAGTGCCACCCTACCCAGGACAGCCTGAAAGGATGTGGCATGCCCATCCCAAGAAAGTGGGATGTGGCTGGCTATGTGAGGGACTCAGCCCAATATGCCAAGGGTACAGCACATGCAAGGAAGCAAAGGAATTTTATCCCACAGGGCAGCACCCCCGTGCCAGTCCCTCTCCAGCCCCGTGCCTGCACCCTATCTCCAGCTCACAGAGAGGACCTGCTTGACTCAGAGCACCTCGTTACAGGTGTTAATGTGGGAACTTGCTCCAGGGAGAGAAGAATGACAATTTCATGTAATTTGAGTGGAAATTTGAGGCCATCAGTAGCACAGCACCGAATAGGAAGGGAAATGAGTAAGAGGTCCTGCTGGTTGCTGTTCTGCGGGAGCTGAGGCCAGTCTCTCCAGTGCTTTGTTTATTTCCCTGGCTTGGTAATTTGGCAATTGCCCAAAGGCTAATTAGGCACCTCAATTTTCACTTTTATGACTAGCATCACAGTAAGGATTCAGGAATAAGCAATATAAATAATTTCTTCACAAACAGTTAAAGCATTTCCTCTGCATTAAGTGACTTAACTGGAAGCAAACTCTAGGACTGAACTGACTCACCTAAGTGAACTAAGCAGAATAACAGCTGCTACCCTTCTCTGCTATCCTTTAGAGATCCTCTACAAATCTGAGAACTTTTGGAGACAGAAAGATTTCAAATCCCATTTTTCAAATTTTAGAGGCAAAGGCAGCAACTCATAAATACAGGACAAATATGCAGAATTTGCATTCAGGCATTTGCTTGAGTTTCAGACAGCCCCAAAGTGCAGTTGCTCTGCTCTGAGGGAATGGGTCAGTTCATGAGGCACCCACTTACATACAGCTACAAGGTAGCTAAATTTTTCATTATTTTTTATGCTCCCCCCATACTTTCATAATTTTCCTTTATTTCTCCCTCTCTTTCTTCCAGTGTCACCTGATAGAGCAGATCCTCTATCAAGTAGGAGTGAGTCAGCATCCAATTCAATGCTAATCAGGAGGATTCACAGTCAGACAAAACAAACAAGGACTCACTCCTGATAAAATGCCAGTACAGAGTAAAACACCCTAATGCCATTGATTTCTTACCAAGTCTTTGGAAGCCTTCATAATTCTTTTTGCTTTTCTTATTGCAACACTGAGTCCCACCTAGGAGAGCAAGAACAAGATGAAAAACAACCAGATCAGCCTCACAGTATCCTACCAACTTTTTTCCCCATTTCCTACCATTTTTTTCTATTTTAATATCAGTCACAGCACAGAAATGATATATGAGTCCACAAACTCCTCATCAGTTACTTTTTATTGGACTAACAATCAATTATCCAGTCACCTTCTATGAAACTCCAGTAGCAAGAGTTCATTTATTTTGCTCCAGGGCATCATTTATTTCCCAAGGAAAAGTCCAGATCAGCTGAAGAGCTGAAATTCATATCCTGACTGCACTGCGTGAGCTGCAGAGGACATACTTCTCTAGTGACTCCTCCTGAAGGAAAACTCATTCATTAAAAGGCTAAAAGAGCATTACTCACGCAACATCAGTCTGACTTGCTGTGGGAGGGTACAGAGGAAACATTTGCTCTTGCATGGATAAGGGTTATACTCAGCTGAGGTTCATCCTGGCAGGGGTGCATGGCATGCAGGAAGGTACACAACAGGGAACAGATTTTGGAAGGAAAATCCCAGGCTTAGGATCCAGGAAGGTTAGCTTTTTATTCTGGAAATACCTGACCTGGAGAGCAAGCTCTTGCTGACAGTGGCAAGATAGTTTTTCTGGTGGGTCTGTGCCAACTTGTGCCGAAGAGGCATTTTGGGATACCTCCACAATGTAGATACTTATACCTACACAGAAAAAAAGAGTAGGAGAACCATTCCAAGAAAAGGCCTTGGAGAGGCATCAGGTTGGCCATCGTTAGGCCATGGGTTACAAATAAGTCAACTACTAGTGATAGACAAATAAATCCTGAAATCCCTTTGCACACAAGCTCTTTGAAGGAGCAGAGGAAATTTTGTGCAAGGGGCACCCTCCATGAGTGTGAGTGACAGCCAAGGACAGCTCTGCTGGCAGCAGGAGGACACATGTGCCATGTGTGCTGCAGCAAGGTCAAATACACCCTGATGGCTGCTTGCCATGGCCAGAACTGCCAAACACTGCCATGATCCTGCTCTCCAAGCTTTCCTCAAGGCTCTGCCATTGCAAAAACCTCAACAAATACATCTTTGCAGCCCATGTGGTCCACAGCCCTGGGTGCTGCCTGGGGAAGTGTTGAGGCGTAGGCAATAAGGAGCTGCTGTTTCTGCACTGTGCCATTAAACGCTGATCTGGCCTTAAGAAATTTGTCTTGTATCACAGCACAGAAAGATAACACTGCTTCTCCTGCCACAAGGACTCTTCCCAGTTATGGAGGTGAGGCAATGCCAGCCCAGATCTGCTCGTGCCATCCAAAATATTTAACAACTGTTTAACAACTCCGTTGAACAGCATTTTCTAAATTCAGACACATCTTTCCATAAGAAAGCAAGTTCTCACAACTCCAATTTAGGAAAAAAAAACGAGAGAAGAGACAGTCAGAGGAGCCTGGAATGGTCGAGGTAACACCAGTGTACTCCCCCGTGCTGCTCCATTTTCAATTCAGGACAATATTCTTGTATCTCAGTGATGACAATTCCCATATGTAGTGCTGCATTTATTAGGCCACCTTTGAAAACAGCCATATCTGTGAGATAAGTTATGTGACATTACTAAGTGATGGCCTCTGTCCTTCCCCTCAGTGTTCAGCATGATGAAGGCTGAAAGCACTGCCTGTTTGCTCCCTTTCAGCCAGAATAACTACTTATGTTCTGCAGGCTTTGAGAATTGGCAAAACCTCCCCCCCCCCAACCTTAAAATAAAAAAGGAGATAAAGATAAATTATTTTGGAAAATGTTTCAAATGGAAAAAAAAAATCCAGACTATCACAAACACATTAACACCTGGTTTCTGCTCAAAACTGTTAGCAGGGACAAACTGTTCTGTCTGAAAATGACCTGCTATCAGTCCCTCCTACAGCCCAGCCTAAGGACATTACTGCCTGCCTAACATCAACTGAGTCTGAGGGCTCCGAGGTGAAGTCAGCACAAGTTCATATTTATCTGGACAGAACTACAGGAACTCAGCAAGGGGGAAAATAGGGATGCTTCAGCAAATGCTCTTATTACAGCATTTGGAAAAAAAAGACAATATCCCTCATGTGATGGCACCTTACTGAACAGTGGCATGCCAGATTAGAATATTAAAGCAGACTTAATTTGTATTTAAAGTAATCATTGCCAGCATTTTTGTGCTGGGGATAAAATTTAGCATGCCATTATAATTGATTTAGGCAGTGATCAAAGCAAATTAATTAACCATGATATTCAAGGGTCAAAAATTTATGGTGAACAACACAAAGGGATACGGATGAATAAGCATAAGCAGCAAGGAACACAGACTTCTAAGCTGCTGGGTTTTAATATATGAGTCACATTAATATATGTAGTTAATAGATGTTTAATTCATTATGTCTATAGTCTTCTAAAAATCAGGGTATGTCAGAAATAGATGAGAGAAGCTAGCAATGAGCCACGACATTGTTTTCTAGCTTTGTCCCCCTGGGCAACTTCTGTCCCCAAAACCAATCATGCATCTTACATTTGCCATAGTTATGTTGTACAATACCAGCTGCTGTCATTTCTACAATAAAATTACTTGAGAGGCAGATGTGAAAAATAGCTTGAAATTGAGTATAATAGAAGGAAAATTCCCAGAGAGGTAGGATTTATCAATCCTTTTCTGCTGGCCAGCGTAGGAGAGATCTTTCTTGCTCACAGCAGCAGCACATGAGAAGTGCATGCTTCTGAAAGCTACAGGAACTCAGAAAGCAGAAAACAAGGGAGGAAAAGGCTGGAATGACCTTGTGTGTAGAAAATGCTCTCTCTGAAGCAGTAAAGTTGACACCTTCTCTCACTTCACAAGTTCCTTCAGCCAAGACTCCAGGTTGGACTGTGGAAGTCTGGCAGCTGAAACACCCACCGGGAAGAAAACACTTCTGGTTTCATGGGTCACCTGTAATCCCTGGCTGACCCCAGCATGTCAAGCCTGCCACTGAAGGCCATACACCCATACAACCCCCCCTGCTGCACCTTGGCTAGCAAGGAGCCTCCTCTCTTTCCCATGGCATGAGAACACCACCAAGGAGGGGATTCCCTAGGCTTCAGCAGCTGATGGATGAGTCTGGGGAGCAGCCAGCACTGTCCACCCCAACTGGAGCAGCCGTGCCACCCTGTGTGCACAAGATACGCAGCCATGGGGGGGGCTGAGGGTGGGGTGTCACTGGGATTTCATTCACTGCCTTTTTCAGTGTTCTCCACAGAGTGCACGTGTTCGCAGTAATGATTTCTTTTTTGGCAAACAGATGTATTTCTCATCGTAAACAAATGCACATACCAACTCTAATTCTCTCTCATTTATCATCCTTGTTAGCCAGCTTTTTCCCAGGAGACCAGATATTTACAAAACACTCCAAGTTTCCTTCTAACTCATTTCATCATCCTTTAACCAGGAGTAGCAAGATAGCAAAATTCTGCAAAGCTTATCAAATAGCACAGCTAAAAGTGGGATTTGTTAATGAGCAATGCTTCTTTGTCCTCACACTTTTGTCTGCCACCTTCCCACCCCAAATATCTCTATGCCTGCTTGTTTTCTATGGTCCTGCCTGAGACAGCTTCTACATTGGCATGGCACAGCTGCATGCACCACTTTGCAAACCTCATGCCACCCTATTTCCTTTGGATTTATTTGGTGGAATGTTAGGATTGTATGATTTGGCTTTTTGGGGTTGTTTGGGTTTTCAGTTGGAGTAGGGTTTATTTTATTTTATTTTCTGCCAGTGAAGAGGAGCAGAGGAAATGAAGAGAAACAAGTAAAAGAGGAGGAACTAGCACGCAAACTGTGCCTTCTGCTATTACCTGTCTATAAGCAGTTTCTTCAGGGCTCAGTTCCTGCAGCAGAAACTCACATTTCAGTAGACCTTATCTGTTTCCAAGAACAAAGGCTAAAAGGAAGGCATCTTCCTCCACAGGACCTAGCCTACCTCCCAGATGCTGTTTGTTTTACTGCTTGTGGTCTCAAAAGAAGGAAACAGGTCCCAGACACGTACTTTGGACTGGCAGCCTGCTCTTAATCAAAAATGCAGAAGCACTCCTACCCTGGAGTTTGGTTCTGTCTCACCTCCAAGGAGGAAGCTCACATCTTTACTGAGAAATATGAATGAGAGATATCAGCAGAAGTATTTTCATTTTACTAAACCCCAAAGGGTTTCTTTTTTCTACCCAGAATTGGTTGGCTCCTACTTTGTCAAAGAGCATGATGACCACAGTAATACCCATGAGGGATGTGGCTTTGTAGAAAGTCAGTAAAAGACATGACAGAGGGCACACATTCCAGCATGAGTGCTTGTGGCAGTGATGCTTATTCTGGTAAGACAAAATTATAAGAACATAAATATGTATATTTTTGCTGATGAAAAATGACTTCCACCAAAATCCTATTGATGGAGTTTAGGACAAAATATGCAGCTGAAAGGTCTCTGATAATCTGGAGCATAACAGTGATGGGAAGCAGAAGAGGCACCCTGAAAGGCAGAAAGATGGAGTACAAACTTGTAACACAGACTGTTTTAGTGATTGCTAGAGCACGACCACAGTGCTGAAGTCAAGCCATTATTCTGGCCCCAACAAATCAATTAAATAATTGCCATTTAACCAAACAGACCAGCTGGCTTAAAACAATCTAGAGACAAGCTGAGAATAATCTCCTGTAAACCTGTTTGTTCCCAGGGCCAGAAAGGAACCTTCACCCTATTTCAGCCCTTTTCACTCACTGAAGGAACATCCCGGTATTACACAACCTACTGCAGAAAGCCCTCCAGCATATGAGCTGATAAACATTTTTGGCTAAAACATCATCCAGTCATCCTAAACCAGCTATCTTGGATGCCTGTACTACTGTTAGTCTTTTAGAGTGATGCTGCAGCCCATCTTAGAATATCTGTTGTTGATGTGACTTAAACTAAAAAGTGCATTACAAAAAACTACAAAGCATTTTACAGCAGCTTCAGATACCATCCACTTTTCAGCCACCTTTAGTAACCCTTCACATCTGATGTACCCCCTTTACTTGAAGGAGACCCCATTGTTGCCACACTCATACTGAAGGGCAGACGAGAGCCTTTGCTCAGCTCTACAAGCCACTGGTGGCAAGAAGGGGCTCACAGGACCCATTTACGAGGGACATGTGGTTATACAGTCATGTTGGTGATCCAGGAGCTGAAAGGACCCCTTCCAATCTTCCCCACCAGCACCAGAGCTCTGCTCCTGGAACTGCTTCCCAGCAGAGCAGCCCACCTTGCTCAAGCCCCAGCAACTGGGGGCTGCCCTTGCCCAGGCTGGATGCCCTTCTCCAGCTCTATGCTGAGAACACTGAGCTCCATGCAAATGGAGTAATTTTTTTTACTCATAATTAGAGCAAAGTCTTCCAGAATAATCACAGAGTGCTAATAGCTTCAAGCAGCTTGGCCAAAAAAAAAAAAAAGAAAAAAATTGGGCTAATTTGTCAGAGACCAAGGAATTATGTAAAATGACGCACGTATCATTTACACAGATTGCAGTGTCTCCATTAAGAAGACAGTTTGAAAGGCCTTTGAGGCAGGGGTCTTCCTTCCTCAATATACAAAACCTCACTAAAGCAACTGTGCACAAACAGAAGAAAATAAACTGATGATGGAAAAAGCATGTTGATATTTTCCACTTTCCAATTTTTTATTTAGAGGTAATTAAAACCTGAGCATTATACTGCCTTTGAAGGACAGGTAACGCTATTTCTTTTACTCCCTTTGCCAGTACAAATATGATACTAATTCTGGGAAAATGGGCATCCAAAAGTCTACATGAATAAGTGAAGTACCTGAAAATCAATAGAGTTGAACAGAACAGTCATTAGTATTAAAGTCTTGTTCAAACACTCGGCAGGGGACTGCGCCAACATTTGCAGACTCATAAAACTGAAGTGATCAATCAAATTACAAACTAAAGAAGCAAATGTGAGGTAAACTGCATTTTATGCACCTGTGTCTCTGATTGTATATTAATTTTTTTCACCCATAATTCATCTTTACTCAGTCTGGCTAGTCACAGAGTTACTGTGGGCCATTTATCAACCACTTGAGCATGAATTCCAAGCACTGCTCTTCTCCTCCCTTCTCCTTATGCTCTCTCGGGGCACAAGAAGAGGCAAAAAGAAGGGCACAGTCAGTGTAAAAAATTGTTTTGTTGCTAGAGTTCCCTTATTCCTGTTGAGAAACAAATACCTTGACAGAAAGGGGTTTAACTACCACTTGGAAGGGAAGAGGGTTTGCTTGAGCCACTTACTCAGAGGGACAGTCTCCAGGCCATGCAAATAAGAGTCCAAATTTTGTTTAAAAGGAAATAAACTAAAGCCCTCCACATTCAGCCGTTTTCCTTGTGGAGAGAGCACTCACTGAAGCGGTTGCTGGAGGTGGAAGGAGACAACACCTTGATCCTACACCTGCTCTGGGAGATGGGTAAGAGCTCACAAAGATGTGACAGCAACCCCACGAGTGGCACTCTTTCCCCTCTGTCTGATAAGCCTAGAATTTCAACACAGGTGTTCTAATTTCTTCACAGAAGCCACCTTGATTTATGCAGCTACTCTCTCCAAGCTCCTTAGCCTAACTCACTGTGCAGCCATGGCGAGCCCATTCGTCTCTTTCAGTGCAGTTCATTGTCTGTATCCTCTTTCACTTCAAGAGGCACCTTGCACATCTGACCCTCAGTTCAGGATGGGGGATTTCTGATGGCACCTGTTTGATGAAGTTTGGGCAATATTCTGGTTGAGCTGAGTTAGTGTGGGCCATCTCATCTTCTTTCACCCCTGTGTGGTTGCACACCCATAGATCTCTATGTTGACATATCATGGAGCACAGACTCATACCTGCTATAAACCAAATATTACTGTCATTCTTGGAAGGCAGGTGTTTCCCCAGACCTTAATATTGGCAGAACTAAATCCATCTTGGAGGTGAACTGCAGGTCATTGAAGCCCATAAAAGATTTCCTGATTTCAGTGACTGCTGGACTAGACTCTGTGTGAAACAGCTCATGCAGACCATTAGAAATCAAACATGTCTTTCTCCATCCAGATGCAGGAAAAAAGATTTCCATAAATAGGTGCTGAATGAAGGGCTTGGCTTTTCAACACCACCAAACAACCCTCATCACTCACAGTGTGACTGGAGAAGCGTGATGGCTGGGATAGAAAAAATTACTCACAAGCAAAAAAATCCCAAAAGAAACAGCACATGTTTAGACACCTATAGACATGCTATACATGTGCAAGTATAGCAAAGGTCTAGGACATGCAATCAAGGACGTGCAAATGTTGTAGCAAATAACTGTGTATCAGAGAAGTGGTGGTATTAAATATGATTTCACCCTATGGCAGAAGATAACGCATATTAGCTTAAACCTCTTGCACTGCAGAATAATCCAAGTCAAATAGTCCTGCATTTGCAGCAGGTAGCTTGTGCCCACGCAGGCTGTCACGGCAGATCAGGCAATGTGGGGATCACTTGTTGTGCCGTGGTAAAGTGGTGCCATAGATGAACCTCAGCTGAGTATCTGCTTTGGGTTATTGTAGTGCTTAGCAATAAAGTCCCTACTCTTCCTCTATGATCCAGATTGATACAGGAGAATTTGGCCCTGTGACTCCCACACACCCTCAACCCAGTGGATGATGGCCCACACAGCTAATGTGTGTTATGAACCCTTTGTTCAAACAGATATTTTTCAGGAATGTCCATGCTCTAAATGTTAATTTCCTAGACAATGCACATGCAGTGGAAGGCTTCAAACCGCTCAATTCCAGTTTAAAAAAACATCCCACAATCAATAGTTTTAAGACAACTTGGAAACCAACCCACCTTTGGAGGAGAGTAGAGATGACAAAGTGGTTGTCCTGGATCCTGTTTACACAGCCTCAAGGAATGGCAAACCACATCGGCATTCATTTCCCTGTCTATGCTGAATGAAATGGTGCATAAACAAAGACTATTATGTTTTTCTGGGCTCTTGAAAGTAGAAGCTATTTCCATGGGAAGCTAAATCTTCCCAACACACCACACAATAATCCCAGCTCACTTCACTGTGGCCCATAACCGCTTCTCAGTACAGTGTTGGGCTCTAATGATTTTCTGCCACGACATCCTACTCAGCATTTAAAATTGGAACCCAGGATGATGAAAAAGGACTGTGCTCTACATGCAGCACCTGAATCAAATGCATTATAACTATTCTCGTTTTTTAATCAATCATAAGGCTGACAAAGATTTAAAGGTTAAAATTAATGCATATGCAATTTGGCACATATGAATGTTCAATCATTAACTCAACAGCATAACCAGAAATCCTTCAAAGATCCTTAACCTTTAATCACTGAGCATAAGTGCTAGGATTGTTTCTTCCTTTTTGGGACACACCTCTGGGCTAATTAGGAATTAAATTAAAATGTTTGATTACAGTATTTCCTAGTCCTGTAAGCACTTTGCAGTCCCTTGGCTAGTTTTAAAAACAAAAATAAAAGCCCTAGGGAAGAAGAAGGTCTAGTAAAAGCTCTGTTAATTAAACTAAGAACTTTCAAAGAGGAATAAAATGACCTATATTTTATTTTTTTAATCACTTAGATTAAATAGTAGGCTTCCCCAAGAGTGTATATCAAGGTCGGGGCTGAGAGCATGTAGGGGCTGACAATTAGAAAGCCTGATTAAAGGTAGAATGGAAAGCAAGAGCCAAGCAACAACTGTATGATTTTATAGAACCTGTCTCACACACACAGGTTATTCAAATTCCTCCCTCAGCCAAATGAGCTGAATTTCAAAAGATAATTATATCAGGTGGGCCTGATCTGCGATTTAAATGGATTATCAAAATGGTTACCAGTGGCAGCCTGTGTTTATTCACTCAGGAATAGCTGTGCCAAATGCCAAACCACAATCACTGTGAAGCATCTCTGCTTTAAAAATAATGTGATTTTAGGACTGAAATCCCTCCACTTCAACCTGACAGCACATCTGTACGTGTCAAGAGCAAACTAAGCAAAAATCTGAGAGGACACAACAATACTTACAGTTCAGCTATGTGTGGTCCGTAAAGTTCGGCAAGCACATAGCAGAAACCTTGCAGTTTTTCTAGAAAACATAATTTTTAATTTTTTTAAAAGTAATTGAACATGATGAAACTGGTTTCATAGCAGTCAAAATACAGAAGTGGTTGATTCATTAAGGTGAATGCTGATTTACTTTAGGGAAAGGCATGTGAATCTCTGACCTCAGTGTAGCACCAGAGAATGGGAAAATCTGAATTTCTAATCTTGCCTAAAACCCTTCTGGCTTTAGGTAAGTCACATGATAAAGACTAAAAAAGAAAACTAGCTTTTGTTAATTTTTCTGAATATGTCATAATGGAAAAGTCAAAAGAAATTGTGCATGCCACAGAATCTTCTAAGCAGTTTAAACAAACATCTCAGTAGGTTTGAAAGAAGAAAGAAAACAAACACATAAATCCAAGTGCAGAAAGTGTTGTTTGGCTTGATGCTACTCCTAGAACTGCCTCAGAGCTTCTGGGAGATTGTGGGGTTAAGAGAATATGTTTTGTGTAGAGCAGGAGTTGTGCAGGAGTAATTGCATTTAAAGAAATACCTGACACTTTTCATTTGGCTTCCTTTCACAGTCCACAGCTGTGTGCCTTTTTGGGATGCTGGCTCAGGTGGTTTCCTTAATATGTGTGAAGCATGTCATCGATAAGACAGCTCATCAGAGCTTCCTTTAAGGCACTGTTGTAAAATAACAGGTGATCCATGCACCCGAGCAAAGAAACTGAGGGAGAGTGGAGGTTTGAACACAAGCAGGGCACTGATCTGACAGTCCCATGAAGGAAAACTGCCTGTTTCTTGGCCTGGACAGACTAGAGCTGGTTAACCATGCACGTATCCTGAAAAGGAGGTGCCAGGCCTTGCTCCAGCTGGGGTGGAATGTCATAAGAGACATGTTCACACAAGTGCCGTGACAACAAACTCGCAGCTCCTCAAACTCCTCAGAGTTTTCTCTTGTACCTCTATAACCCAGACAGATAACTAGCTGTACCTGGGGAATAAAGCACAGAGTATTCTCATCTTTCCCAGAGAAAAGCCTCGGAAACATAGAAACACCCAAAGCAGTCACTTCCCTCTGACTTTGGGCTGAATATTCCATTTTAACCAGTGCCAGACTGGACATGCCCAGGGCTGGGGGGCTGCTGCATACAGGGTGGTTAGTTCTGCTATGTGGAAGGTACAAATCCTTGTGGCAGGGACTCCACTGGTGGCCATGGATGTGGTCCTGCTCCCACAGCTGCTCTCCACCCAGGCTGGCAACCTGCACCTGAGAAAGGAGGACTGGCACCAGCAAGGCATATCAGGGAGAGAGATAATTTTCCCAACACCCTCCTACTCATGGTGTTGCAGGCAGCTTCTGTAACTACAGTAGTTGATTTTTTTCTTATTCCATGACAGGTGTTTTATTTCAATCAAGTTATTAGCTTCATTTCTTTGCCTTCTTTGCCACATAACTCCTCACTGTTGGCTCTTTAGAAGCAATCTGCAAGTAAAAATTGGTCTCCTGACTAGAATTAGATTTTATTCTTGCTCACCTATAATGAAAGATGTCGCAGACATCAATAACCCTGTGTTTGGCATCACTGCTGATTAGAAAACCCTCTGATGAGGCTTGCCAGGGGGGTACCTGGCTCCCTAAGGTAGCCTGCAGGCAAACGTGGTTGGCTTCCCCAACACCTCCCCAGTGCATCACAGGCGATGGTCTCCTTATGAGTTTCCCAAACCAGCTGGTTTCCACAACATTTTTGGCTCTGGAGGAGCCAGCTGGCTGCTGTAACTTCTCCTGGTGTCTGAGAAGAGAGCAGACTTTGGCTGCCTGTCAGCTCTGGGGAGCTGATATAAGTGTTTTGCTGGTCACACTGATTTCCTTAATGCATATAGGAAACTTAACGTGTAATTACCCCACAGTGTAAAAAAGTGATGGGAGGTAAAAGGAATAGTAATAATGTTAAATTATCGTTGAGCATGTAAAGTCCTCTTGGAAGATTCAGATGCCATTCAGGCTTTGGCTTTCATCAAAACACCAAGACCAAACCCACAGTGTTTACAGGGCTTGCCAATGGAGCCAGGCTGCATTCATGTGTTCACAATCTCCAGCTCTGCTAACACACACAAGGAGAGGATATTGCAAAGAGAAATCTCTGTTAGGAAGAAGCAGTATAAGTCAGAAAAGAGGGGGAGAGAAAGAGAAAAATTATGAATAACTGTGGGTGTTCAGGGGCAAAAAAAGAGCTTAAACAAAACTAAATGCTGGAAAATTCAGAGAAAATGTAGAGTATACTTGCTTCAGGTAAAAGAGATTCCCAAAGATCCCTTAGATCCCCTAAGAACAGTCAGGAAGGTTTTCCTATATAGCTTCATAGTCCTGGAAACACAAATGCTGGCTGAGTCCCAGAGGACAAATATTTGCCAAAAAGATGCTATTATCGCATTGCCATTTGCACTTGAGCTCTAAGGTGTTTACACAGCAGCGGTCAACACAGAAGCAGAGCATGACTCAGAGGCAAAGCTGGAGGCAGAGGGTCTCAAGGCACATTTTGGGTATCACACACCTCTGTGTCATCAAGCAGACAGTCAGTATCCAGGTAAACATACAGTCTTGCTAACAACACCTCTTACACTGTAAATACTGCCCCTTCCCCCAGACCTGGCCTTTCTATCTGCTCAAGAGCCTTCTTCACTCATGACATTACTGCTCTTATTGTCATAGGTCTATTTGCCATGTCGCTTGAATCACACACATTGCAAGTATTTCCATACAAATGAGGCTCTGGTTCTGTTTTCTGCATAGCCTGTGAGATTGACGGGCACTGACAGGTACTGAAATCTTCTCTCTTTTTCTCTAAGCATTTTTTGTTCTTGAACATCACATAACTTTACAGAAGGCTTGATCCAAACCTGACTCAATTGTAATCAGAATTATAGGATGCCCTCAAAAAACCCTTTCTAGGGTTTTTATGCCTTAGGAAAAGCCTCACTGCCATTAATTTGTTGCTGTTTTTCTTGCTATGGATTGTAGGCATGTGCATAATAATGAAATTGTCTCTCCATGTGAAGTGCATGACCTGCTTTAGTAGGTTTGCTCCTCCCCAGCAGCCAAAGCTTTTCTACTGCTTCAAGCAGCAAGAGGAAACTGTTGGTTCCTGCTGGGCTGCAGTGTTCACCTCCCAGGAGAAGATAAATCGGGTTACACTGCAGCTCCCACACAATCCATAGGATTTTTCACTCCTTTCAAGTTCAGGGTCAAGTTTTTTTCTACTGGGTATATCCATGCATCTCAGAAGGTAACTGGATTATACAGATTCAGCTAAAGGGATAATAGGATTTTATGTGTGTAAAGAATGGCAGCTGAAAAGAAATATCTTGACATGTCAGAAGAACAAGGTCCACTGAGTGAATCATGAACACAGAGCTAGCATGTCATAATTTAAAGAAGAAAATTGTGTTTTAATAGCAGGATCAGTGCTTCTAATTGCAACTTCATGGTTATGTGCCTGTAATTTACAACACTGAGGATATGATTTAGGAATAGAAATCAGATAAGAGTCATTCTAACAATGAATGAATCCTAGCAATTAGCTCCCTGCCCCATTCTGCCTTGGGAAATCCTTCCTTGGAAAGGAGGGAATTAATATTCTACATATATCCTCTGTGAAACTGGGGTCTACAGAGCGAGATGGTTTCTCAGAGACACAATTCATGAAATCATATAAAAATGACATTTTAATGAAGAATCCTAAGCCATCTTTTTACATTAATAACATTAAAAAGATATCATGAATGTGAGATCTAGCTACTTAAATAGTTATAGGATTGGTCTGTGAGGCACAAAGCTTCTGGCATTCAAACTGTTCTCTATTTAGGGGTGTGCCTGTGGAGCTGCAACCTCCTTTGGGTAGATGAAATAAGGAGCAGAAAAAGGGGAGTCTTACATATATTGTCATGGAATTTATATAGCTTTTGAAATTTGTATCACCAATTGCTTTTCAGTAGCTTTTCTGTGCACATCAAATGCTCACATCTTACACCTGTCAGCCTCATCTCATTTCAAAACTTTACAATAGCAGCTCCCATACCCGCTGAAAACATTTTCATCTTCACTGTTGCTATAAAGGCCTGTACCAACAAGCAGGAGGAGTGGTGGGGCATACAGTGAATCTATTCTTACTGCTGCTAACAAAGAGACTAAGGGGAGAAAAAGGAAGGGAACTGGTCTGCATGTGTTGGTGCTCACGTCTGTGGGGCTTAATATAGCCCCATTCACTCTAACTTTTGGGACAAAACCCCAGCTCTGAATCTACGTCACTGACTTCCCTGTAAATAGCAATTTGCTATCTCCCAGCTACACACATTTGAGGTACTCTGCACAAGAGGTGGATAAAGCTTTTTCAGACTTCCCATGCAAATTTTTAATTAACAGGGAAATACATCAGCACCAACGCGACATATGGCACATTATTTGGTACTTACCAGGTATGTAGTCACACAGTCTCTCCACAGCTGCCTTTACTGTGCTGTTGTGCCACTGTGCAAGCTGTTCGATGACAGACACCACAAGCACGCATCCTTCAAGAAAACAAAAACCAAAAAGAGGGAATACCATTACTGGTGAAATGTTATGAAGCACCCTGCACCACAGAAGTATTTCTGGCATCTTTGGGCATTTAATTTCCTGAGATGCTCCATGGCAGATAGGTGTTCAAGAGGAAAAAATATCAGTGAATTCCCATCTTCATTGAAACCTTGCAAACTTTTAGAGAGAGGATGCTGATTCCAGAGGAGCACACAGAACAGGCTGGCTTTTACAGCGCTGTATGGTGCACCTGAAAAAATGACTCCATTCTTTCAAGGCTGAAAACTGAGGAGTCAAAGGCATAGCCACTGTTACAACTGCCTGCTTGATCACCCGGTCTCTCATTTTATCTCACAAGAAAAAAGGCACATGTCTGTACCTAACAGGACTTTTTCACCTCTTTTATAGCTCTCCTCACAAGCAGCACAGAGAAGTACAAAACCCGGAAACCAAATGTTTGTGACTGCCTACAGAAGAGAAGTCACGCCACAGACGTATGTGCTCACCACGGCAGAGCATCTGTGGCATCATTTCTTCACAGACTTTCTGGTGAAGCCCAGTGATGCTCAGCACACATAGGGCTGCTGAGCGCAGCTACACATTTGTTAAAACCAAAATGTTCACAGTTCATTCTGTTCTGCCTCTGTGGTTGGAAAGAAACCACTTCCTATGACCTACCAATCTGGTTATTTCTCATCACTAATCTAGGCGTGAACAGGGCTAGCAAAGTGTTTCTTGAAATGTGCAGCACTTTTCCCTCTGCTGTTCTGGGGATTAAATTGACTTAACATGATCCCCACAGAACAGTCATTCAAAATCCACATGATGAGCATTCATTTCAAGTCAATTTTAAATTGCTGAAGGTCAGCATAGTGCTTTCTCTGCGGTAGCTTCACCATTTTATGAGGAGCACAGCTTTGGTGATGCCAGTCAGACCTGTGGTAGCCCTGCCTAGACTCAGAGCCTGTGCAAGACAGGCAGGTATCCCAGGCCAACAGAACACAAGGAGCCAGGGTGCCAGTTTCCAGCAGCCTGAACAAACATTTCTCTTTGAAATCTCTGTAACCAAATCCTTTTTCCTCTACTGTGCAAGCAATCTCATCTATGAGACTTGCTCTAGCAGGGTCTAGAAATGGAGGTGAGCTGCAGCATTTGATGTGCCTGCAGACTCACCTTTTTCCAAAGCTCAAAAACATTAATGTTCAGGTTTTCAGACTGGCACAACTCTTCAAAGTGAGCTTCTGAATTCCTTCCAAGCACCCCTACCGATGTGCTATTAAGTCAAAGTGCTGTTTTTCAACATAAATAACTCTGATGCTTCTATAGCAAGTAAAAGAGAAGGTAGGGCAATTGGAACTTGCTGTAAGACCAATATTTTTGACTCTTCTATTACTTCTTCTATCCCAAATACAGTAATCCAGAAGAAATTACAGTAAATTTGTCACCTCTTTTGTAGGGATAAAAGCCCACTTCTCCTTACTTATTAAATAAAAGGCTCACTCAAGATCCTCTGCAGAATGATTTATAAAGCATGCTAAGAACCATTACCTCCAGTCAGCCTAAAAGAATTGAAGAAAAAATGGAGACAGATACAACCCAGAAAAACCCTGAAACAAGATATTCCTTCTTTCCTGTCCCCCTCCCCAACTCCCCAAATAGCCAGAGGCTAACTACTCCCAGGAATTAACAGCTAATTAAAAAGACAACAGCTGGAAAAAAAAATTGAATAATAAAGACCCAAACTAAAAGTAAAGGGAACGTCCAAGATGAAGTGTATAGCATGTTCAGGTCTTGGTCTCAAAGAGCAGGCCAGGGCCCTTTGGTCAAGATTTAACCTTACTACAGCCTTATAAAATAATTTGGGTAGGAAGGGACTTTTATAGTACAAGCCCTGCAGCAAGCAGGGCCATCTCCACCTCACCTAGATGAGGTTGCCCAGAGTCCCGTTCAACTGATCTCAAATGTTTCCAGGGATAGGACGTTCAGCACTCCCACGGTTATGGGGGTGGATGTTAAAGAGTGCAAGAGACTTCAGCTGTTTTAGTGCAAATCATGCCCTGCACTGGCTCAGGGACAGAAAACAGACTCTGGCTCCTTTGCTAGGGTTGGGTGGTAATAGTCTTGTGTGGCTGAGTCCAGGCTTTACCACTGAGATGGCTCTGCACATCCTGAAAACACACCATAACACATCTAAAAGTCATTACACAAAGGCTAAATTATTAACACACATGAACAACCTGCAGACAACAGGGACTACCCTTGCCCTGACCTCTATGTCTTTTTTATTCATGAGGATGGAGGCTCAGAAAAATTAAATTACCTAAATGATAACTTAACCACAAAACCACACAATCTTTCTGTGCTTTCCTTTCTTCTTACCAAGGTCAGATACTCATCTATCAATCTTGCTGTCTAGATGTCAGAAAGACAAAAAGGAGTCCAAGCAGAGAGGCAGGGAGAAGCTAGACTTTTCATATTTTCCAAGGTGCACACATTTTGTTGTTTTACCTCTCATTCTTTTGCCTCATGAGCTTGAGGATTCTACAAAATCATAGAATTGTTTAGGTTGGAGTTGACAGTGTCATGTCCTGCAGCAGAGAGAAGTGTTGCTCATTTTGCCTATGCTGTGTAACCCAGTGCTCCTGCACCTGCACCCAGGGGCTGCAGAAAACAAGGGATTATGGACAAACAGCTCAAAATCCAAAAAGCTGGGCCGAGGATAAAAATACCATTGATATTTTTATTTTCTCTGTTATACAACAAGACAGTTCACACTGAAGATGTAAGTTTCGCTCTCATGTTTGTCAAAGTACCACAAAGGGAGTGAGAATAAAAAATAAAAGCTATTTTTGGTTCAGCTCTGCAAAATAAACAGAATTTCTAATCACAAACACAATCATGCAGGTAGCCCCACTCAAGCAGGAATCTCACAGCAACTAAAAGAAAATTTTTCATGTTGATTAAGTCAGATAGACACTTTTGTGTCTATTGTACCAGGCCCAAAGGCAAATCTGCTTCACATGAGGCTTAACAGAGCCAATACTGAGTCTGAGCAGTACTCAATGCAGTACCTCAGGCTACTAGATGCTATATGAATATAAATAACAATAATAACAGCCTGACTACTTGGGAAAAACCCACAGAGATGAACTTCAAAAGGTTTGCTCTCATAAACCCATCTTCACTCTCAGAGAGGATGTTTCTGCTTGTGCTATTGCACCCTTCCCATTTCAGGCACCTGCAAACCACACCTTGGTTATCCAAATGCTCCCTCCTCAAGTGCAGTTATTCCACATGAAATGCCACACTCCATGGGACAAGCTGATAGAAAAAGTCATGGCTGATTTTCAAAAGGATCTGCTGTTCCTTAAGCACCGCAGCTGGAGTCTCTGGAACTGAATTTGGTGAGTCTCCCAGCCCTCTGGTAGGAAAGGTGCTCCCAGAGAACACATTCCACCAACACATGATATTGGCTGATCTGGTCCCTGTTCTCCCCTCTACCTGGGCTTTTATCAGTTGCCCTCGGTTGACCCCTCCTTATTCCTTGTGAGCTGTGCCCTGGGGGTTGCTTGCTTATGGGCTGGGTCTGCTGATTTCAAAGCCTTTCATTTAGGCTGATGCCATCAGGAGTGGTTTTTGGGCTAGAGATTCTAAAATACTCAGGAAAAAGGTTGAACCCTTGAGGAGGGAGGAGGAGTGTTCTAAGTGGACTCACTGCAGCAGAGGGAGCCTAATCTACCTAGGCTCCTTGGGTTTTTTTCATGGAAACATGCCTCCCTAGTAATTCAGATTTATCCTCTAGGAGAACTTATCTCTGGTGTTGGGCTATAGGTAAAATTCAAGAGGTTTGTGTCTATAAATGAAAGTTAATTCAGACTATCCTTGCTTTTACTACAAACGTGCTCTCTTTTTATCGTCTTCCTTTGCATTGAGTGGCAGAAATGCTGAGCAGTTGTCCTAATATTTAATGGGTCTTAATTCCACTGGCTAAAAATGGAAAATAATTATAGACTAAAAAGGGCAGGGAGAAATCAGATGTCTTTGACTGTAAAAATCTCATTGCTTTAATTACTTATGACATGTACAAGTATATAAACTTTTAAGTACTCTGGCATCAGTAGAAAAGCACATCCAGATCTGGCCAGTCATTAGCAGCTATTGCTTGCTTTTAATTCACTAGATATTTAGATATGATTTATTTCTCATTGTGAGATGGACACATATAAGGCAACATAAACAGACTTCATCATTAAATAAAGCTATTTTTTGTTTAACTGTTGCACACAATTTTCTTTAGAAACTTTTAGTAAGTTGATTCTGCTGTCTCACTTCAATAATAGGTTTCAATACCTTGACAGGCTGAAGGATGTTTTTCTCTGAAAGAAATTCATTGACATTATAATACCTACCAGGCATTAGAAACTAGACTCTGGTATTAATAAATGCCTGTCGCTTTTAGCGATGGTTTTTCCCATCTGCTATTAATTTCTGAAGAGATAAGACAAGACCATAACCATTTGGCTCAGTGCAGTAAGGTGAAAACTCACACATCAGGAAGTACTTCTTTCCATATATTTGAAGGCAGTGTGTAATAAAAAAAATGCTATTTCCAATAAGCTCAGGAAAAAAAAAAGTCATACCCCAATAATAAAATCAGAACTAGAGGAATTCATTGCTTAGCTGTGAAGCCTCTGGCAGTTTGAGCAGACTATTTAACTTTAATCCACTTCTGCTGCACAAGTTTGAAAGGTTCTATAATTAGAATTATACCTAGGGATGTCAAAAAGTATCTGGATAGTGAAAGCTGCCTCTCTAAGTTTCAGATTTGTAGGTATATTTGTCTGAGTAAAACCCTGTTCAATAGGTTTTCTGGCACCTGGCACATTCTCCTCTGCCATCCTTTGCTCATGTTTCTGGATGTTGGATTTCTTTTTCACCTCTACAGCCATAAATCAAATGTACCCTCAGAATACAAGAAAGACATAAGTCCAAA